ACCCATCTTCATTGCACCCCATATCACCGGCCCACTCGTCTTCATTGCACCCTATATCACCGGCCCACCCATCTCCATTGCGCCCTATAATGCCGGCCCACCCGTCTTCATTGCACCCCATATCACCGGCCCACTCATCTTCATTGCACCCCATATCACCGGCCAGCTCGTCTTCATTGCACCCCATATCACCGGCCGACTCGTCTTCATTGCACCCAATAACACTGGCCGACTCGTCCTCATTGCACCTCCTTTACCGGCCCACCCGTCTCCATTGCACCTGCTATACCGGCCCACCCGTCTCCATTGCACCCCAGTTCCCCGGCCCATTCGTCTATATTGCACTCCATTCCTCCGGCCCACTCATCTATCACACACTGGATTCACTACTACTATTCATAATTTCCTATATAGTACATTGCTATACTACCATCTATACTATATACATCCGGCCCATCCATTTGCCTTGGACACTCCACCCCCTCAGCCCACTCGTCTAACACGGTACAATTATTGCCATGGGCCGGCACCGGGTGGCCCGTCTCTATCGGCACATTGTCACACCCGGCTGCCCGTCTGAGACAGGTATATGTTACTGCATTATGTGGAAGCCCGACGGTACGAGCCCCACTCAGACGGACTTGGATGACCTAGATAAAAGAATCGATGAGTTCTATCAAAAGGATTCGCTGGTCAAGCAGCAAATTTTTAGCACAATAACAGATCGTCTGCTGCTTTCCGTTCAGAAGCTCGATACAGCCTCACTGATCTGGGCAGAGATCTGTCAGATTCATGAAGGTAAAACGGAGCTAGTACAGATTGACCTACATCGTCATCTGCAGGAGACGAGGTGCGATGAAGCTGGGGATGTTAAAGCCCACTTCACCGAACTCTTGAGGTTGAGAGAGTCACTTGCTGGCATGGGCGCAGCGCTCGATGATCGAGACTTCCACGCCATCGTACAAGGCTCCCTTCCCGAGTCGTATCGCCCCCTCCTATCATCAGTAAACACTGCCGCAAAAATAATGAAGAAGCCCCTCACCCCCAACGAGCTCATCAGCATCATTACGGAGGAATATGAGCATCGCCAGCTCACAGACCGTCGCCCGGCAAAGAAGGGAGGCAATGCCGCGCTGGCAGCCAAGGGCGGTCAATCTACGAAGTCCCGCACCTCAGGCGCAGCAAATGGAGCGAACGCAGACGTTACCTGCTTCAACTGTGATCGAAAAGGCCACTATAAGGCAGACTGCTGGAGACCGGGTGGTGGAAAGGAAGGTCAAGGTCCGCAACAGAAATGAGGCAAAGGCGGATGTACCCAGAAGCAGAACGCTAATGCGGCTGCAGAACCAGACACCCAGGACCAGTATGCCTTTATAACGTCAGACTTGGCTGGCATAGCGAAAGGGTTGAAGGTACCTGTTGATTGCCGTGGAGCCATCATGGACTCCGGCGCTACCTCACATTTCTGTCCTGATCGATCGAAATTCACCAACTTCGTTGATATAGTCCCCCAGGATGTTCACATTGCAGACGGTTCCACGCTCAGTGCGATTGGTTGCGGAGACATGAGCATAGACTTACCTCTGGGCGATAAATGGATGAACGTTACCTTGAAGAACACCCTATATGCTCCTACCATGGCGTTTACACTCATATCCACCAACCACATAGCTGCTGCAGGCCTGGCCGTACTCTTTGAGGGCCACATGTGCAAAATTCTATCACAAGGCCCCAAGCGCAAGGTAATCGCCGAAATTCCCCAGGTAGAAGGCCTTTATAGTGTTGCTGCTTGTAAGCACCATGCGCACGCGGCAAGGACGAAACTCACAGTCTCTCAACTTCACCGCGTTCTTGGCCATATTTCCCAGACGGCTGTGCAACAGTTAGTCAAGAAGGGACTCATCGAAGGACTGGAGCTCGACCCTACCTCGTCACCCGAGTTCTGCAATGTATGCGTGAAGGCGAAGTCAAGCAAACACCTGTTCCCGAGCAAAGCAAAGAATAGAGCGCTCAGCTACGCGGAGCTTGTGCATACGGATCTCTGGGGCCCAGCCCAGACCACCAGTCTAGGTGGGACGAGCTACTATATCAGTTTTATGGATGACTTTTCCTGTGAAATGAGGGTTCGTTTCCTTAAAGCGAAGAGTGAGGCACTAGAAACCTTCAAGGACTATGAGACACACCTGGCTCGTCAAAACCCAGGCGTCCGGTTGCGGAAGATTCGTTCGGATCGCGGCGGAGAGTACCTTAGTGAGGAGTTCGACAAGTACCTGCGGGAGCAAGGAATCGTGCGTCAGTTAACTGTGCATGATTCGCCTCAGCAGAACGGCGTTGCTGAACGCTTAAACCGTACCTTGGTTGAACTTGCCTGTGCGATGCTACTCGCGAAGGACCTGCCCAAGTTCCTATGGGCCGAAGCCATAAGCTATGCGACCTGGTTGAAGAATCGCCTACCATTGAAGGCCATCCCCGGTCATACGCCCTATGAACTGATCCATAACAGTAAGCCCAACCTATCCAACGCCCATGAGTTCGGTTCCGCTGTCTACGTCCATCAGGAGCACACAGGCAAGCTGGAGGCTAGAGTGGAGGAGGCTCTGTTTGTGGGTATAGATACTGAGTCCAAAGGTTTCAGAGTGTACTGGCCAGCGAAGCAACGCGTTTCGGTCGAACGAAATGTTACGTTCGCGCCGGTAGCTGAGGTTGTTGGAGAGGATATGCTGGACGAGGGGGAGTCCGTCAATGCCGATTCTAACGCAAGAACGAACGAGAACGCACCTGTGAATAGCGTCCAGACTACCTCTCCTTCCCCATCCCAGCCACCTTCTACCCCGCCCAGACAGCAACACCAACGCCCCGAGACCCCACCCACACCGTAGATAACCCGAGTACACCTGCCCCCAGGATACTTTGCTGCCCTCAACAAGGGAGAGAGAGCAATGTTAGCTGCCGAAATCTTCGAACTAGAGGACTCCGCGGAGGAGCAGGAGGAGGTAACTCACCAGTACGCCCTAGCGGCTGTCCAACCTGAGCCTACCCTTCAGCAGGCCCTGAACGGCCCGGACGGCAAGGAGTGGCAAGAGGCAGTTGACTATGAGATCAGTCAGCTGGAAAAGCTTGGAACATGGGAAGTGGTTGACTCACCGCGTGGTGCTAACATTATCCCATGCCATTTTGTCCTGGCTACCAAGCGAGGACCAGATGGAGAGAAGTTGAAACTGCGCGCCCGTCTTGTGGTGAACGGACAGCGTCAGCAGTATGGCGTCGAATATTTCGACACATTCGCACCTACCTCCAATATAACAACCATTCAGACCGTGCTAACGATGGTGGCTCAGCGCGACTGGGAGATACACCAGGTAGACATCAAAAGTGTATACCTATATGCAGATGTCCAGGAGGAGATTTATATGAGGGCGCCACCTGGGTACTTGAAGGAGGGAGAGAAGGGAAAGGTGCTGCGGTTGAAGAGAAGCTTGCCAGGATTGAAGCAAGCAGGGTTTGAATGGGCAGAAGAGCTAGCCAGTGTTTTCCTGAAGATTGGGTTCAGTCGCTCGAAGGTAGATCAAGCCGTTTATTTTAAACACACCTCACAGGAACACACAGTCGTGACCGTGTCCATCGACGACATGGCCGTCACCTCTAGCCATACTTCCCACATTCAGCGGTTCAAGTCGCAACTATGCAAGTTCTTCAAAATCTCTGACTTAGGCGAGCTGAGTTGGCTTCTGGGTTTGAAAGTCACCCGCGACCGCGTCACACGGACCATTACCCTGTCCCAGAAGGCGTACATCAACACAGTCCTAGAGCACTTCAACTTGACTGACGCGAAGAGCGCTCAGACGCCTATGGACGCTGGGACTATCCTATCCGCCGACCAGTCTCCCTCTACCCATGCTGAACTGCAAGCCATGGCTGACGTCCCATACCAGCACGCCATCGGTTCTCTCATGTATGCTGCTACCAGCACTTGCCCAGATATTTCCTTTGCAGTCGCCACCCTCTCCCAATTTATGCAAAACCCTGGAAAGGCGCACTGGGAAGCAGCCAAGCGCGTCATGCGCTACCTAAAAGGCACAGCAGACTACGAACTCACCCTTGGATCCACAGATGGAGGCCTTGAGGCATTCGTCGACACGGACTGGGCGTCCCAGCCCCATCACCATTCAATGTTGGGTTACATCGTATTGCTGAATGGAGGTCCCGTTGCTTGGAGCGCACGTAAGCAGCCCTTGATCGCTTTATCGACTGCAGAGGCAGAATACATAGCGCTAACAACTGTCGCCCGAGAGCTACTATACCTGCAGTATCTCTCCGAAGAACTGTATGAGCCCCCTATTCTCCCGAGTCCCATCTACTGCGACAATCAGGCTGCCATCACCCTCGCGTCGAACGGAAAATTCCAGTCATGCACCAAGCACATAGCCATTTGATACCATTTCATCCACACCCACATCAAGGACGGCACCTTCCAGTTGTTCTACTGCCCCAGCGAAGACAATGTGGCGGACACATTCACCAAAGGCTTACCTCGCCCCCGTCTACAGAAGCTCAGAGCTCAAATGAGCCTGGATTGCGCTCGAGGGGGAGTGTTGGACTCCGAATGATCTGAATGATGAGTAGAGCTGTCCAAAGGATCCGAGATGTCAGTGCGAGCGCAATAAAAGGAGTGATGGACGAACGACACGTTGACATCGGTTCATACCAGTCATATATTTCATTTCTCGATCAATTTATTTTTTGTTTCCATCCTACGTACTATAAAGATACGAGCTAGACCATAAGAGCATCTCAGTTCTGACTACAGACTGAGATGTGAGTACCCATTATTTTACAGACGCGATACAATCAGTTAACAAGTTTCTAGTATTGCTTTAACTAGGTACAAGACTTGTAATAAAGAGTTCTGACTACAGACTGAGATTATTGCTTTAACTAGTGTCCCTCCCGTCCGCTCGTACCTGTAACTCACTACACGCTTGTGTCATTTTTTCCCATGTGGTGCACGGAAGTGTAAGACGGCTTTAGGTGGTGTGCGCCGCTATCAGGATACAAAGGATAAGTCTTCGACAACTAATCTGAAGCACCATGCCATTGGATGCTTTGGCGAGGATGCCATCAACAATGCCATGAAGGGTAAGGATGCTAGTGCTAATAGTGGCTCCATCTATGCAGCATTTGCACGCCAAGGCCAACAGCCTGTCCATTACTCTCATCGGACACACACAAACCCGGAAGTTCGGTAAATGATCTGAATCTGTGTGATTTTTCATGCTAACATCAGTTTCAGTGCTCGACTTGTGAAATGGATCACTGAAAGCAATCGCCCGGTTAATATAATCAATGACCGTGAACTCCGCGAGCTTCTTTGTGCAGGTCGTCCGAACATTGAACTTTCATCATCTGATGTATTGTCCCGCAATATCAAAGTGGCATTCGAGAAGTGTAGTGAACACATCGGAAAGCTTCTCTGTGTAAGCTTTTTGCTGATATCTGAAACTTGGCTAACACAACAGTTAGGATCACCCTGGACGCTTACACTTTGCTATGGATGCTTGGACTTCACCCAACCATCGTGCCTTTGTAGCATGGACAGTTCACCTTGAGTGTGAGGGTAAAATGTTTCCATTTTTGCTCGACATCATTGAAGTTGCCAAGGTACATCGCAGGCCATATCAAATGTTCCGCCCATCTTCACACAACATATCTTATAGTCACATACTGGTGCTGTGATGGCGAAAGCCTTTCAAGCAATGCTTGAACACTTTGGGCTAACAAAGAGAGTAAGCCGATCTTAAATACTGCATAAACCATGTTAAATTGACGATCGTAGATTCTTGCAGTCAATGCTGATAATGCGACTGCGAATGATACTCAAACAACAAAGCTTGCAAGCCTCAACAACTCATTCGAGTCTGTCAACCGTGTTCGATGTTTTAACCATACTCTCCAGCTTTCTGCGAAAGCTTTGCTGAAGCCATTCAACTCTGAGTCATCAGAAGCATCAGTATCTGATGCCGATAATAATGTGGCGAATAACGATGAGCCACCGCTTATCTTAGATGATGATTCAGAAGTAGAGGAAGTTGACTTGACATCTGAGCTCAATGACACTGATGACAACATTGATGAGTTGGAAATGCTCTCGCAGGCCAATCGTGAGAAGATATTAGATGCCACTGCCACTGTTAAAGGCACTATTGCAAAGGTCAGCATTTCAGATCAGATCCCTGTCTAATACTAGCTAATATTGATATTGCAGATTCGTGGACTGTCTTTTGCTGTGATTCGCTCGACGACTCTCTTGCTCCCAGCTTGGCGACAGGGATGTGGAGCATCATGCTTGAAGGAGAAGCTCATGCCGCGTGATGTCGCAACACGTTGGAACTCCACGTACGACATGTTGGTCTTTGCATTACAATATCAGGAACCCATTGATCGCATAACGAGTGATAAAAGCCTTAAGCGGGCTAAAAAATATGAATTGGATGATGACGAGTGGAAAATTGTTGCTGACCTTGTTGCGGTTCTCTCCGTAGGTCTTGCTTGTCATACTTCATATTTCTCTGTCTCACTTACTTTGATCCATTAGCAATACAAGAAGGCTACCTTGTTCTTCTCTCAGGACTCGGCAACCATCACAGCTGTGATACTAGCAATGGACAAGCTCAATAACAAGCTCAATCAACAGATGAAGGAGCCATATCACTCTGCAGTTATATCGGCTATGCAGCTTGCGAAGAACAAGATGGATCGCTACTGGAAGATCACAGATCTCTCCAATGTATACCGCATTGCCATGGGTCAGTCTTTCAAAATTTCACTGATATCATTGGCTAATCATCTTAATAAAGTCCTACATCCTGGCCTGAAGCTTGAGTGCTTCTGTGAGCATTCCTGGCAAAAGGAGTGGATTGATACTGCCGAGAAGCTTGTTCGCAAAGAGTTCACTGATAAATACGAGAAGTCTGTTGAGACTACTGATGACACTGCAGCAGACGTGGTCCGTATGCAACATTTAATTATACACTGACACTGACAACTATACAGAATGATGACGACTTCGGCAACTACTCACTTGGTTCTGTGTCTTGCACTACCAGCAGCAAACTGGATGAGTTCCTTCGATTACCAACTGTGAAGACCAAGGACCCACTTGCATGGTGGCAAGACAACTGCCGTACTTACCCAACATTACATCGGATGGCACTAGACTATCTCTCTGTCCCAGGTATTCCGCCCTTGAATCTTGAGTCTTTCAATCAATCAGTACTTATTATCTTGCTCAGCGACATCAACTGCAGTTGAATGTGTCTTCTCACAGGCTCGGCAGCTCCTTCACTTCACTCGCAATCGACTTGCACCATCAACAATTTGTGCCTTTCTCTGCCTTGGAGCCTGGGGCAGAAGTGATCTTCTGGCGATGGAGGACCTTCTAGCTGCTGTAAGGAGTCAGAAATGGAAGCGAAACGAAGTTGAGGCTGAGGAGGATGACAAGGAAAAATAGTAATATTCATTTTATTGTCGTTAATACACTCTTCTTGTTAATGTACCCGCGGTGTTCTCCAAAACCTGCAATACTTACGGGTCGGTGTGTACCCATACCCGTCATGGGTATGGTGTTGGCGGGTACGGGTACGGTGTTGAGTTTCCGACCCGTGGTGTTACCCGTGCGGAACCCTATGTCGGAAATTTCTAAAGGGGGCTTGGAAGGCTGCTATATTTGGACTGAATTGTGATGCCTTCCAACTTCATTGCATCCGAGATTCAAGTCGGACCGAGTCTATTTCAAGTGTCTGGCAAAGGCACCGACTTCTTTTGGTGTCTCGCAAGATGCCGTGCTGTGTTTCAACAGGCTGACAAAGGTCCAAGGGGCTTGGAAGGACTATACAGTTTATATCAATAATCAGCGACATCAACGTTCTTGGTGACATATCATATCATATTGCCCTTAGACTGCCGCATCACACTTGCAATCACTGATTCGCCTTTGATCATCAATCAATCTCTTGTGTATTTTAGATGTCATCTACACAAGGACGGGCCTATGTACAGTCAACAACTCAATCATCTGCACAGGTCCGATGTAAGTTCTGTCAGAGATCATTTTCTGCTCGTGGCATCAAGTCACACAAGGGGAGCTGTTCACACAAGCGGGAGAAGAAACGGTGCGACAAGGAGTTTGCTGATATTGCAGCTCAGGTAGTTGAGGCCCAAAGGAAAGGTACACCATCATTCCAATACATTTACTTAGTTCATTGGACTTCAAACGTTATGATGCATCAGATTTTATATTGACATATATTGATCAGAACATCGAAAGGATAAATGACGCCTCCAAAATGGACACAAAGTAGCCGTAACTGACACTACTGGACCTTCACAGCCGGCGGATGATCAGCGTGCCAACTATGACATAGCAAATGTCGAAGGTGCCGACGACAACACATTTGGTGATGTGGAGGATGGTGTTATGAGCATTGGGGGGGATTCACGTCTACGTATGTGTATCACTCTTGCACGTTTTGTTTCTAACCATATAATGTTTTATTATTAGGATCGGGCTCGGACACAAGCATGTTGACAAGTAGGTCTGCGGTAGCAACTGCAGTCCCTATTGCTTGTGATACATTCAAAACCGAATATCACCCGAACAGTGGACGCACCCCTGCCATTGAGACCTTTTCCACCTTTGGACACCCTGTTGAGGCAGAGGCCAGTTCCATGCCCATCATCGACAACACACCTTGGCAACCCTTTATGTGCTGCGCAGATTTTGAATTTGCAGAACTTGCCCACCAATCGGCACTCAATAAGGATCAAACTGACAAGATGCTGCAGTTGATATGGCAGATCACCGAGGGACAAGCAAAGTTTACGTTCAGATCTCACACTGAAGTGTCGAAGGCCTGGGATTGAGCAGCCACTCAAATGACGACTGTGAGATGTTTTCAATTTCATTCACTCTGTTACTGAGTATTCAGGTATAATTTGTACAGTTCGAGAAGCACATCATCTCCATCCCTTACAAGAAGGAGGAAATTGAATTTGATGTACATACACGGCCGCTGTGGGATTGGGCTATGGACTTGTTGCAAGATCCGCTGTTGGCACCGCACTTCGTTTGGGATGTGCAGCGTTTGTACAAGCATGATGGTACTGACTTTAAATGGTTTATTCACGAGCCTTGGACCGCAGATCGGTGGTGGCGAATTCAAGTATGCACTATTATGTATTCGTGTTTTGTATTATGCTGCTAATATATGTGTTATATCTGTACTCGATCTATTGTAGTCATCATTGCCGAACAACGGTGTTCCATTTGCCTTCATCCTCTATGCCGACAAAATGCATCTCACTTCGTCTGGGCACGTGAAGGCATACCCAGTGATAGCTCGTTGCGCAAATCTTCCCGTTCACATAAGAAACAGCGACGGAATTGGAGGAGGTTGTGTGGTGGGCTGGCTGCCGATTGTGAGTGTTCAAGTATCAATCATAATAGTAGGTACGCATAACAAGTTCTAATCCAACAGGTTCCTACAGATTCCAACGAAGATGGAAAACTCTCTTACACGAATATGAAATGTGTTGTCTGGCATAAGGTGTTCATCAAGTTGTTGGAATCCATCACCCTGTACTCCAAAACAGGTTTTGCGCACAGATGCTTTGACGCCATCATGCAATGGCTATACCCACTAATCCTACTTCTGTCCGCAGATTATGAAGAACAGTGTGTATTCTCGAGGCTTGTATTACATCATGATAACTCACATTTTAACAGATGCATGATGGCATTAATTCGCAGGCTACATTCAAATTGTCCCTGCCCTGTCTGTTGCATTCCCTCAACGAAACTTTCTGACCTCAACGCAACATATCCTACTCGAACTGTCGAAGATGCAAAAACTTTTTTAGAGCTGTATTTGAGGGACCGCATTGCTGGGGAAGAAGTCCTGAAGGCGCATGGTTTACGCCCCATTGCGGTTTGTGTTTTGATTTGGTTCATAAGCTAACTTAATTGACTACCATCAGAATGCGCTCTGGGAAGTTAACAACTCCGATCCTCACAAGACGCTCTCATTCGATCCCTTACATGTCAATGACATTGGTAACTGGGGCAACCACCTTTTCGGGGAGCTCAAAGTCCATGCGAAGGCACTTGGTCGCGAGGCCGAGGCGAAAATTGATAAACAGTAATATATTTCGTATTACCTTCTACATTATTAATATCCTTACAGGACTCTGCAGGTTCGACATGTTTCCAAGATGGCGTGACTTGAATCATTTCAAGTCCGTCATGACGATATCATTTAGCGATGGCAACAAACTCAGGGATATTGTGAAGGTATGCTATTCGACGTTGTATATCAATAAACCTACTAACATCCTCTGGACTCTAGCAAATGCTGTACTCAGCACAAAATGTGTTGAAGCGCAGTGAAGATCCTATTGGCTATGCCCTATTGCAGTGTATAGGTAGCTACCTGCAACTGACTATGTACATAGCGCTCGATGTGCATACCAAAGCGACACTCGCTGCTGGCGAAGCAGAGCTTCGAGTATTCGGGACACGCTTACATGTATCTATATACCATTTTCCTTTGACTTTTAGTTGCATCTAACATATTTTCAGGCATATATCGACATCCAGGGCGAAGATTTGACAAAGAACTGGAATTTTCCCAAGGTGCATGCTCTGACACATGCTTTCCCCGACATTCGTGCGAAAGGAGCAGCCCGTAACTTCAGTACTCAACCAAACAAGAAACAACATGGACCATTGAAGCGAGCATACTTACGCCAAACAAATCGCAAGGATGTTGCCAATCAGGTGCACAGTTGTCCCTTAATTAAAACTGCCCGCAACGCCAACACCAACACACAGGTCCTCAAGCTTGATCACATCAGTCTGGTCTCCAAACTAATATGCAGTCGTATTTCCTACCTCAATGAAGATTGGCACAAACGCACAATGTCACAGGGACAACTTGAAGACAAGGATACACTAGACGATCAACCGTTCGCAGGCCATCTTCATATTGGTGCTCCTCAAGTTCCTGTCACTCTTGCTGCAGTGGAGGAAGGCAACACATCTAACCGTGCATTTCAGGATTTCCGAAAGAAGTTCACAAAGTTTCTCAACACTTTTGTTGCGTCAAACAACATTCCTTTGGCCGATGGTGTTACGTGGTTGCAGCCTACAGCTAACGACAAGGTTCGTTCATTCACCCACATCGTTCTGAGTATCTGCTAATTATGGTTTATCATAGCTTCAAGAGCATCGCTACCTCAAAGTAAACTATGAGTCTATTGTCGACTGGAAACTGACTACTGACTACCTCCGATGTAATCCGAACTTCCATGGGTGTGAACGTTGTGATTGTGCCTTGATCCACACTCTAGACAAGGATGGGATTGACAAGCATATCTTTGTTCAGATATTGTTCATGTTCAAGTTCACGGTCAGCAATCACACTTTCGAACTCGCATTAGTCCTACCCATGGATGCTCCCACTGGTTCAAGAGGCGGTGTGGATCATGATCTGGGGCTGACTCGCCTTCACGCACGCCCTCTAGCCTCCTCAGAATTCATTTCTCTGCAATCTATTGTTCGTGGCGCCTTACTTGTGCCAGATCATGATCATGATCGTGATTTCTTCCTTGTCGATCTCGTTGACATGGACATGTTCCTCCGTGCGAAACTTTTGAGGTCCTTCTAGGGTAATGGAGGCCCACACTTTCTACCCCTGTGCCCCCACCCCCAATCCTCATCTAACTCACAAGGTCAAACTCCCTCATGCCATCACATACGCCCTTCACCGCACAAATCTGCACTCATTGGTCACCTTCACTGCACTTGTCCTTCCCCAGCATCACCATCCTCGCCTCCAAGGTCATCTGCGACAATAGTTACTCAAACAACTTCAAGGTCATCTGCAACAATACTTACTCAAACAAATCCTGGAACGTCATGGTGAGTACCCCTACCCAAAACATTCTTATTCAACCAATACACCCGCATGCTTGAAGCCAGTGATAATTCCCCCATAATATTCCTCCAACACACAAACTTTGCGGCTCAGCAGTTTCAGAAGCTGAGGCAGGATATTGCAGATGCAAATGCCAAATTTTCAGTCTCGCTATCCTCTCCAACACCTACTCCAGTCGAACTCGGTGCCCCAACCCTAGCTGTGATGCGGACTTCGCTTTTTGGCGTTGCAGGGTATTGACCCCCCTCACTCACCATTTTTTATGACATTGCCTCCAGGTATGGAGGATTGTACTGCCGTGTTGTACTGGCGCCATCATCACCCGGTATCCCAAAACACGAATAATGACCGGTGACCGAACAAGATGGCCTGATGTACAACTCTTCCTATTTGTTGCTCATTTGATGCAGTGTCAAGGTGTGTGATCCCTTATCTACAACTGCAGTCGTGATGTAGTAATAATCTCCGCCAGGCACCCATTAAATCTTCAACACCCTCACCTAAGTATCAATTATGTCGTGCTTCCTCCTGCCAGTGATAAGACGTGTCTGGTCTAGACTCATGGAGGTAAGTAGGGTGTGCATTTACATTAGATTCAATGGACCATGAGCCTCAGTACGTGTTGTGAGAGCGCAATTTTGCAATGTATGGTAAGTGTCAAACTGTATATAAACATCTTATGGAAAATTTGACAGTCTCAGGCCAAGTTGCACCTCTTCGCCTCTTTGAACCATGTCTCAACCACAGCGAAACCAATTTGCTGAAGATGATTCAGACTTCGAAAGCAATTCACACGCCAATGAGGACTCAACCAATTCTGACTCAGATGAAGATCTCATGGAGGTACGCGCTGCTATTGCGCCTGCTAGAGATGGTGCAACTATTCAGGAAGTCCGACAGGTGTGTCTTGTGGTTGTGACTGGTGTCGTTTCCCGCTACTCACATACATACAGGCGCTTGAAATGGCACAGAATCTGCTGCTGAATATGCGTGGCAAATGTCGAGAACTATTGAAACGAAACGCCCTTCTCGAAGCTACTACAGCCAAAGGACGATGGGGGAAAAACATGACCGCCAAGGATCTTGCACTCTCTGCCAAAGAAGACACTATACGGGCTCACGGGCGTAAATATTCTATGACACACTGTCTATGGATTAACGCCGGGATTTTTCCTTTGCATGTGCTTCCTAACATTGAACTCTTTGGTAGCGAGCGTTGGCTGTCGCCACAGTCAATAGAGGACGGCGTAAAGGCCAAGTTATTCAAGTTCATCCCAGAAATTGATCATGAGTTGATGGGCTATAAGAACTTTGCACCGCATGTAGGGAATTTTGTCTCAGCTTACTTAAATTAACTTGCAACTGATTCCAATTCTGACAGTTTGCAAAGGGTGTCAGCGGCATTCGCTCAGAGATGGTTTCAGACGTCAAGTCTTGCGCAGGTGCTATTTTTGGATTGAAATCTGAATTTTTTGTCTGAGGCTACCCTCGCAATACCCAGCCAGAGTGCCAAACTTTGCTTGTAAATCCCCACGGCGAATACACAAAGTTTGCGCCGGTACTCTTTCTTCATCCAGAGCATCCCAACAAAGACGAGTTTCTCAAAACGGCTAAGCTTGTTCAGGTGCGTGTGTTATTCTACGTACATTAATGAAGTCCTGATCGCTTCTACAATTACACTTAGGTCTTAAAGGTAGCACTTTTCAGGAAATCCTCCCTCTCCGCCACCTACGCTCCAGCCCCGAAGACCAAGGGCAAACTTTGGCAATTATGAAATATGACTCCAGGTATGGTTGCTGCTGCTGCAGTTGTTGTAAGTATTCATTTAATGTTGTATCTCTGAGTGTGCGCAGATTAATATCCCACTGATAGGCAATATTTGTTCTTTCAGGCGACAAGGATTTGTATGTGAAAGGCGAAAAAAGCAACATACTGTACCATCAGTATCACAACTATTATCACCAACGTCTAATGACTGGAGGTGCTTGGGCGCGAGACATCATAAACTTTTTCAACAACGCCCTCTTTCCCGAAACCTCATCCTCACACGCCACTCTGGATGTGGCAGATACCGGCACCTCCTACAACAGCTGGGAAGAGGAACTTGAGCGCGCTATGGAAGAGGGAGGTGAAGGGCCTGCTTTTCCATTTGATCCTGTCATTGTTGCACCTCAGGCTATTGCGCAATCTTCCTCTGCTGCGCACCCGCCATCTGCCTCGGTCGCACTACCAGCACCTACTCCTGTCACCACCCCTGACACACTGCCACCTGTCTCTGCAACAGCTCCCGTCGTCTTGCACTCGCCTGATCCTATCATTGGGGCACACTCTCACTCCATTTCTTTGGCAATGCAAGATCTTGCATTGGCAGGCGAGGCTAATGCGGTTGGTGCTATCCCTCCAAAGCCCAAACCAAAGCCAAGGCATACTAAAGCCAAGGCGGTCCAGGACGAATCAGGTGCTGAGGTCCGTAGGTCTGGCCGCAAGAAATGATATCATTCTGATCACACGCTGTTTCTCTCAATCTTTCTTCTGCATGCTCAAATATCTTTTTTACTATGATACGACGTCAGTCAGAATCATTACTAAATTAGGTTAGAAGTACATACAACCAAATAACTGAATAAGCAGCTACATTTCAATTCATGCCAAGTTTACCTCATCTCTTGAAATCCAACTACCACAATTTCTGAATCTCTAAGTCCATCGACAATCATCACTACGATTTCACTCAATGTCGCCGCAGCTCATCAATGTGCCATATATAATGGGCATTTTGTCGTCCTTTCATCCTTCAGTCCTTCCGATCTCTCCTCACTTTTCTCACCCCCGCATCCTACTCCACTTTCTTTTTCCAAGTCGTTCTTTATCATGAGATTATCATCTTTTGCTGTCCCTGTCTCTAGACTAGACCATCCACCAACAAACAACAGTCTAAGCAGCAGTGCAGTCTATTGTCTTAAAGGTACTGTTATTTTTTTTACAAATTTATCCCACCTCTGACCTCACCATTATCCACCCGCTCTCATTGCCATCACCACCAGTCTGTGAGCGGTATTAGGAATCTGATTCAGCAACAACTCCAGCAACAACAGCAATAACAAAACAGGTATTTTTTCGTTTGAATTAATACTCTGCCTCTGACACTCCCGATTCAGATCTACACCCTCTCGTTGCCATTGCCGTTACTCCCAGCTGCCCTCGATCGTTTCTGGCACTGGCACACTCCATCATCGTTATATTTTCCTATTCGCTCTCCTGCTATGTCTACCATATCATAAGCACAATCTACGTAGTCTTGTAAAAATCATTTTGTATTTTGTTAGTTGAACCACCCGCAATTCAATTCTGAGAGTTTCAATATGATTTCAATAGTTTGAATTTTACTGGTCGAATTGAAACTAGCGCTGCATGTCGAAATTCTCTTGAAATAAAAATAAATTATTGGAAGACACCTGAGCGCTTGGAACTGTCTTTCGATGCCTTGCAAGGCATGTCATCTTGGAATTTTAGCACTGCCTTGGAAGGCAGACACAAGACCAAATGGGTCACTGCCAACCGGCTTATGGCAATTTCGGGTGTTCTTGCAAGTCAATCGTAATGCTGCCGGCAAATTGAAGCCTTTCAATCTATTTTAAGGAATGGCAACCCAAATTATATATTTCCGACATAATATTGACTAGGGTCCTAGCATATTCTGACAGACAATTCGGCGTGGAACGCGGTCACGTGGGTGACACGATTGCATTAAGTTGCATGTAATTTTGATGTAATTTATAAAGATTGTTTTTAGTCTCGACTCTCCGTTTAGCCTGCCTTTGAGATCAACACTCTCAGAGGCTCACATCCCTTTCCAATGGATGTCGACCCCGTAGTCCCGGATGCGAGTGAGGTTAAATTCGAAGCAGCTGAATCTCCCATTCAGTCGGAACAGGAGACGGTCACATCGGTGCATGGCCCTTCGAGCTCTCAGCTACCACCGTCAAGCTCGCAGATTAACGTGGATGACATGGAGCAGGAGTCACCAGCTGTTCAGAAGGTCTTAAATGACTCCACAACGCCTGCAAGCGTGAACAAGGATGATGCGAAGAGGCGTCACAAGGCCAAGGGAACGAGGAAAGCCTCCGAAAGGACCAGCAAGGATCCTGACAAAGGACGCCCTCACAAGCGGGCTAGGTCTGATCGCGTTATTGTAAAACACGAAGATTTTTATATCTTGGACGCCAATATTGTCATCGAGGTTGATGAGGTGCTGTTCAAGCTTCATCGATCGAGGCTGGTCACCAAGTCGTTATTATTCGCGCGGCTTCTTGAAAATCACGATAAAGATATCCCTCCGAACGACGATGTGTGGGTGGAAACCGATGGCGAAGCGACGGTGTACCACCTCTGTAACACTACCGCGGATGACCTTGCGGCTCTGTTGAAGTTCGATGATAACCCAATGTACTTACTTATCATTGTCTTCGCATGGACTATTCTGACTGTCTCTAGCGAATATTACTTCGAACCTCCCCCGTTCTTAGTTCTTGCCCCCATCCTCCGCGCAGCGACTGCCCTGCGCTTCGAATGGTATCGTGCCTGGGCAGCTCGAATTCTCGAACAGACATGGTCATCAAACCTGGTGGATTTGACCTCCGAGCGGAAGGAAAATGCTGCAGAAGTTATTGTTCTTGCTCGTTCATGTGGCGTGAATAGTGGTATGAAGCGTGCCTTGTACGAACTTGCCAGGACCCGACGGATTGGTCTGCCCGACGACGACGTTTCTGGGCAGCCAAGGCTCAAGCGGATCGGTCGTGCAGACGAAAGGCGTGTGGCGCTCGTGAGAGAGTTCTTGGTCACCACCTGGTCAAGGGTCGCTGTGCGAATTGACACATTTCCCTGCCTGGACGAAAAATGGAAGGCATCACTACGAGGTACTGCTTTATCTAGCGTTAAAGTTCTTTTCTGATCTCCGCCAGATACTGCAAAGATATGTCCACAAAAGAGGGCCCAACAGGCTACCTGGGACATACGTGTTCATGACTCTGGGCTGTACACAAGATTTCTATTCGATCCAGTTTGTGGTGTTCAGGCGTTGATCGACATTCCGTGGGAGGAGGAAGAATGGTGCTCGGATTGTATCCAGTTAAGACGAGCTGCTTGGACGATGATACGACAAGAGCTTTGGAATGACATGGACAAGTATATTGCTGATAACGAGTGATATTGGAGCAAGATGGCTTCACGAACTCTACCACCGAACAGACAAGTCTGAGACATGATGTACGTGTACGCTTCTTATGTGTACCGGCTACTGACTTTGACTGTCCTCCATTGTAGACTCTTGTTCGATGCATCGAACATGACTCATCCATTCCACTTTTTCTGAATCGCGAGCAAATGATTCCATGAACATTACTTATGCCTCTCTCTATGCAAGAATCATTTCTCTGACTTCATTGCTTCAGTACAGCTTTAGTCGTTCGTATTCATGTACGTAAATGTTGGTTCAGGTGCATTCAGGGGACGGAACTGGGTGAGCACCATGATGTTCTAGTCTTCGATTATCACTCAATCTACCTGACACCTGTAGCGGTGGAAGTCATTTGTCGCGTCATCCCCAAGCTACATTTACTCTCAAACGTGATCTAAACATGAATTTGTGAACGCTTTACCGTCTAATTCGGAGCGGCATCGATCAGTGAATCCTCAGTAATTATGTACCGAAGACATGCTGACAGAAACGATCTCCCCCAATGCTATTTAAGTTCCGGAAACGTTCGTCACCGTAGTCATTTTCTACCGACGTGCCTGTGCCACCATCAGACACTAGAGCTCAAAGTCAACGTCAGGTTGTTGCAATTGCTTGCGTGGTTCACCCATGTGGACAAGCGGTATTCATGGGTTCTCGAATGGATTCAAATTCTTAGATCTGTGCTGGCATCGTTGTCTTGAGGACTGAGCGCAACCACGACTTCACAGCTTTAAATGGGTTGCCCTCAAACAACTTCAGCTAGTGCACAAGAGAACTAAGAATGGGTATCGTGCCATAAGGATGCAACCACAAAACACCAGTGACTCAAAGATAGCGTAGGTCGCCACTTACCTTTGCGCGGAATCATCATCTCGACTCGGAGTGACACGGGCGACCTTCTCAGATCGCTCATCATCACCCACAGGTGTCTGCACGGATGAAGCAGGCACCTCGGCACGCTTCCTCTTCCTCTCTAACTTCGCCTTTTCCCTCTTCGTCAGCTGATCGAACTCATCTTGCAAATGCGCCTTTAACTTGCGCATGCTCCCAAACGCACGGTCGCATCTCCAGCAACAAAGATCGTCGTCCTTTAAGAGTGGCTCATACTGGCTACGATCGAGTTTAGCCATCTGACAGAAATCCCGAATTCTATCAGTACTACAGAATCCCCCTGCAGTGCAGACGCACCCTTCCATAATATGACGGCTCGGCATCGAACCACGAAATAACATCTTTCAAATGCAGAAAGAATCCCAGGCCAGGATGAAACGAATTGTAGTGCTTCTTCAGCTTCATCCTCGGGGAATACATGTCTGCAGAAAGCACATGCAAGTGCAGGTGTCTGAAACGACGCCATGACCATGAGATAAATTAAGAAACCACAGGATAGGATAGGTGAACGCTCACTCCATACTCGAAATTGGACGAAATCCCGTCCATATTTCCCACTTGAATTTGTACTTCTTCATCATCTCTTCCTCAATCATCTTCTTCACAGTATTCGCTTCTTCATTCAAGTTCATAAGCACCTCCTTTGCGACGCTTTTCTCGCATCGAAGTAAAGAACGTAGGTCCGCGAGATGGTGCGCGCTCAAGGGCGGCTTGATTCGGGGTAAGACCAGAAGGTGAAAGATGGATTTTGGGAACGAGTCAAAGACCGTCAAACATGTGTCTGAGTGCGAGAGTAGGATCGATGGTGGCAGAGTCGTTGGATCGAGTTTGGAAGCGTAGCTGCGAAAGATAGCAAGATTGGGGGCGGAAGGTACGGTCGTCATCTGTTGCAAAATATACTACGCTTCTGGGACAGTCGGACGAGGATCACAGTGATGCCACTAGACTGTGGTGCGACTCCACCGTGCAATAAGGATGCGCAGCGGTACCCGGATCATAGAAACGTATTACATCTACTTACGAACGTTTGCGCCATTCAATACATACAAAGGCATGGACCCTGGTTGACATAAAATGGTTAGGTGATCCCCGGATCGTTCATCCACGTACGTCAACGAAGCTTTGTTCTATGAACAAGGCTGGGATCGTCCCGGATCCTAGCTTGTTTTTTATGTAAGCCTGCAGGTTGAAGTCTAAGCAATAGATCGGTGGGGAAAGTCTGGAGCGGGCGGTGTGTAAGTATATGAGCCCGAATGACTGACATACTCAGTGATTGATCGAACATGATCATCGCGGACTATTGCGGATTCGCGGATTGATCGCGGAGAACTTGAGCGTTGCTCAAGGATCTCTCGGGGGGTCGCCGGCCCGGGCCCGGTGATCATGCAAATTCCAGTTCAGACTTGGTTCAAACTTCATTTTCACTGTTGTAGGCCACCGTTACCAGACTGGTGGAAGGACCCAGACCCTAAAAAGTTCTCTAAACAGGCCTTGCTATCTCGTGCACTCTGCCTGATTTCGGTAGCAAGACTGACTGTTGACCAGTACTGGCAATCTTTCACGGACGATAACGAATGGGAGAAACAGCAGAAGAAGATCATCGTTAGACTGTCTAATCATCATCCGTGTACTGATGCCATGACGTTGCAGGCAGGCTTTGTGGTGTTCTCTTAGTAGTCGAAATATGAAGAAATCCAACATCGGATTTGCAAATGCTCACTACTTCTGCTATCTTCGTTTCAACACAACCTCCCCTGGCATCATTTCTTCCATACACACCGCGCGGTTCCTATATTTTTGTCTTCTTTCGTGCATGCGCTCGGTGGCTTGATGTGTGGTTTAGCGGTGGTTAATATATACGAAGCCTGCGATCGGACATGGGCTAAAGATGTTGGTAATAAACCTGGCCTTGCGCGTATTTATATTTACATTCACATAATTGCAGGTCTTGACGGCTTCGCACTTTCGATCATGCTGTACACTTCTATTCATCAGCTGGCCGAGTATATTCCTCACCGTCTCTATCATCTTCTTGAATGTTAGGTGAGTAGTTGATCCTTGCGCGGAGATGTATCTTGATGTTGTACCCCATAGCTCTTCTGATTGCATGTTATACTCCAGGAATGTGGTGGGTTCAATGCTTGGCTACAATAGAAGTCTTGTCCTGGGCATAGCTGCCACCTCTCTTTGCCTGGTGGGCAGGTCTTTAGGAGCATTGGCGAAGAGCGCGGAGAGGCACTGGAGTGGGTTGTATATACATATGCAGATATTCCCTCGCTGACCCTCGTTCTTCTTGGGGTACAGATAAATAGTAGGCTATGTTCATGTACTGTCGATGCATGCTGCCGTGCGACGTGATGCCAAGATTGCTACAGTGCCATGCTTTGGTGAGAAATGTGTATGTACTTGCTTCATGCGCGATTCTCGCTGATATTATCGCCAACTCCAGTCAACCATACTAGAAAGATGGGGGCCATGGCCAGCAGGTAAGGCGAGATGTCTTGTTATATCCCATGCTCTTGCGTTCAGTGTTCACCTCACAATTTTTCGACGTCAAAAGGACTGTTCAAGAGCGCGACATGACGGGCGTTGCCTCCAGTGAACTTTCAAACGATGTTATTTCAGAGCAAGAGACCTTCAATTTTCAGCTCATAGATTATGATTCTACCGTAGAAATCTGAACTCTCCTCGAAAACGAGTTTCATGCTCTGAATTCCCTTCCCTGGCAATCCGTCTCTATGGGTTATCAAGTCGAAAACTTGCCGTCTGTTTGCATCCTCTGGGTGGATATATGTCCATGTCTGCCATTCGGGCCTATCTGACGCTTCGCACACCGCCGAGTCTACATTTCGTTCCGACAAAACCCCCCTGGAAGATGATGGTGACACGCCTGGGTATCGCTGGCTTTTCGAACGTTAGATGGATATACTGCCCAGGACCCTAATATCTGAGGTCAATGAGGTCTCGGAACGAGGGAACGTCGTTATACCTGTTGTGATGTCCAGCACGTTTCTGGATTATTGTCCGTGAGGTGTTTCTTCCCCGTGGATTTTTCCAACGTGGAACTGACTCTGGTAGTCAAATTGTGAGGACTATTTTCTCCCGCGAGACAATTACTGACTTGACATCCTGTGGATTAGTTGATATCAACGATATATAACTGTTATCCATCGTTGATCTTCACGAGCAAGTGCTGTCGGAGGCATTGGGCTATCGGAAGGCGATAGAACTGGCAGGTTATTCTCACGCATCAAATCGTCGAGGTTCATCTTTTTCAATGACTGCATCGATACCACTTGGCTTTCCAGAGCATTAATAAATGATTCACAGTTGATACTCGAAGCTGTTTTTTCCGCGTTATCTAAACATGAATATGCAGTGTCAGTCGCATTTACCAGTGAGATTGATTTTCTCCCAGTATCCTCGCCCACCCCCGCCACTCCGTCTTATTTGGCATCCCCGCGGCCTCTGGTTCACTCAAAGGCACAAGGGCCCGCAGGAACGCCTACCACAGGCATTAGTGCCTTCCATAGTACTGCACAGCTGGCCTCCGCTGAAGGGACTTCGTCGCGTTGAGTGCAGTATGCGGGTTCGCTCTGCGTCGAAACATTTTATATATATCGCGTTGTTGTACTCTGGTGCCGTAGTATTATTTTGGTCGAGCCCTCATGTCGATATAATTTGTGCTTGTGTCTGCATTTAAACCTTGAATAATCAATTCTAAGATTGAGTAGCGGCTTTGTAACAAACATATTTCTGATCAGTTGTTGAAAAGCTTCGACTTAATTTCCAGTCTGTCTTTGACACCAACGGAATGGGCAGTAATGTCGCAAATTGCTCGACTTTAATTCCTTCTTACCGTGCATAATGAATGTGTATATTATAACCTATAAATTACCATAATAACGAGTGCGCACTGCGCAAGTGGTACGTCATGCCGTAGAATATAAAGTGAATGTGTGCAATGCGCTATGCCATGGAGTACGAAATGAATGTGTGTAGTTTGTGGAGTGTAGTGACACTATACACGATGAGTTGACAGCATGCGGACAGTGGATAATGTAAATGAGATATGAAACGAACGCCATATCTCATCGTTGACTAGGAACAGAAGGAGAAACATGCTAGTTCTGGGGAGGTTCTTCAGACGAAAATTGGTCAATAATCCACTGCGTTACCAGGACCGCTACATCTGGCTCGAGGCCTACCAAGATAGCGGCGAGCTCTTCTGCGGCGGCAGTTTCTGCTGCAGTCTCTGTTGGTTCAGACGACGCAGGGACGGCAAGTAACGAATTCGTAATAACGGCCATTCTTTGCGACTCCGTAACTTTGTCCGCCTGGGGCGGGATTTGCACGTTATCTATGACATTTGATGTCGTCGATCCAATAGATATTGATGCGGCGGTTGCGGGCGCGCAGAAGGTGAAAGGCGTAGTGGGTGCCGCAGGTGAAGCGGAAGCGGAATTCGTTGAACCTTGACTAATGGCTGAGCATAGTGACTGCGCACCCGTCTCTAGCTCTAGGCGTTGCCTTGCACAGAGCGAATCTCTCCAGTGCCTCGTCAAGGCATCCGTCCTGCTGAACCTAATCACAACTATTATGAGACGCATTTATTTGAGAGAGGGGACACGCACGTCATGGAACAATAAGGGCAAGCCAAGTGCCCTGGTTTGACACCTTGATGCTTGGTCGACTTGAAGTGCTTCCGATAACTGGTCGCAATGATTACTTTGCCACACTGGTCCCTAAGACACTTGAATAACTGATTGCCGTGTTTGTCCGTCTCTCTTAGGGGTTGCTGTCCCCAAAATGAGTATTCAGCCTCACAAGATGAAAAGGAAGCTTACAAATTCCATGTCCCGCGATATGTCATAGAGCTTGGCTCTCTTTCTTGGTCTGTAGCCTTCACAGTCTTCCCCGACGCGCTTTTGACTGGCCGGCGCCAACGAAACAGTTACTTGAGGCAGAGAGGAGGAAGTAAAGCCCATTGCGAGCTCAGAACCGTGATGCTGGTAAGGGGGCGGAAATGCGGCAAAAGATTCTGAGGGGAAGGAAGGTTGATTGTACTGGAGAGGCGCGGATAGATGTTGGGGGGGTAGACCAGCTATAGATTTCGATGTGTACGGATTAATAAAAGACTGAACGCATGTGGGAGGATAAGGAAAATTGTATGCGGCTTGGAACGGATAATGCGGATATCCAGCACCCACGCCCGAGGATGCGACTTGGGCATGTGGGGGAGCGGCGACATGCACCATGTTAGGCGGGAGGACGCAGGGGTTCGTGCGCTTGCGCTGTGGCATTGCCGGGTTGAGGAACGTATGCGGGCTGGGGATAGGGCATTTGACCCATATACATTGTATTCGGCATAAATCCGTTGTTGTTTCGAACGGGTAGGGGAGGAAAGTTGCGTGCGCTCATCTGGAGGCAAGATACAGTTAGAAAATGTAGGTGATGAAGATAGGAATAAACACACCTGGCCAGCAGATAATAACTTGAGAGTGAGAGTGCGCACGCGTTCAGTGGCAGGTGGAGGTTAGTGGATATGAGAATCAAGGCTACCGGAACAGTATTTATATGTGCGTCGAGGGCTACTTTGAAAGTACCCTCGCGCTGCTTGTACTGTGGATACTTTCGTTTTGTGGAAGATTTCCTGTGGACCACTATTATTCACTAAAAACTGGCAGTGGTCTTTTGCTCGACCGGTTAGGCTATGTGCCCACCCCTGACGTGTTCATTGTTGTTACAATTCCACGATACAAAGACGAGATGCACGCTGTGGATGCATTGCCCTAGCGGGAGCGAACAACACTCCGATGGAAAACTCCACAGTACAACCTTTGGTATCACCTTCTAAACCCATGATTTGATGGAAAGCTCACCAGTAGCCCGACTCAAGCGCCAAGCGCCACAGGTAAGAACATCCTCACTGCACTTTTTGTGAGTACTCACCTTGTGTTGGTTTAAAGCTTGATACACTGTAACATCCTGTCTTAAATTCAACCACAAAACATTACTTCCTGTTTCCAACCACACAAGTTGAAGGAAATCGCCAACCTCCATCCAACATTGGTAGATTCAAGCAAATATTTGCCGGTGCCACCCTACTGGGAGCTTACAAGTGACCTCCCATTATGTTGCCTATATCTGGTTGAAGGATAGCAAGATAATAGCAGTTGCAAGGGTTAAATTTTCTGACCCAGAAGGACAGGAGATATGCTGAACGGTAAGGGAAACTTACAGCTAAAATTCCCTTATCAACATTATCGACACCAGGGAGCGTAGAAGAAGCCCTTCATCGTTAAACAGTTGGGACGCTTTTTTGCACTGTTAGGGCTGGTAACAAACTCCAGAAGGGACATCCGCATATCCTGTCGATGGCGCGGCCTGAGCCAAGAGGTCTGGATTGGATGGAGCACCAACATACGCAGGAGATAGGCGGCCACGTCATGACAGAATGGGTCAAGATCGGTTATAATATCCTCATAACAGTCCTATTCTTCCCCTCCGCGTCCGTTTACCTTGTGGTACGTGGTGCACATCAGAAATCCATATCAAAACCACGCACCGCGGGCCGGGGCACACTATGGCTGCCTCTCTCTCTTGGGGCAAACTTGCATAAACAGGCTGTGGATGATTCGGTTGCGTAGATTTTTGACATTAGACGGTCATCATCGAACGGGTACTCATGCGTAACGAATCTTCCTTCGATGCGTGCGCCGTGCATAGACTGGAGCCCGGAGGAAAACTGTCATACTGATTACATAAGCACACACGCTCCTTGAATATTGAATTCCAGCTCGGACTCGGAAGCTCTGAGTCTGACGCAGAGCCCGACGCGCAGTGGAACTGGAGTAGAATATGCGTACCCTGCCCAAACGCCTGTACACGTACTCCCAATTACAGCACTGACGCTAGGATTGCAAAGGACTCCTGATCATTGAAATCTTCAGTAGGTAACCATTGACCAAGGCATGTCGAGTTGCTCAGCACTGTCATATAACAAAGAAACCCAGGCGGACTTATCGCATTTGATATATTTATTATCATGACAGAACTTTAGAAGGCCCTCTTGGAGTCTCGCGGTAAGATGCGAGTTTTGACGCCCATCTATCACACAGCACAAACACAGCAGCACACTGCCTGCCCCATCTTATAAACCTCAAGAGTTTGTCCTTCACTGGAAAGCATAACTATTACCCAACTTACACACTATGTGGTCCTGGGACACTCAGCCGAATTCGCATGCGCAACGCAAGTTCATCGAACTTATATTCGATCGAACCGGAAAGTTTCCTAACTGGGACCCTCCATCAGAAATTCCAGTGCGTGTTATCAGTGGCTCATATGTTCTCTCGTTACATGTTGACGTTGAACAGGTTGGGTCATATGGAAGGATCGACAAAGCCACGGGCAACTTGATCCCCCAAGGCTCCATCTACTCAGACGATTTCAAACAACGTCTCGTCGATGCAGGTATCAACCCTGAGTCTGGCGAGCATCTTCCCGAGGAATGTCCGGAGGAGTCTGAATTCACGACTTGGTCCAAAAATGTGAGACGAATCGAATTGAACGTTGATTCTCAAGCGTGAGTTGCCAAGTCCTTAGTATTCGATCATCTTTGACATCGCATTCTGATTGGCTCCACCAGAGGTATCCCTGGGATTGCCACTGCTGCAATAAAAGGGACATGGCAAGTCAAGAAAGGCACCACTGGCGCTGTCTTGCTCATGAATAACCCTCGCATCAAACGCATTACTTCAGACGCCCTTACGAAGCTCGCGCGCATTCAGCTTCTTCAATCCATGCATCTCGTCACCAAAGCCTTCTATTGTCCCGCCTTCTCCTTGTACCTCTCAGATACAAGTGAGTAGCGCTATCCTATTAGAAATAAAATATACTCATTCTGGGGCAGGCGGCGACAGTTTCTCCATAGCTCTTCTAGGTTCCGCGCCTGTTCTGGCGCCTGTGGTCACTGTTGAGGCGGCGGCTTCGATGAGATGGTGGAGTGACGCACAAACTGGATTAGCACGCAACGGATGCAAGACGGAGCATTGCTTCACCCCTTTGTATGAACTTCTGCATGTTAGGCACCCTCGTAACAGGCGAACATCACCATCCCCAGTACGCACAGGTGAAATGCTGTGAGTGGGCTCATTTCTTCCACGAGACGGACGCATTGGCTAACTGAGGAGCATGCTAGGTGGATCGCCCCTCCCCTCCCGTGGGCGCCTCTCCGCGAGGATGGCACAGAGGTGCCGATATACATCAACGTGAGTATCACATTTTATCGGACAATTTCTGTATTTGACGACTCCTTACACAGGAGAACACGGATAGCAGTGAATCTGATGAGGAATAAGGTGGCCAAGACCACACCCGCAGGGGGAACCAGTGGCGGAGTTTATGCTAAGATGCGTGACGAGTCTGTATCATACTGTAATACCGGCGACAAGTATTTATAACTTCCTTATGGCCTATGGCCTGTACAATATGCTCTCGATGCGCCGGAATATCATTCTATGTCTCATCTGCATGTTTTGGAGCCCTCACATAACTTTACCAAACACTTCTTACAGCATAGTCCGAGTGAGTCTCAACCACTGGTGCGTGAACAAATACTATGATCCGTTGTTCCAGTGAAATCTGATTCTTGCGCAACACAGCCTTGTGCAATGTCCAGCGCGTACGCAGCCCAATCTTCCTGAACTACTTATCAACTGGCCAGGTTGTCATAAGAGCAGAAACAATTTGCCTTATAATCGTCGCTGTCGACAGATCTACTTACTGCATGGAACCTATCACACCGCAAAATCCGGAGAATTGCATTGCCGCAGCCAAAGCCGCAGCGATGGGATGGATTGCCTCATCAGGGCTCGATGTATGTCCCTGATCATTACAGGTCGGCCGCGCATTGCAAAGGAAGATTCAAACGAGCGTTCCATGGGTCCATGGGTGACCCACTGGTTACGATTCTGAAGTTATGCAATTGTGCAATACTCACATGTGCTTGAGGGGTGCTCAGGTTAGCAGTTGCGACAGCGTGATGGATCAGCCACCCAAATCAGAAGCGTGCTCTCCCAGTCTGGAGATATGATTGCCAATATTGTCAACAGAACGGCAGTGCTGAAGCAACAACATAAAGATCAGAAAGTTAAACTCGGGCAGTTTTGCCAAGTGTCCCCTTGCCAAGAAGAAGCTCCATAGTACGTGACGTAGCTGAGGTTGCTGCGGCTTCCATCGACAACGCTGCGTGTAGTGCCTACCCGATTACCTGCGGGTACGGTCCTGGGCTACACAACAGCAGGCGCTGGGATGAAAGACTCGGATACAACCCCACCAAGGCATGTAATCGCTCCGCACTGCGATAACACCTGGAAAACCCAGGCGAACTGGCCATGATCAATCATGTTTATTTGAACGGACCTACAACGTATAGTACTTACCCCGTCTTTAGAATAAAATATCAAAAGGCTCTCACGTCGCGGTAAGATGCATCCGGATTTTGACGCCCGCCGCATACAGCTGCCATACACTATCAAATTTGTAAGTAACATCCTCTTAAAATCTCCCGTTGGTCATTCACTAGCAAACCACACCCACCATGCAATTGTGGACCTGGCTCACCGAGCCGAATTCGCATGCACAACGCAAGTTCATCGAGCTTATATTCGACCGAACTGGAAAGTATCCCAACTGGGATCCACCCTCGGAAATTCCAGTACGTGTTACCAGTGGCTCACATCTACGTTCGTTACATGTTGACGCTGAGCAGGTTGGGTCATACGGAAGGATCAACAGAGCCACCGGCAACTTGGATATCCAAGGCTCCATCTACTCAGACGATTTCAAACCGCTTCTTATCAGTGCAGGTATCGACCCCGGATCTAACATACATCGTCCCAAAGACTGTCCTGAAGAGTCTGAATTTACGACTTGGTCTAAAAACGTCAGGAGACTCGAATTGAACGTCAATTCTCATGCGTGAGTTGCCAAGTCGTCAGTCTTGATACCGCATTCCGATCGGCTCTACCAGAGGTGTACCTGGAATTGCCACAGCTAGTATCAAAGGAACATGGCAGGTCAAGAAGGGGTCCACTGGCGCTGTCTTACTCATGAATAAACCTCGCATAAAACATATTACTTCAGAGGTCCTCGGGAAACTTGCGGGCATTGAGCTCCTTCAATCCATGCACCTTGTTACCAAGGTCTTTTATTGTCCTGCCTTCTCATTGTATCTCTCAGATAAAAGTCAGTGCGTCATACCGTCAGAAACTAATGTACTCATTTAGGTGCAGGCGGAGAGAATATCAGCATTGCTCTTCTAGCTTCCGCCCCCGCTGTGGCGCCCGTGGGCACCCTGGAAGCGAAGGCTACGATGAAATGGTGGAGTGACACGCAAGCTGGATTAGCACGCAACGGATGCAAGACGGAGCATTGCTTCACCCCTCTGTATGAACTCTTACATGTTAGGCACCCCCGCAACAGGCGGACATCACTATCGCCAGTACGCACAGGCGAACAATTGTGAGTGCACTCATTGCTTCAGCGAGGGTGACGTGTTGGCTAAAAAAAGAGCATGCTAGATGGATTGCCCCTCCCCTCCCGTGGGCGCCTCTCGATGAGGAGGGAAATGAGGTTCCGGTATACATCAACGTGAGTGTCACATCTTACTGCCCAATTTCTGTATTTGACGACTCCTTGCACAGGAGAACACGGATAGCGATACCAGTGAACCTGAGGAGGAATAAGGTGGCCAAGTACACACCCAAATGGAAAACCATTGGCAGTAATGTCCAAATACTCACTCGCTTTCTAAAGCACAGATTGACGAGCGTGCATCATATTTGTAACACCAGCAACAAGCATTGTGACCGTCACGGACTGTACAAATACTCAATATCACTAGCCTTCCAATAACTCCAGCGTGCCCGCCATCTAAGACTCCATTGCAATGCCGTAGAGCCCACTCAGCTGTACTGTTCAAAAGAGCGGCCTGGCGATCTAAATAGTGAATTGTGAGCGTCTACAAGGTATAGATTACCCCGTTATCTCAAGCTAGCCGGCTATAGCCTATACGATAGCATCCCACAGCTTGCATAGGATGCTGTTAAGTCTTGTGCAATTCAAGTTCACCAACACCTTCAGCGGTCAGGGGACTGCGAGCCAGAACTCAGTCCTCAGAGGACATCTTAGATACCTCGGCTCAACGTGTCATATCAAGTGGAATGTAGACGGGCACTCAGCAGGATAATCAAGGGCGTCACAGGTGTACCTGCTGGCCAATGACTGTACCATCTTCTGCTGCCTTTGGAGGTCAGAGAACAGAACTTTTATCCCAGCGATTGGGGGTTACTAATGATCAACAAAATTCAAATTCCCCACCCTGGTCGTAGATATGGTTGACATATGGACAGAATCTATCTGTGTGAAGCAGATCTGTGCAGCGTACGTTTTTCTTTTGTTTTTAACCAAGTCTGGCATAGTGACATTTATCCAGAATGATGAAGATCAGATCGAGTTTGAGGTCATCAAGGTTTAGAGCGAAGTCTAGTTTATCAGTTGTACTGAAGATTGTGCGGTCCTCGTCAATTGGATAACAATGCACAGGACAGATTGCCGTACAATAATCCAGTACTCATTCTCCTCGCAGCAAGGGACTGGTTTTGATCGTTCAGATGAAACGCCCGGTCTGTTCGACAGGAGCTAGAATGCGGTCACAACACACATCACCTACATGGGATGGGATAGTTCCTGGTCTGGACTCGGGGTTTCATACACACGCTGATAAGAATCGTTTCATATAACGCGTCAATCTTTGACGGATGAGGTATATTTATGCATCAAGCTAACGAAAAGCGACGGCGTGCCGCCGCCATCAACACGTTCGGTCGCCAAAACCGTACCGAACTCTGCGGAGAAGCTTGTAGTGAAAGTGTGGGGAGTTGTGCTTTTTGTTATCCCGGCCGAACGCCGTAACAGCGCCACAGGTAGGAACGTGGACCGAGTATGTCGCGTGTCGAAAATGACATCATCAGTCCCGAACGACCGCACGGTGTGGCACAGATCTACCCTAATCCAGAACATCCGAGATCCAGCATCTGACCAGCACAAAGACTTCCCAGGGCCATGACTATGACGTACGGTAATCAGTGTCTTGAGACACAATTTTTCTTGGTTAAATCGGTTTCCCCAATGCGCAAGCAAGAATTCCCCAGCACGAAATGTTCAGCCGAACACAATCAGTTATCCGCTGATTTAACAAGAGGTGTGGGTCGACCGCATTGTGATTGTACGCTCGTAGGTATGTTCGGATTTACGATTTTCCACGGAACCGTGACGAAATCCTGGCAAATGGCTTATCGGCTTTACCACGGTCTACAAGCATCACATACGAGTATCAGGTTAGTAGCGGAGACTGACAGCATAGAAATCCCAATGGGAGACGTACGTCGGCTTCTAGATGCAATGATACTATTGCTTCCTGTCCTTGATCGCTCAGGCGATCGAGTACGCGTTCAAGAGGATCTGGCGCAAGGTTGCATGAGTCTCAAAAAAAGTAGTTTTATTAGAGTGGCCCATCTTCAATAAGTGTGCTTCTAAAACGGCTGGCGGGAACGGCGGACCCGAGGTGCACGTCCCTATCCACCTAGAGATAAGGTGTGGGGTGCAGGGGCTCCCTAGATTACCAGTACTATCCAACAGAGGATGGACTATCCCCAGTGGACAATAATTCAAGTTCGTGAAGTGCTATAGCTTGTTTGGAACGGCAAAAACATGCGCCAGATGTGCATGTCGCTGCGTGGCAACGTGCTTAAGGTGTCGTGACGCCACTCAAAGAAAACTACAGCCTTGTGTGCTTCAGTATCGGGACGAGTGACAGAAAAAAAATGTACGGCGACGAATTCGTTAAACGCCAGAACTCGTTTGGGACGGCAAAAACATGACCTAAAGGAGCGCGGTAGGTCGAGTGATCAGGCCGAGGAATTAAGGCGACCGGCGGGAGTGTCCATCGACTCCACCCTGATACTATACGTGAATAGTTATCAAGGCAGATGCTTGCCCTCACAAGTTGCGGGCGGAATCAAGCTGTCAGAAAGGGCCTGGCCGGGAATTGAACCCGGGACCTCCTCGAATTTGGGTGAACCCTAACAAGGAATCATACTACTAGACCACCAGGCCGATGAAGTGCTCGACTGACTAAAGCATCATCACCGTGCAAGTACCAAATTGGTCCTGACGTGTAGACGCATTATCCGTAAAGTTCCCTGTAAACGTTTAAACTTTGAAATGAGGTCGCAGAATTGGTTTCAGTTCGACAATGGATACAGAGCCTAACCTCGGGAGTGCGCCTCAGCGCGGTGGGTGCGGACCTATATATATCATAATTATGATGATAACACCTAGCTGCTCGTTGCTGTTGTTCATTATTAGTTTCAAGTTTCAGTGTATTAGTCTTCGAGTTTTCTGCATCCCTGGCCCATACCGCAACAGCATCTTTCATAAAACCGAGAGCTGCTGACGAGGCGGTGACCGCAACGCGATTGAATCTCGTGAAGTTGATAAAAATACGTATGTATATATATAGGCGGTGTCGGTGATCTGCTGGTGATCTACACCGATGCAGTTGAGAAGGGAAAGAACGAACGAGCGAAAGTCTTCCCCAGCGTCTGACAGCGGCGCCTAGGCCCTAACCAAGTCGGCGGCATCTGCCGAAGCATTACCCAATTTAAATTTCAGGAACAAAGGTGATTTGTCTCAACGTCGACGTCAGAAAACAGTATAGATCTAGAATTGAGACGATATATAAGCAGTGAGTTTCAGTTCTTATCACCAACTCACCAGGATCCAAAATGATGACCGCAGCACCGACCTCGTCGAGTCTCGCAACAAGCAAGTCTCGTTCAAGACGACGGTCGCATACCTTGAAGCTAACACCAGCTTCCACACCAGCCTTGAGCTCGTCGTCGCCCTCGTCTTCGCCGTCAAGTTCGCCGTCCTCTTCTTCTTCCTGCTCGTCCTTATCCTCATCGCGAACCACCTCGTGCTGCAGACCACCCTACGTACCTTTGTGCGACTTGTTTACCCCCGCCGACACTCGCGCACACTCAGCCTCACAGACACGTTGCTCCGCAAAGTCTACGCCGGCATCACCACCACGGAAATTTTCACATAGTTTTCTCGTTTCGCCTCCGCCGACATCTTTCCTCGTGCCTGTTGGAATGCGCAATCACCACCATCCACGGGAACGCGGCTTGCTCTCCGAGAGTCGCGATCAGGAACTGAGTCCAGACGATGAAGAAGAAGACACAACTAATGTTATATATGCTGCTAGACGTACCCGAAGTAGTCAGGACATCCACCGTCACACTAGTACACGAGTAGCGAAGGACTCACGTGCCAGTGGGTTCAGTACATTCCTGAGTGTGGGTCTTGGCTGGCGGAAGCCCAAGTCAGAGCAAATAACCACTGCTCCTGGACAATTGGGTGCGGGTGAAACAGAGACTGAGGCTGACGAACCTGTGAGCTTTTTCGATAATTATACATTCATACCTGCCTTACTTACCTGACACGTATCGCAGCCACGACATCTTCCGACGACGCGTATCCTACCTGTTTCAGAGCCATTGGTTCCACCAAGCACTCTCACTACTCTATTGTTCGAGGCATCGCGCCTCTTGTCTGTCGTCCCTGCTTCACTGGGCGCACTAATAAACGCCTGGTGCGTGTGGAATCCTCCAGGTTTGTACTCAGAACACTCTCGAATAAATTGGGAGCCCGGTAGTTGGGGTCGTATCACCCTACCGGACAGAGCGGAGTATCTCCTCGCCGTGCTGTGGGTAAGGTTCTAGGTTTTTGGGATGATTAATCTCGTTTTTATTCTTCTCATCCACAGGCGTTACTAACGGCGCACCAATGCCTCCAGTTGACAACCGGACTCCTTCACCGGTGGCGCGCCTACTACCCCCCTTTATCTACACTTATACGCCTTCTTGCTTTGCAGGCCATTTGTTGGCCTGCAACCCACTTTACTCTCGGAATCCTTGGTGGACTGGGCTTTAATGTCGATGCCGCATCCTCTACGCTAAGCATCCTAGACAACACACTGCTGCGTTGGACTACTGTACGTCCGGATGTGTGCTGGGCCGTCATAGGGACAACGACGTGCATCTCTCGCAGCATCCAAATATGGGTGACAAGCAACCTTCTCTCTTCAGATACAGGCACTCGCGCGTCAGCTGTCCCTGATCGTCTACGGCCACATGTGAAGCTTAAGAGCGAGGAGACACGGAAGGTAGTTGGACGCCGGTGGGATTGGGGTATTGTTGCAAGAGTGTGTATGTTACCTGCAGGGTGTTTGTATTTTGTCATGGCATGGGTTGGTGCATGGAGGAGAGAGACTTGGGGCTGCTAGAGCTATAGATTGCTTCCATTTGTACACTTGTGCAGTTTTACCGTGTTGCATGCGTCGACGTCGCCGACTTGTACATCAGATCAATATGCTATGATCAATCTCCTGGGTGATCCGCTCCGAGTACATATATATCCTGACAGGGGTTGGATTACTTACAGCAAATGCGACAATATATGGCGAAATTGGGTTTCAAATTAGATACCTATGTGTGGACACGATCTGCTATTCCAGTGGAATCTTATTGCGCCGCAATTGTCTTCACAGCCTTGTACAATGCTACCGCAGCGCGTATGCAGAGACTTGGGGCTGCTAGAGCTATACTTGATCGCTCCCATTTGTACGCTCTTGTGAAGTTGTATCCTTCATGCGTCGACGTCGCCGACTTGTACTAATTAGACCAATCACGTGCTATGATGAATCTCCTGATTGACCACGCAGTCTCAAAGCGAGTGATAACAATATTGCCACAAGGTGTGGTACACTAGTACATACAGAACAGATACAAAAAGGATAATAAAACTGACCCTCCAACGCGAATACTCATACAGATACGAATCCAGTTATCCATACGATCTCTTCAGATATAGAACATGGTCTCCTTCAAATTGGCATGGACGCCATTACCCCATGCCTGAATAGCAGCATCATAGACACGTTGCTTGGCCGCCTCTCTTTCCTCTGCAGCATCTCTCGCCACGGCCTTCCCTTTATCCTTCCCACCTGAGGAACCAGGTGCAGGAGGTTGCTCCGAGCTGAGGAATCCATCAAGGTAACACCGAGCCCGCTCGCATGCCAGGTCGGCATAATACGCCAGGGGGACAAGGCTTACAGCCTTCGTGGCGCGGGCATACAAGTAACTTGCGGTGTGCGTGCCCTGCTGCACATCGTCGGCGCTGAGACCGCTCTCATCGTAGATGACCGTATAGTGCGTGGGTCTCACATGGCCCTTGATCCCATCATGAGCCTGCAAATAAAAGTCGAAATCAAAACTGGCAGAAACGAGACGATGAGCTGGTTCCATTACACGGGTTTGATGAAACTTACACAGCGGTGACGCGTCTATCAATGACAGTTCCCGGGCGCGTATTTCCGTTTGGACTCTGGAACCTAGAGTTCGGCCCGAAGCGCGCGTGGTGGCGTTTCCCACAAATGATGATGCTTAATTGGGGTCGGTATTCAGCAAGACCCTTTGTCTCCTTGTGGATTGCCTTGAATGCATCCAGAATCTTGTCCTTCTCAGAGCCGTGCTCGAGCACCGTGTCAAATTGGCCCTAGGTTGTGGATCAGTGTTCTATTCAAGAAGAGAAGGTGGAATGATTAATGTCTTACCTCCGAGACGCCGTCTCTGTAGACGATGACTCTCTGGGGGATGGAACCACTTTTCTTCATGTACGCCCTCAGCCGCTCTAGCATCATCTCTTTCAAATCATCTATCATCTGTGAGCGTCTGTCAGTCATCAGATAGGCAAGATTTTGTTAGAGCAGTATACCTCTTTCTTTGACTCCTGACACCTCAAACTCGCAGGGCATTGCGCAAAGGTGTTGTCAATGGTGGCGACGACAGCAGCGATAGATGGAGTGCCGGCCTTGCTCGCAGGTCCAGGGTGGGTAACATCCATGCCCACGAGCATCGTGCTCTTCTTCGTCAGCCAGTGTGTACTTTCAGCGTCGAGAACATGATTGATGCCCCCGAGTTTCTGATTCAACTTCAGGGCGACATTGGCATGATACTGCTGCGAACCCTTTGGTTTCAAAACCTTGCTCAGGACCATGGTGATAGAATGGATGCCGAGCTCGACATCGCAGATACGTTTGATGCCGGGGTATAGCTTCGTGTCACGGAAGGGTAGGAGGACCAACACGAATGTCGGGTTGCCCATTCTGAGGTCCTGGATCACCCGCTTTATTTCCTTTGTACCCTCCAACCGATCCTTGTCCCGAAATTGTGGCAGTTGGGACGTTCTGCCAATAGTTGGGGGCTGGTTTGCGAACGTCATTCCCGACTTCTGACAACCTTCTTTGAAGCCTCTCCACACTCTAGACACATCTTCGTCACTGGTGGGATTGCGCCCGTCAAAGACGACTAAAACCGCCCATTTAGCAACAGAAGCTCCAGTGTGAAACTTCACATTCGCGAGGTTCCAACTACCCTTTGCTGGCTGTACAGTAAGAGGACCGGTACCATACAGTAAACGTTTGGGAGGAGGAAGCTCTCGTGCAGAAGTATTCGTCATGGTCTTGCTGACCGATATGCCAAACTTGTCTAGAAGGCTTGCTTTGGGTTCAGTCAAGGCAAGCGAGGGTAATCCTTGGTTGACTATTTCGTCAAAGTTGTCTTTCGGAAAGGGGCATGAGTGGTTCAGCATCTTCGTGGTTTCACGATCGTCAAGAAGACCTCTGAATGGCTGCGACTCGATCATACACAGCTCCAGGGGAACAAAGACCGACCTCCTCTCTGTCCCGAGGTCAGCGAGGGGAAGTTCTGGATGTTCCAATGATATCTTGTACACTGGTGGCTCATGATCAGCTTAATGAAGAGCCAACAGCTCATGACGACAGTACCTTCCCGGAAATGCTGGGCGACTGAAATTCGGCGCCCATTCTTGATGAACGTGGTTTCCGCTGCGGATGACGACGTGATCCGGAACAAGGTGTAGCGCTTCTTGTAACCGAGATACATGGTAGTCACTTTGACATTCTGAGCAAACCGTTGCAGCCCATTGGAGCAGTCTTCATTATAGGCCACGTCGAGTCGTCTAATGGGCTTGTAGAACGGTGTCATGGATACACCGACATTAACCATCAACTCTCCGAAAACGGGCCTCGCAGACAAGAAAAAGCCTCTGAATGCCTCCAGACCCGTGGGGCCGGGGGAAAGCTCCATCGCCTTATAACCCGGGAACCCGAAGTAGCGACTGTTCCCGACACGGATAGCAGTAGATGAAGCATGTTGCTGAAGAACGATGTTGATTGCGGATATAAGCGGGGAAATGTCGTAATTATCGATGTTGCAGCACAGGAATCTGAACAATAAGATTAAGGCCATGACTCATATATATCTCCTAGCTTAGAGCTTACTTCATCAGTTCGTCAATCTCCCACATGCGGAGCAATTCGAAGGAGACAGTATATTCTGGCGAGTTTGGACCAGGCATCTGTTCTTCCTCGAAGAACCTCACGCGGATCTTCATGGGCTGAGGCAGCTCCTTGGCAGATACCAACCTCTCTTTCCCATCATATGCCACGAAGAACTTGACACTTTGCCAAGTCTGGTTATTGGTCTGCTCGAGGAGTGATAAAAGACGGCGTTGAACATCCCTGGCCTTTCTCGTTGGTTCGACTTTGATGTTATATGTATAGACAAGTGAATTTGTGATCTTCAACGCGAAGAAGTTGGCAAGCAGTGTGACCGGATTCCCGAGGGTACCGAACCCTGGACGAATAGGCCGTTCATACCGAATGCCAACCTCGCGACGCATTTTCTCTAGCGCCTGTTCATGGGAGCGGAGTGGTTCGTCAGCGCTACCTCCTAGAGAGGCCTGCTGCGGCCTAGCAGGCTGTCCAGAGGTGTTTCGTGCAGGAACCCCAGCAGGACCCCGTTGTTGCCCAACTGGGCCTAGCTGGGCTCCTCCGCGACCACGAGTGCTGTTCTGAGCTTGTTTACGATTGGGATTAATGTTGGTGTTCATGGTACAGGACTAATGAGAGTTGCTGTGAGGTGGTTCGAACTTTGCCGTTATATCAGGTTGCTTACTCAGCGCTCAGCAACGAACTACCGTGACGCACAGGCCAAGGAAATATTTTTAGCCCAAGGCAGCACCAGGCTGAACGATCCGCTGATGTCGGCTCCAGTAATTATATGGAAAATCCACTGGGAGTAGCATATCATGAAAGGTCAGAGGTTGCTATTACCTGTTGGAACGGGCACGGACTGCAAGGGGAAACCCAAGGCCAAACCTCTAAGGCGGGAGGCGGCGGCTCTATCTATCGAGGACCGACTACAACATGCAGCAGCGACTACCTACGAGTCAGGACTCCGGCCACTGAGCCGGGACCCATGGCACTCCGCGGAGCACCTGCGCCAGATCGCCCCGGTACACTGTACAGTGTCATCGCAACTACTCAACTAGTATTGGATATTTCCCCTTACTCAGACTCACTAGTATCTTTGAGCATATCTTCAACGTGGAAAATACTTCTTCATTGTGCAATGATCAGAAGGCTTGTCAATTTTGTTGGCTTTGTAAGTGCCCATTTAATCAAGACCAATTGTTAGAAGTTCACCGCGACGCCAGCTGGATCACCCACCGTACTATGGGTGATATGATGACGAGCTTACACGGTGCGAATCACCGTATATCATTCGGTTGACTTGACCATGTAAACGGGTGCACGGAACCAGATGATAATGACCAGTTTTATTGCCGATTTCACCATCCCCTCAAATGGCCTTTCTGGCGACCAAGATCAACACATCTCTGCATTAATGATGATTACAGACCGTCACTATCCGCTGATCGGCGACGGCATGACATGGTCACTCAAAACAATCAAATACTAATAGGGTAGGATAAGGTCTTATACGGTTTGTCGATTTCATACCACTATCCAGCCCGTTGATCCGCGGAGACAACTGTCCTTGCTCTTTCCCAATACAGCTGCCTGTTAATCTCCTTCATTGGCCACGACAATTCGAAGTTACCAAGGCCTACTACTGCGGTCATTTTGCGACCCGATGATCGTGCCACAGTATGCCGAAACGCAGTTCCCGACGGGTTTCCCTTGTGCTGGCTATAAAGTGTTGGTTACTGCGCCCATCCTACAGCACTTGTGCAGTTCAACCTATAATCAATGTCGCTTTCATCAGGCACTCCCAAATTTCGAGTAGCAATCTGGTCAGTCAGATAACCCCTCATGAATGTGACGCAGACTGAATTCCTGTGCAGTGGTGCAGGCATAGGAGGGCTTGCCCTCGCTATCACAATTGGGAAGTTTGCATGTCACGATATCCACATAGACTTATACGAAGCGCATGACGCCATCACGACCGCTGGGGCTGGGATTACAGTCTCGCGGCGCACATCGGAAGTCATGCAAGAACTCGGCATGTACGAAGAGATCTCCCGTGCTTCGACCAAGCCCCCTCCCTCCAGTCGTGGTGTGTTAAATAATTTATTTTTCAATCGTGTGTAATTGATTCGTATCGACAGGGCCAAGACACAGGATATCTAATGTCCCACAGGGTGGCTTCGAGTGGTTTCAGGATACAGTCAAACGCGCGGCATCCATTATGCACCGCCAGAGTCTCGTTGACATTCTCAAGCAGTACCTCCCCTTGTCATGCAGGCTCCACTTTAATAAACGCCTCACTCGATATGATAAGCAGTCACCAGGATCACTTATCCTTCACTTCGCTGATGACAGCACCGCAACTACGGATGTGTTAATAGGGGCAGATGGCCTCCACTCCTCGGTGCGGAAGACACTCTTCGAAACATTAGACCGAGGCATCGTGGACCCAAATAAGATAGGACACTACACAAACCCATCTTGGACTGGAAAGCTTGTCTATCGCACCGTCATTCCAGTGAAGAAGCTCTCGCAGATGGATCCAAACAACATAGCTTTGAAGGATTTCACCGTAGTAAGTCCTCAGAGAAGCGTTCATGATCATTGGGAATGACTTTCATTTCGCAGTTCTGCGGGAAAAGAAAGGTAGATTGTTACGATCAGTGGTCTCTTCTTGCTGATGCTTTTGTCATCATAACTTCATAGCATATCATCTCTTATCCGGTGTCAGAGGGAAGACTGCTCAATGTCGTGGCATTTGTCACTAAGGAACAGAAACCTGGCACACCTTTCGAGGGCCGTTGGGTCTCAGATGTATCCAATGAAGAGCTTCAAGAACAATATCAGGACTTCGAACCCGCTGTCAAGAACCTGTTGAAAGTAAGCCTTGGGCTGGATCGCTTATGTTGCCCTCGACCGACGACATTTCTTCACAGTGTTCCGAAAACCCCTCAAGATGGGCGCTTCATGTAGTAAATGAATTGCCGCTATCCACTGACGACAGAGTTGCCCTGATAGGTGATGCGGTACGCTTCTCCTTGCTGACCGGAAGATCTTCTGACGAAATCGTGTAGTGCCATGCCATGACACCCCACTTTGCCGCAGGAGCTGGTCAGGCAATTGAGGTAGGCGTGCGCGATCATTCGCTAGACTATGTGATCTCATTTTGTACGAAGGATGCTTTTGTCCTTGGCCGCCTTCTTGCTCACCCGCTCACAACGTTGGACAACGTGCCCGCTGCGCTGAAAGCATACCAGGACGTTCGCCTCCCATCCGCTCAATTTGTAGCTCGTGAATCGGAACGTGTAGGGCGTATAATGGACTTTAACACCCTGAATGCAGATCGAGGAAATGAACAAGAAGGGCTTGGAAATTCAAAAAGAGAAGATCTTAGGCCAGTGGAGGCTGGAAGGTCAGGGCTTGTGCTGTTGCTGAATGGTTAGAGGCAGAAAGAAAACTACAGGAAAGTGCAGGTTTGAGGAACGGACAATGTGAAAACAATCACTATCTTCCAAGTTGTAGCCCGGCACTTTGAGCCGCTATGCGCGAAGTACTATTATGACGATAATAGTTATACAAAGATGGTTACATAATGACGTCCACAAATAAGTACTACATGACGAGTACGCTGGGACAATTTGCAACAATCCCCATCAGATATAAAACATGCTTGCCCGCAAGTCGGGATGCACGCCCTCTCCCCATGCTTTCTTCGCCTCCTCAAACACACGCAATTTCTCTGCCTCCTTGTCCACCTTCCCCCTTCCCTTCCCTTTCCCTGACGCGATAGAAGTTGACACCTTGTCATCGGCAGCCAAGAAGTCGTTCAAGTAGCATCTCCCTCTCTCACAAGCTAAATCGGCGTAGTATGCGGCCGGGACGAGACTCACCGCCTTGGTGGCACGGGCGTACAGGTAACTCGCAGTGTGCGTACCCTGTTGGACTTCATCTGCGCCGAGGCGGTTCTCGTCATACACCACAGTATAGTGTGTCGCCTTCACATGACCTTGCAAGCCTGCATGAGCTTGAAGGTAAAAGTCGAAGTCGAATCTAGAGGGATCAAAATGTCAGAATGTTCAACGTGTGGTGAATAGGAAGCCCTTACACTGCAGTGACGCCTCTATCCACGACGGTTCCTGGACGAGTGTTGCCATTCCTGTCAGCGAACTGGGAGTCGGTCGGGAAGAACTTGACGTGGTGGCGCTTTCCACAAATGATGATCGTTAACGATGGGCGATATGGCTTCGGCTGAGGAACTTTCTTAAATGCCTCCAGGATCTGAGGAAGTTCTTGCTCCAGCACGGTATTGAATTGACCCTTCACGTTTAATATTAGCAAGCGACTTCAAGATCGAGAGGAAAGCCTATCTCACCTCAGAAACACCGTCTCTGTAAACAAAAACTCGGTCTGGCAGAGATCGATTCTTCTCTTTGTAAAACATGAGGACGTTCAACCATCATAGCAGTCAATTCTGTTAATCATCTACAAAGAACGGGTGAGGGTTAGGGTGATAAAGTTGGGATGTTGCGCACCTCTTTCTTGGTCTCCTGACACTTGAGACTCGCTGGGAATTGGACGAAAGAACTATCTACGCTCGCGACGACAGCGGCAATTGATGGTGTGCCTTCGGCACTGCCAGGGCCGGGATGCGTAACATCCATCCCAACGACCATCGTCTTGGCCTTCGTCAACCATTTCAAGCTGTCCGGATCCAGCATATGATTGGTGCCTCCAAGTTTGGTGTTCAACTTGAGAGCGACGTTCGAGAAGTACTGATCTTGTTTATTCGGGTCGCGCAGCACCTTATCTGTAAGCATATGAGGGTGTGGACGCCTAACTCGACGTCACAAATCCGCTTGATACCAGGGTAAATGTAATTGTCCCGGATGAGAGAGGATGACGAGGATGAATGTGGGTTTGCCTTTCTCGGAAATATGTTGCTTGATATTCTGACGAATCGAGGCCAGCGCCTGCTGCCTGGATGGGTCACGGTTGGGAGGGACGAGCTCTTGAGCCAACATGACGGGCGTCGACCCCAGTGTCATGCCACTGTTGCGGCATTTCTCACCAAAGCCCCTCCAAATACCCACCAAACTCGGGTCGTTGGGCCCGTTGAACACGTTTCGTCCGTCTCTGATGACGAGGACCCACCAAGTCTTGATAGCTCCGCCAACGTGGAACTTGACATCGAGAATGTTCCAACTGCCATTGTTAACGTTGGGAGGCTTCCCTGCTTTGTAGTTGAGGCGAGGCGCGGGAAGTTCACGTGCAGGGATGACCGCCATATTGTTGTCTACCGCCATACCGAAGCTGCTCAGAGCTTTACTGCCTGGAGTCCCAGACGTAAACCCGAGAGTAGGAAGACCGCGATCAACTGACGGTATCTGCGTTGACTTTAGGCGGGTTGCAGGCGAACCGAATCATATTCGCGGTTTCTTTCTCATTGAGACGCCCTCTGAACGGTTGTCCAGGCTCGATCTCGCATAGCTCGGCTGGTACGTAAATGGAGAATTTCGAGTTTGGACCCGAAATATCAACGACTGGAACGTCGTGCGCATGCCTTAGCTTGATATGGGGGTACTCTAAAGAAGAATGAGCGTGTGAACGAAGAATGATATAAAGGAAACGAACTTCTCTTAAAATAGTCTTCGACAGATATTTGGCCATGGTATTCTTCGCAGTTGAAAGTCTGCTGCCTCGCAGTCGTAGACATGATCTTCTTGATGGGTTTCTTCTGCTTGTACCCTAGATGACTTGTAGTCACCTTCAGTTTCTGAACAAACCGCTGAAGCATAGCGCCATTGGATGTCCGGTTGAACTCCATGATGGCGTCGGCAAGGTTGCCTGGCTTGTAAAAAGCTGTCATACAGACACCGACGTTCACCATGAGTGCCTTATACACAGGTCTGGCGGACGCGAAGAAGCCTTTCCAGGCTTCCACGCCAGGCGCTAGGTCAAAGCGCTCGCGCTCTTGCGAGGGGAAAAAGTAGCGATTCTTGCCCACACGAACGCCGGTACGCGATGCATGCGTTTGAAGCACGAGATTCACAGCAGCTATCAGCGGTTGGGCATCGTAGTCCTGTGACTCAATGTTACCGCTCAGATGCCTGCCACGTACTGAATTAACGCGAGAACAAAAGAAGTAACTTTCCATAACTTACTTCGTGAGTTGTGCAATGTCCAAGTCAGTCGTATGGGTGATTGCGAAGGTATAGGTCTTGGATTTCGCATTGGGACCAGCTTCTCCTTCTTCGTAATACTGGATTGGCACGTCAAGAGGCTGAGGCAACTTCTTGGCCGACACAAGCCTCTCACTGCGGTCGTGAGCGATGAACGGCACAAACTCTTTCCAGCCTTTCTGATTGCTCAGCTCTAGGAGCTCGAAAAGGCGTGCGCGAATGCGCTTGATGTCTGTGGACGGGGAAATCTCGACATGATAGTCGTGGATAGGTCCTTTGGGAAGTTCGACAGGAAATAAGTTGGCTCGCACTGTGATTGCACGGCCAAGGGTGCCGTAGCCAGGCCGGTGAGGGCGCTCCGGTTTGAAGGTGAGTTTTTTAAAGGAAGAGACCAGTTGATCCAAGGTCGCTAGACGTTGGTCTACAGATGCGGGGCCCCGGAAGATCAAATCTCCTGGTACTCCCCCTCTGGAACCACCGCCGTACCCGCCCCTACCAGACCCTCTTCCTCCAGCAAACCCACCACCACCGCCCCCTCTAGGGCCACCGGGCTGGCCGCCTCGGTTACCGCCTCTGCCTCGTGGAGGGAAGTTGCTCATAAATGAACTTTAGTGGTAACGAAATATGAGGTGTTCGTGGTTGTATGTGGAAAAGAGACGCCAAAGGGCAGGGTATTTATAGGTGCGCACTGGTCGTGGGTACTTCGCGCTTCCGGAGTTGCTGTGGGAGTTGCGGCTGCAGTGCCAGTGACGCAGGGTGACGCTGCGCCGCGGCTGCGGACCCAGACAATTAGAAAGTTCCCACGCTGTGAAGGCGCTGTAAACAATGTATCAATGATTCTTCCTGCGCAGTCACGCAGCAGTGCGTACTGACCGGGGAACATTCTGCGAACTCTTCTGATTCGGATACATAACAAGAAAGACAAAGAACGAATTGTGTCGATACCCCAAGCCCACGCATACAAAACCCGATCGATAAGTAACAAAGCGATGTGGATCAAGATTCAAAAAGAAATATCGCAACCCTACATCTCACAGGTGGCTGCGTGTCAGCACCTCACGGGACCAGCGTTCGCCCTGTCTCCACCACCGCGTTGTGCCCAAGTGAATTTCATACAGTGCAGGATAAGCTGCGGAGATCTTTAGAATGATAAGCCGTTGCTTCGCCTCGTTATCGCAAACTGTCTCCGCTTTCTGGTAGTAATGAAGCTGCAGTGTCTCGAGCTTCACCGGAAGTGTGAGATGACCGTCAGCTATCGAAGACAAGACACCCTGATCCGAAACGTCAGAATTGTACTTAGCAATTAAATTGGTAACCTCACTCACGGAAATTAAAAACAGTGGATGCAGGCCATTACCATCCCGCATATCCATGCCGTCAGAAAGCATATCCATGATGATCGACATGGGTTCTTCCTTTGTTTGTCGTAAGCAGCCAGAAAAGATCTCGCGCAGAATATGTAAACTCACTACATCAACACCCATATTGAGATTTGGAGTGCGGAGGATTTCAAGCCGCAGGTGACGAAGATCGGGGTGGATACGCACGATATCCTGCATACTGTCTGGGGTAGGATGAAAGGGAGAGATCATGAGATCATGTATCGCGCGCTTGGACGCAGAACAATCATTCAAGGCTTTGCAGATAACGTTATTGTCGTAGACACCAAACGGATCGCCGAGAGTGGCTTCAGGATCTGTCCTATGATTCATCCTCAAACGAACAGTGCTGACGGGCCGCCCAGGAAGGAAGATCGGGACGAGAGTTGGAAAGCCGTCATAGGCGATCAGGTTGGGGACATTAGATTGTAGAAAGGGCTGGTTAGGCGTGGCTATGGCTGAGAAGTTCGAAATTGTGAGCGATGAGAGTGAAGGCGTTCCGCTTAAGAAGGCAAACAGCGTGTCCATGTGGGCATTCGGAACCACCACAGAAAGGTGCTTCAGATTTTCAAACCGCCCAACCCCAACGAGTCCTTGGAGAAAAGAATCTGAGAAGGTGAGGTCGAGTAAGGTGAGCCTTTCTAAGTGTCGAGGGTTGAAGAGAGAGGAAATAAGCTGTGTAGTTGGAGGTGGTACGTCTGGTGGGTCACGACGCGCCTCGTGTGTAATTGATACGACTTTGAGCTTCATAGCCTTGCTACCGTCGGATGACATGACGCATCGTTCCATCGTAAGACATTCCAGCCGCGGCATTTTTTCCAACGCAAACCAACGCTCGTGCCCCATGTGAATATCGGAAACACTGAGCAGGCGAAGGTTTGTGCATGACGGCAGAATCAGGAAAATTGATCTGTATGGCTGTACGAAGGGGAAGTGGTCTTTCTCGTCACGGTATTGCATGATCTCATCTTCTTCTAACGGGGCAGGCGAGCCAAAAGACTTGATGCTCCATGTGTCCACTAGCCTGAGTACTTCTCGAGCGTCACTGTCATTTTGAAGTGCGTGAAGACGAAGAATAAGACGACGTGCTCGTCCGATTCTTGCAACGTCGTCATGTCGAGGTTGGAATATGTGCCGGACAGTGCGCTTGTATGGGATAGTAGTTGTGATGTGCCTAAATAATATGTCTTTGCAAATACAGCGAAATAACAGACAAGTGGATGACACAGCAAGAAGATCTTCGACCGCCAGGAAACTCCAGCAATGCTGCCAAAGCTCCAAGGGAAGAGACTGCGCATAAGGCTTGGACTCTTGCAAAGTTCCAAAGAGCTGACCCATCTAGATGGTACTACTCTTCTAGGTAAGTCAATTATTGAGCTGTAGTAGTACTTACTAAGCGCGGGTTAGCCTAAGGCTAAAGGTCAAGTTGAAGCTGCAAGTTTATTACTAATTTTGACAAGTACTTTATATGATGTCATCGACCAGTCGCGACGCGAGATAGGGTCTCACCTCTACCTTTCTTCTCCTCCGCACAAACGAATCGCTGCAATTATCCCCCAGACTTGTTCTAGAAAATGCAGAAACCACAGCGTGATATCCCTAAAGTTTTGTCAGCTCTGACCACCCGCAATCCCGCCGATTTGCAGGACACTGTAACCAGATTCTACACGCACGACGCCTCTTTGCGCCACCCTCTCAGCAGTCGTTGAGCATGGAACAAACTCAAAGGAGAAGATTATCGGTGTGTATGAGTGGTATCGCATCGTCAGCCCCGACGCTACCAGTAACGTGAATTCAGCGTGTTGGTTTACCAAACAATATCGTTCCTCCGTCCAAAGCTGACTATATGCGCCTTAACAATAATAGCATACGACATTAAAAGTAAAGTTCTTATCGCTGATGTCACACGGCACTCCGGTGTTAGATTCAGCCCGTTCAAGGTAGCCCCTTCTCGGTGAGTGGATACGCGTTAGTGGCCTACAGTCGTGATATTGACGCGAATGCCAACTACGCATCCGTCAGCCACATGATCCGTCTTGAACTCCAGGAGCATGATGGGCTATACTATATCTATTCAGAAGAAGATCTCGTCCACTCCACGGTCTGTCCATTTGTTGAAAATATTATTTAGGATTTTGGACTGATCGTTGACGGTAGGACTTGATGAATTCACTTCTGCCGCCTCTGGCTCCACTCGTCCAGCTCGTGCTTATCTTCTTCGCGTTTATGGCGGTTGCGGGTTCGAAGGTGTGGTTCTTCAGCTTGCTCCTGTCGGAGAAGCTCTTCGGCATGGGGAGCGATACCCAGAGAGGCAAAACGAAACCGGGCTCAAAGAAGTTCACGCAAGCTGAAGACCAAGAGACGGAAGGGAAGTCTATGCAAAACGGCTCGTCCGGAGGTAAAGCCAAAAAGTGAATACTTGCGCAGCACACTTCAGTTTGGGTCTCGAGTCCATCAGTTTCATAATCATTCGCAGCCGTACTTCATACACGATCAGGACACTGTACTTTTATCACCAATTGTATTTTTGACGCAGTCATGACAGAGGAATCCTTCTCTCACTTTTGTGCTACGTGAATATTTCCATCAGTTAAGTCAAATACTGGTTGGCTCCCGCACGCACAATGGAAGGTTTGGAGTCGGAGCCTGCGGTCTCGACTCACGAGACCTTGCAACTTCCAAACCACCTGTCGACCGATCATCCGAAACGCCCATGCACAGACATTTAGACACCGCTGAGGCAGATCAAGCCAGAGGTGTGCTAAACAAATTAGCGGGGGGTAAGGAGGGCAACCATATCCTAGAACATCACACACAGGGTGTTGAGTAGTAAATGATATTACGGTGGGTGAAAGATATCCTCTTGGCGAGCCACATCAAGAAAAACCTCCCGTGAAATAGGGAAGTTTAGATCTAAGTTGGCTAATTAGCGATAATCCTGTATAATTAGACGGTTTAGCAGATTAGGACTCTTTACTTGCCTTTAACTTTGCCATAATTTTGACTAGCTTTCTGCTAATTATTCGAAGGTTAGAACTAGCGTGGTCAAGATTTTCGCCCTCTTGTTTGATCCCTTACTTCCAACTGATATACGAGAAAAAATGGAAATTTATTCAAGTGTATACCGATGACACATGTGCAGCAAAGGATACAAATACAGGCCGCCACGCGCAACAAAGGTGTGCGAGTGGTAGCGTCCAGCTCCAATGTACATAGCCACTTCCTCTGGCTAGGACATTGGACGTTTAGTGGCATTATCAGGACATGCGATGACACACGGAACTTGACTATAAAACGGAGGGAAGGGTAAGCATGCCTAGATTGACTGCACAATATACCTGCATGAATGTGTTTATTTCTCTGAAACTCCCCACGGACAGGTAACAATCGATACGTCAGACGAGGACACGACACGCTGATGATGCTGGGTGCTGACGGTGTGTTGCGAGAGCCTGAGTAGTGGGGAGCCAGGACGTGAGAATGTCCTGCAAAGTCCAGACGCACGCACGAGGGCGGTAAGAGCCTGTTGGAAAGTGAAGGAATCGGACAGTATGAAGAGGTCTGCGTTCAGCGTGGCAATGAAGATCAAGACTCAGATGTTGAGGGTGTGCTGGACAAAGTACCAGTGGCGGCAGAGTGCTGTTTGTATCCATGTCAAAGGTGAGTTCAATTGAATGCACACACTCACCTTCTGAATGGTCTAACATCACCTCCTTGCCCTCAAGTAAGTCCCAGCACCTTCTTCGAAGTCAACGGTAGGAGGCATTGGGAGAAAGGCACGATCCGTTTTGGGGAGCGAGAAAGCGCCAGGGGAGTAGAATAGAGACGAGAACGCCACACGATTACGAGGAGGTAAATCCACGCATAGTCCAGACTCAAGGACTGATAGACTAGGCTAGCGCTAGAGAGGGACCTGCAGACGCGGAAGCGATGGGAGGAGTATACATGGCCTGCAGCAGGGCAGGTACTCAGTACTCAGTACTCAATGAGGTAGTGGTTACAGGACATGTCAGTTCGAAGTTCAAACTAAAAATTATGTGAGTGTACAAACATGTGCAAATGTTTGACTTGTGGTGTTTTATCCGACTCAACCAACTTTTCTCTAATTTTCTGCCAGTTTGTGTGGGAGGTTTTTCCCGATGCCATGGAGTGCAAGCTGTCTCATTCAGGAACTTCAGTCAGCCTGAGGCGAACATGCGGTCTTGAGGTTTGTTAGTCGAGCCGCCCAAGTACGGTCTGAACGACTTCGATGGCGAGGACATCATATAGTCATGCATCACTATCACTCGTTGGGGAGCCGTCAGCCGACTCTTTGCCTGGCTCATGATACGATATATACCGAGCATCTCCCCTGGTGAGTTGGCGCCTAGCACACTGTAGCAGACGCTATAACTGGGTGCAGATTTGGTATGGAGGCGGCGCCATCTCGTGCTTGATTTATTTTCTAACCTGTGACTCATTACCAATTGAGACCGGAAGATGGTGGCCTTTGGAGACAATTCCGACTCGGAGAGACTGTTGCGCTACTCCAGTCGAATTCGGCAGACACCAATCGTCTTCGAGTCGGAGTCAGCGATGACGGGAGGGAGTCGTGGTGTCATCAAGGGCGTCTATGTTCAAGCTTATACAACGAGACTACAAAACTGCGTTGTAAGTACTTCAGTTATTTGCTATGTATTCAAGGATTTCCTCTTTTCTAAAATTTCCATTGCTCGAGCGACAGTGAAATCTGGTGAGAAGCAAACACGTTGACCAACTCAGCAAAAAACCACTAGTAACTCATGTCGTGTCATCAACCATACTGTGCCGATGCGGAAGCAGAAATACGACTCACTGTCAATGCAGTTCACCGTCACGACCGGCTAATGTCCGGATAACATACCGAGGTGACCTACCACGCCGGTGAGTCATGTGGTTAAACCCAGGACCCAAACTACTCATACTCACCTCGATATACTGGCCGTTATCCACATAGACGGGTAACGGCGTGCATATCTCGCTAGCGCAGCAGCTTAAAATGTGGCAATATTGGGGACAATAATGATGACGGCTGTCAACAATGGGACTGGCAGATATTGATTCTGTTAAAGTAGCAACAATGGCCAGGACGATGGATAAACGCATTGTTTGTTCTAAGGATGTGTTATAGTATCAAATAAATCTGAAGGGAATAGTAGGAAGACAGCTTGCTTTTATGTGCTGAATATTGTTCTGGCAGAACTTCATGGCGATGTATAGGAAGAACCTATCCAACAGAAAATAGAATTCACCCTCGCTCACATGTTCCTACTACATAGTAGTACATAAGATCTTGAGAAAATAGTTCACGCACGGACTGTAATTTAGTTCGTCAAGACGATAGAACGGGTACGGACTGCAAGGGGAAACCCAAGGCCAAACCTCTGAGGCGGGACGCGGCGGCTCTATCTATCGAGGACCGACTACAACACGCAGCAGCGACTACCTACGAGACAGAACTCCGGCCACTGAGCCGGGACCCACGGCACTCCACGGAGGACCTGCGCCAGATCGCCCCGGTACAACGAGTATGTACTACAATATCAGGGGTATCCATTCGGGGATGCATAAGTAGACTAGTATGCATGTATTACTACATTTCCTTCAACAACTCTTGTCACCAAACTAAGGGTATCTGGAGTCGGGGACGATTGATGCGTAAGCGTTACGATGTGGTAGTGTCATCTTATCTCAAATGTTCGGTGTCGATGCATGTCCCGATTATCCGAAACGCCCATGCACAGACATTAGACGCTGCTGAGGCAGATTAAGCCTGAGGTGTGCTAAACGGACCAGCGGAGGGGCAAGGAGGGCAATCATATCCTAAAACATTATAGTGACACAGGGAGTTGAGTTACTTGAGTAGTAAAGGACATTACGGTGAAAGGTATTCTCTTGGTGATTATGGCCGCCTAGCTTGTGTTCCAGGGTGTCCTTCTCAGCACAAGTAGCACAAGAGGCCAGCACCGCCAGTTGTAGACGATTCCGACCTCCGAGCGACGTTGTACTATCAATCCCACAGTTCTGCAAAACTTTTGTAGCTCCTCAACCACTCAACGTTTTCTTTTGAAACTTTGTAACATTGTAGATTCATATCCCCTCTACATAGCTCTGATTTTTACTGATTTTTAAGATTTTGTGTTGTAGTGTCGGAGCAAACCCGAGAAAATTCAGGGTCTTCCTCTAATCTGCAAAATTTGGTCACACCTTGTCACACCTCGGCAGAGTATCGGCGCACTCAGCTTTTGCTCTCCGCACCAGTCGAAGTTGTGCGGAGTGTAGACCCGATGCCGCGTGTGTCACGCTTCTGTACATGTCGTTAATACTACCACTGTAGCACCTCAATGCAAGAGCATAAACTCTATCGAACTGGTGTTCTGACATCTATAGAAGGTATTTGTTGTGCTCCAGGTAAAACTTTACGAATACCTTTGCAGGATCTTTGGGATCTGGGTAATTTGTATTCGACCAAGGTTGCAAAATACCACCATTTCATCTCTCGTAGCTACAACATCCAAGAAATATTTATTCTACTTGTACAATACATCATCTATAGGCACTCTGTATATGCTTGAATTTTTTCAGCGCCGGCCGACCATGGCGTTGAAGTGCTATGAACATTTTGCATATTAGGTACCCTTTGCATATTGATGGGAATGATAGTAGTCTTCCTACAATCTTCCTAAGCCAGACTTTGAAAGAAGGAAGACAGATTTTGAGCCGATCGCTGCTGACTAAGCTACGACCATTACTCTCCTGGTTCGAAACTTGAAACCTTCTTCCTTGAGAGTCTCAAGTCATGACTACGGGAGACTATATTCCACCGTGAAGAGCCAGGTGTGTTGCGAAAGGATACACCCAGAGGGTGCCCGTACGCACGCTGACGCATTATCAGATAGAGATGTAATAGCATAAATGGATTATCATATCATTGACTCCGTCCATTCAGAGTCCCACTGGTAGACCATCTTTCGCGATCTTCATACTGGAATGATCCGCGATGACGACACCCACGCAAAGCGCAGACAGTTCAAGCTCGATTAGCAACCCGTTAGGGTACTACTATAAACTGGCATCGAATCTTTCCCCCTCTTGTCTTTCGCTGTCTTCGTGTCACAATCCAGTTACAATCTAGAGGCCGATCGTGCTTTCTAATCTTCCCTGGGCATATATAGTACCTCTATGGTCGTATAGCTATTATTAGCGCAGGGTCGACAAGGTTATCCCTTGCTTGTGAGTGCATTTGATGCAGTGATTGCCACGACTGACAGTGACCGACACCATGTGCATCGCCGTGTTGCGATAATTGCAAGAAGAAGACGCACATAGTGTCGGTCGTGACGATGGAGCAATGCCAAGTTGACATTGAGCCCAGCGATCAGGAGGAGACCAGACGTGCACATTCATAGTCTGCAGAACAAGGTAGTGCGCGAAGTCACCCACATCGCGGTCTGATGGCGTAGTTGGTTATCGCATCTGTCTAACACACAGAAGGTCTCCTGTTCGAGCCAGGATCAGATCAAAATTCTAATGTTTTTTCCTCCATATTATCCCAAGGCGAATATGTGACCACTACGTTTTCTGTCGCCGCGCGTGCCAGTAGTGTAATGGTTTATTGACATCTGTGACAGGGTTTAATGACCACCTGATCCCATGAGCTCCATTGGCACCTCAAGATCCGACCTTCCTCGACCATCCTCAGTTCCTGTTGGCTGATAGGAAGCAACCTGTAAATTGTGGAAATGGATTCGAAGTTACTGGTCCAACAGATTCGACAGAAGGGCGGATTAATAAGTGAGGTGCCTCGTACGTTAATACAGCAACGTTCAATCTATTTGCTGATGCGATGGGGGCGGATGGGTAGTTGCTAACGGCCTGATGGAACCTTCGGAAATGGAATTTGCGAGGACCAACTGATCGGTCGAGGAATGAAGTGTGTGTTCTAGTTCAGAAATGTATGCAAATTTGGATTATTGAAGGTCAGTACGACTTGGGTCTCTTGTGTCATTATTTAATGGAGGGTGACACTGCCATGGTCTACCTAAAGGTCTAACCTATAATCCGGCGCTCGGGGAGCCGACTTTATAGTTCATGGGCCTCACAAGTTGATAAGTTTTTGGTCGCAATTGCGAGCGTTGATAGCTGAACGTGGTATCAGCAGATATCCCCAGTGTACCTTCATCTAATCCATACAAGGGAGTATCATCATAGAATAAGGTGCCCGTACTGTAATGGCCTCAAGTCATTCCTATCAACGTCCATGATTGACCAACAGAACACAGTGGTCGTGATTGAGCAACCGAATTCAGTTAAAGCCCCAGTAGCACGTCCACCAGAGAAGAGTCGCTTCCCTTCGTGTTCCTGCTGTTGTTCCATGACCTGCGTTGCGAACGCTGTTCCCACTAATCCCCCGACTTCTGTCGGCTTTGAACACAAGCAGCATGATGAGAAGCGGCTAGACTCAGATCCGAGTCTCAAGAATGTGCCAAGGCTGACGCCAGAACAGGAGAGAAGACTGCGGAGAAAGGTTGATTTGCGGTTGGGGCCTATCCTCAGTTTGATGTACCTACTGTCTTTCCTTGACAGAAGTCCGTGATTGTCAGAGTAGGTTCTCATGTGTTTCTTACTTTCAGATAGTTAACATCGGTAATGCGAAGTTGGACGGACTCGTCACTCAGCTGGATCTCACGGGAAACAGATCTAATAGGGCCGCTCAAAGTTGGGGGGGGCGCACACGTCGCCCACGCCTAAGACCCCCCGTGTAACAACACGACCGAAGTACCCATCCCGCTCATCATCTAAGAGGTCAGAAGTTGGAGCAGTTGATGATGTGTAAAATGGCGTCACAGTCCCATCTTCGGCTTCATAATCAACATACACTGGAGCTCCCGGCTCTACTAGGCCACACTCCAAGGCACGGCGAAGCACAGTTTGTGTTGATACTTGAAACACTGCTGCAAGGTGTGTTGGGCCACAAAGTTCAATAGCAGGTGCTATAATGAATGGCTCGATTTCGATACGGGGGCATCCTGGTCGCCCAGTCGGCACCACATAAGATGCCTGTATTGGTGGAGCATCTGGTGGGTCCACTGACTGACGAGCTGCATCATCCAGATGATCTATCATACTTTGCAGACTGTTTTCAATGGTGATATGTTCAGCCGGCACGAAAATGTCCGCATGCCACATCACCCTAATTGACAAAATGACAAAATGTGACTCGGAACAACACTACTTGCCTGTGTCACCAGTGCCGATAACCATAAGCAATGCCTCTGTTCTTCACCTAACCGTGTGATCCCCAATCTGTGTGCGGAGGGCTACCGTAACACGGCGACCAAGCTCAGCATATGCAGCTCGTATTGTCTGTAATGGAGCAGGTACAAGCTGCTGATAATCTAGGCCTGGTCGTGAAGGAGACGCCACAACAGGAATGCACCACGACACTGGGTGACTTTCCGTAGGCTGAAATATTGCAGAATAAAATAAGATAGAATAAAGAAGACCATTTAAGGCAGTCGTGCCGCGATGCCGCTGTTCATTTGCGTCGAATTTGCAAAACAATATTTTTTGACCCCCTTACAAACTCTAAATCTAGAAGGGGGGGGGGGCCCTTACAGATTATTCCGGATTATAAACGACGGATTAAATCCGTTTTGGGCCACTACACCCAAGCTATCTGCTGACTAAACCATGACTTGAGGTTCCCGCCTGACGTTTGTTCAGCATGGTGATAGTCGCTACCTGGACCAAACATTTTCAATTATACGCAGTCCAATCACTGAGCTCACTGGTGAAGTTTTCAGCTGAAGTTTTAAGATTTCTATCAGCAAACGACGCCGACACGTACCACTGTGACCGGCCAGGGTACGAGGTGAGCAGTGCCGACACCATTCTCTCCCTATAAGTCTAGAGTTGCAAAAACCATTCGTTCCCCAAGCTACTGCAATTTTATTTTTTCATTAAACACCTGATTCCATGTGTATACTAATGTATTCCTGCGACCACCACAGGGCCGTTCTACTAACTATGAATGTCTAGAATCATTTATGCATCCGACAGTTGAGGTTTTCGAGACGTATAAAAGCACGCATTGGAGGACAACAAGGTAAGTATTAATTTCATCAAAACTACAGCGCGCAATGTCTGACATTCCTCCTCCACAATCCATGATACCTCCTGGAAGTACCCCATCTTACCCCCAATTACGCTATGACCAAGCTGGAAATGCGCTCACCCGCGATAATGTTGGCGCTTGGGTGTCTCATCCAGGCATCTGCCAAGTAAGTCTTATCAAACGATTGTTTACTGGTGGCCGATACTCATCTTATTACAGACTCTTACAACTGATCGGTCCTTTTGGTTCGAACATGGCGACAGTTATCAGGTACGTCGAGTCGTTGACTATCATGATGTTTTTCACTCGACTAACTACTATATACATGCAGGCTGCTTTCATTCCAGCCTTCCAGTCCCACGAAAGCACACCTCCACCATTGTCGGCGTCCAGTTCTCGCCTTGCTTTGCGTGAGCTGCTGACCACCAACACCAACATGATTAATCCTGAGCTCGTCCCCCTACCTCACTCTGACGATATGGACTTGATCGACCCCGCCAGCATTGCGGAGGCCTGCGGCTACACTCCAGCCACCAAAACAGCAGGCGCACATCGCAAGGCCAAAGCTGCGAGGGGCAAAGACAAGGAGAAGGAGAATGTAGGATACCCTAACCCAAAGAAGCGTTCTCGAGAGGACAGAGATGAGGATGATGATGTGGAAGCATGAGTGAGGCGAGGCCGCCCTCAAGGCTCCAATAACTATACCGCCTTGGATGTTAGAAGTCTCCTGGATATAGTCCATGATCAGCTCCCTCTCAGTCAACACGGGTGGCAGACTGTTCATGTTAAGTTCGGCCAATGGGCCAAGGTGAACCGCTGGCCTGAACGCAAACTCACTTCACTCGAAACGAAGTTCAAGCAGGTAAAATTCAATTTGTCCTATGGTTATAACATTGCTCACAAGTAGAACTACAGTTGGTGAAGACTATGAAGCCAACTGGAGACGGTGTGTGCCCTCTGGAAGTTACACGTGCCCATCACATCGAACAGCTCATTAACGAGCATGCAGGAACCCGTGACCTGCACAACACGGATTACAACACCATTGAAGATGATGACAGTCACTCCGTCAACTCTGACCAGATCCAGGATGAGCGTGCCTCCCCCCCAATTCAGCATACAGCTATTGCCCGCTCCACTCCTTGTACAGAAGCCCCAGCTCTGCGTCGCAATACTCAAGCAGCGGTGGCTACAGATTTACTCACTTGACTTTCCAGCGCATTTGACCCAGCCACCCAGCGCAACCGCAATGAAGACCACACTAATCGTAGCCTTGCCACCACACAACTATTTACCCAAAGCCAGCAGCTCCGCGATTCTCAAGCCGCCATGGAAACGCTGCATGGCCAACTCTTCTATTTGCATGCTCGCATGTACGACATTGAACGCGAGCGCAATCGGGCCGAGCTTTGCATCGAAATGATGCAGATGAGAGGTTCCACACGCCGTCAGCATGTTCAGATGCCCAAACGCAAGAATCTGCATCAGGAGTGGTACCCTGATGGTGGGGGATCTATTAGGTGGCTTACTGATGAAGGTGAAAGTACCACATCTAAGGGGCCCAAGCCACCCCGCCTTCGAAGATGCGGCCCATCCAGACATCTCAAATATTCTGATTGCCCATACTTTGAGGACATCGCGGATGAGCCTATCAAGCCCATTCAAAAGGAAGGGTCAGTAGAGATTTGATTGTGCTAGAATACTTACAATGTATTTAGGGTACCAATGTACCATTGATTGTGTTATGATAATTACAATGTATTTAGGGTACCAATGTACCATTCTATTCGTCCTGAACGTCTTTCCTACAATGTATTTAGGGTACCAATGTACCATTCTACTCGTCTTGAACGTCTTTCCTGTTTGCCTTCTTGTCCGTCTCATCTTCTCCATCAAAATCGGTACCAATGTACCATTCTACTCGTCTTAAACATCTTTCCTGTCTGCCTTCTTGTCCGTCTCATCTTCTCCATCAAAATCGGCATTGCATTCATTGCATTCTTCATCTTTACATGTTTTATCTACTGGAATTCTAATATAACATGGAACCGCGAAACTCGATCCTTCTTCCTCTGCTCTGAAAATAGCATGTTTTCAAAGTCTCGCCACACATCCAGATCATCCTCAGTAGCCTCCCAGTGCTTCATGTACACGTGTCACGAATTCCAAATATGAACCATTTTTCATTTCTCGGTTTTCCTTCGGCTACTTCCAGTACCCGAACCAGTCACATGACTCCCAACCCTGTCACACCTTCACCTCTTCACATATCGCCCGTGGTTTCTCCAATTGGCTCCCCTACTCCACGGGCTAGAACAATCTCGCTTCCTAAAGAAGAACCAGTCAGAACTTGGGTTTCTGTTTAGTTGCCGTCTTACTCATTTCGCTTATATATCATGAGTCATACTTAGTCATCTGCAGTATCATACGACTCTTTTCTCATTGGCTGATTTCTTTCAGACTCCTATTCAATGTTATGTATATAAGTAGGTTAGTTAGCATAAGTACTCCTTAGACTTAACCTCTTTGTTTCCTACGCTTGTAGTGACTTAGACATTCACGCTCAATACCATCTTATTCGCTATCCTCTCTGACCGAGTCCTAGTGGTTGTGTGCTCGCCTTCATCATTATTGGTGAACGTTGGTCATAACAACATGGACCGTATCTGATTGATTCTGACACGTATGGCATGCAGGTTGTGCAGCCGAAGACAGATTTCGATAAGGTCACTGCAAGCTTCTTGGTTGGTGATGTCGAGCGGCATGTGTAGCCTTCCAAAGGCCCCTTGGATAGCCCGCATGCCCCATTCTGCTGTTTGGCAGTAAGAGAGTAGTTCACGGTTGAACGCCATGTGCTCCTCTATCTTGGCAGCTGATCCACGCAAAACTTGGCCATGTTTGAGAGGTGCGTGAATGCATCCATCAATGGAAGTCGTCCCACGAGGGAATGCAGTATCTGCGACGATGTAATAGTCAGGAGGAGTGTTGAGTCGAAGTTGAGTATAGATGTGAGACGCGAGATGAGAATCATGCCAGCTGCCAGGCACGTTTGTCCTCGCCGCGTTCACAACACCTTTGGAAAGTATCAATTGAGCACAATTTGTTTGAGAAAGACAAAAAAAATGCACCTTCAGCAGAAAATGCTATGACTGAACTGACGAAATGTTCGGAAAACCACCCGTTGTAGGTAGCATTTTTGATATCATCATTGTCTGAAGTCTGCACGGGGAGTTTGAGCCCGTAGATGCTCCCGAAAGCACCTTCCAAGCATGAGTGACGTGCAACTACGAGCGCACTACAACACTCGAAATCAGGTCCCCATGGCCATCGAATTGAGGCGTCATCCATAGTACGGAGAGTTTGTAAGAGCATGGGCAGTCCAGAGGTGAGATAGTGAGAAACAGTGGCAGGAATCAATGCAAAAATCTGTTGGAGGCTGGTCTTGTGCATGGTGGAGTTGAGATAGTGGAGCATGAGGCCAAGTGCTCCACCAGCATCAAGTGAACGCTGATTCAAGTGAGGAATGCCATGTGAGTTGGTATCAGAACGTGTGATGGGCTTATGGTACCACAGACTGGCAAAGCCGGAAGTAAGGATGAAATGAAATGTTTGGACATCAATGCCCATAGTCGTAATGAATGCGCGATCCGTCTGACTCCTGTACAACACTTGCCATGGGGTATTGCAATGTGGGTCAGGAAGTAGCTGGGCACGACAAAGGTAGAGTCGCTTGGGGTTCCGGGTTTCGACACGATCAAGTCGAGCAAGCTCTATTCCACCAACCAGTGTGGCTGCTAACATTCTCGCGTCTTCTTCGTCGTCAAGAAAGGCCGTCTCTTCTCCGTCGTTCACCAGATTATGATACTGTAGTAGTAGATCGTCCATTGTGGTTTTGACCGAATTATTTTATTCCAAATGTGTTACGGTTGTGTTTTCTGTACAGATTATCCGTTGCAAATATCTTTCAAAGTCCGTTATAATCTAGTCCGCATTATTTTGCCTACGGAAAGTCACCCACTAGCACGATAGACTTTTCGGTGAATCTTAATTATCATATTAGGCAGTCTAAGATCAAGTCAAGTCAACGAACAGCAGCTACTAGTACTTATCTGGCATCTGTCATGTTTCATGGCAGCGGAGGCGGTTTTTCCTTGTGCACACCATCCATGCCTATCATTCATGTGTGGGCCTGAGGAATGTGGGTTATCAACAGCATTGGCATCAACGGTGTTTGACATAGAGGAAGCAGAAACAGTGGGCATCGAGGACGGCGGTAGAACGTTTTGCTGCTGGAAATGGAGGTGAAGAAAGGGAGGGTGATACTCCACCACTAAGCTTCGGGGCAGTGCGTTCTGGGGGTCGCGCGGCGTCGTTGGGGCTTGGCGTTGGGTGGATGCGGGGAACATGCGTGGTGGCGTAGCTATTGAGTGTGCCGGCGATGTGGGCGCTGGACTTTCTGCCGGCACTTGCCAAGGGTCACTGAGCTCAACTTGATCAGAGTCAAGCTCAACACATCGAAGTCAAACATCGTAGTAACGCGGAAGACATTCCAACATCTAAGCTCAAGTCAAGTTTCGCAAAGCCAAAGGCGAAAAAAAACAATTGTCCATATATACGGTCCCTTATAGAGAACAGCACGTTTGCCACACTGCAAAACCCTCGTGGGAGTCAGTGATACACACTTGGCTAGTTCAATTGTTCAGTACGACCTCGAGTCACCTTGTGTACTGAGTCGTGTCGGCACTTCTAGCACTTACTTATGCTCGTAAGCACTGGGACCCTTTGGGGCCTCAGTCAGTGGCGCAACAACATTAGGTGTTTTCTCCAGAGCTAGTCACGGGTATCACAGCAGGAAATTCTAGGTGGCGTCTTCTATGTGTATCACAAAGGTCAGCCTGTATGCGACTACTCCGTGTTCTGTCGCCGCGAGTAAGTAGTGTCGCACGACTAACTCCATGAGCGTCAAATATTGGCACGTCAAGCTCTGACCTTCTCAATTATCCTCAGTTCCTATCCGCTGACTCGAAACCTCTGGAAATGAATGCTAAGCTACTAGTCCAGCAGATTCGACGAAAGGGCGGATTGATAAGTGAGGTACGAGCACAAGGGCTTCACGTCGATATAGCAACGTTTGATCCATCTGCTGATGCGATGGGAGCGGATAGGTAACCGGCGTGATGGACCCTTCGAAATGGAATCCGCGGGGACCAACTAACCTGATCTGACCTGATCTGATCTGTCGAAGGATGAAGGTGCGCTCTCTAAGTCAGAAATGTATGCAATTTTGGATCATACAATGTTCGTACAAGCTCGCTGCTATAGTCCACTGAAAGCTCTAACCTATTATCTCAAAGGCGCTCGTGGAGCCGACTTTGTAGCTCCTGGGCCTTCACAAGTTGATAAGTAAGTATTTGATCTCGATCGCGGGCTTGCTCGCGGGCGTTAATAGCTGAACGCGGCATCATAGGGTATTCCCGGTGTATCTGCATCTAATCCATCTATGTAAGGGAGTACCATTATAGTATCCGTATCGTAATGGCCCCCAGTCATTCCTATTAACGTCCATGTTTGAGCAATCGAACTCAGCGCGAACCGTTAAAAGCCCACTCGCGCGTCTACCAGGGAAGAATCTCTTCCCTTCTTCCTCCTGCTGATTCTCCATGACGTACGTCGCGAACACTGTTCCTGCTGGTCGCCCGACTTCTATCAGCTCTGAACACAAGCAGCATGATGAGAAGCGGCTGAACTCGGATTCGAATCTCAAAAATGTGCCGACGCTGACGCCAGAACAGGAGAGAAGACTGTGGAGAAAGGTTGACTTGCGGTTGGGGCCTATCCTCAGTTTGATGTTTCTAATGTCTTTCCTTGACAGAGGTACGTGGTTGTCATAGTAGGCATATCTCGTGCATTACTTACTTTCAAACAGGTAACATCGGTAATGCGAAGTTGGACGGACTCGTCACTCAGCTGGACCTCACGGGAAACAAATTTAATATCGCATTGGTACGTAAACATCTGTATTGTTCACAGAACTGCCACCTTACTGCTAGACGCAGACGATGTTCTTCATAGTAAGCATCGTTATGTTGACGGATTGTCGGTGTGTTCTGAAAGACCATGAAGCCATACTGCCTGTGTGAATGCCCCGCTAAGTTCGTTTGAGGTCCAAATTATTGATTTTCTGCGCTCTGACTGTGACAACCCGGGCCTCCAGCCTTGTCCTCAAAGTATTTAGGCCATCCAGGTGAGTGCTCATGTCAACCTTTGAATGCTGCATGGACAACTCATATTTTGTAGATGGCTTCCAGGCAATCACTGTAAGTCTTGTATGATGGCTGCTGAATTTATCTGATGTACGATAGTTAACATGGGGGATAGTCATGTGCGTCATTCAGTCATAAGTAATATGACCTTGAAATTTCTGAGCGAGTCTATCGCCAGGACACTCATGAGTTTAGTGAAGACGTAAGATTGGCCAAATTCTCACCGTATTTTTCACCTAATGTTGACCTGGCATGTCAGATACCCTCAGCTTGTTGCAGTGCGAGCCTGTCTTGGCATTGCCGAGGCAGGTTTGTTCCCTGGTGTCATTTATTAGTGACTATAACTCGAGAATTATGTGCGAAGTCATGCTCACGGATCTACAGCCTTACTTTCTGGTATCCGAGACACATGCTACAATACCGCAGTAAGCTATCCCACATCTACCTATCCATTTTAGAATGTTGAAGTATTTCGGTAGTTGGCATGTTTTTTGGCGCTGCGACAAGCGCAGGTTGGTTGTTTCTTTATGTTCTTGGGGATTTGGATAGTGACACAAGTTTCAGGTGCCTTTTCCGGTTTACTGGCCTTTGCGATCAATCACATGAGTGGCACAGCGGGACTCGAAGGATGGTCTTGGATCTTCGTGATTTTTTTCATGTTCAAAGACCGAAGTTATGCTCAACACTTGTATGCAGTTGCTCGAAGGCCTTGCAACAATAGTTATAGCCATCATTGCTCCCTTTGGTGAGTAAATACACTTTATGTTCGATCACGCAGAAGGCTAACGTACATGATCGCTTAGTGATGGTAGACTTTCCCGACACAGCTAAGTTCTTGACCCCGGAAGAGCGTGCTTTTATTGTCTGGAAGAAAAGTAAGTCGAATAACAGATTCTGAGCGGGTGGATATGATTAATATACCTCTTAGAATATGACAATTCGTCAGTCGGTGAGGAAGAGAGGTTTGCGGTGAGGTACGTCTGGGCCGCGTTCGGGGACTGGAAGGTAAGATACCAACTTTTACGACCGTCACCGTTTATTGTGCCTTAACAAAATGATCAGGTGTGGCTTCATATCCCCCTTTTCATGTCAATTGCTGGACCTTGTAAATGATACGTCTCGTTGTTCAGATGACAGACGCTGACATGAAGCCTTCTCAGTGAATGGCATCACTCTGTTTCTCCCGTAAGTCGATTGCTAGATCTTTGAAGAAGATGTTGAAGATATCTGTACCAGAACGATCATCCAGAGGTCTGTTGTTACAAACTATTTGTGATCCATTTACTCAATTACATTAAGCTTTGGATACAGTACATCGATCAGCCAGTTGCTCACCGTACCACCATATGTCGCTGCAAGTTAGTCCTCTTATTTAACCACCCGCAACCTCGTGCGTTAACCTGTTGCACTTAGCTATCACATTAGTCATTTTTGGGTATTACTCGGATAAGTTGAAGATGCGATATCCTTTCATTCTTGCCGGCCTCGTAATGTGTCTTATCGGCTTTTCAATAAATATATCTACTGCACCTGATGGTGTAAAGTACTTTGGGACTTTTCTCATTGTCATGGGAAGCTATGCAGAGCTTCCTGGCGTAGTTTCTTGGTACGTTGTTGTCAGTCGCGTTATGACGAAGGCTAACATATGTACGGTGATGAAGGCTCTCGAACAATCTCTCCGGTCAGTACAAGAGAGGTGCCGGCATGGGCCTCCTTGGCCTCGGAAACTTCAGTGGTGCAATCGCATCCGTCATCTATCGATCGCAAGACTCACCGCGGTTTATTCTCGGGCGTAAGTGTCACTTCGACAGTCCGACTTCGTTGGCACCGGCTGACCCGCTGTTTTGCAGACGCATTGGAGCTCATGTTTGTCGGGATTGGATTCATAACTTTACCAATCTTGGTCTTCCTTTACAAGAGGGTCAACGCACAACGCGAGGCCGAGCGCCTCGCAATGGAAAGTGGAGAAGGATTGCAATACTCGGACGAGGAACTACGGGAGTTGGGAGACCGTGCGCCTGACTTTAGATACACATTGTAGGCAGTGACGCATTTATACTTCGTGACCTGGTATCGAGGATGTAACATCATATTTATGGCATTTATTGTCTTTGTGTAACCCGGTCCCAACCCTATATATACAAACTGCATGTTACTTATTAGCGCAGGGTTGACGAGGTTGTTCTCTCTTATAAACTAACCACAACTTGTTGCGCAGTCGTCATTGTCCCGACCGATGTACTTACACTATGTAGGCTCCATTAGAAGCTCCAAATGGGACCCACATAAGTAGTGAAGATCGTGGTCATTATTGCAAGCTGCTGAAAGCGTTCTAGGACTGCAAAAGAAGGTAGTACGCGAAGCTCCCACATCGCGGTCTGATGGCGTAGTTGGTTATCGCATCTGTCTAACACACAGAAGGTCTCCTGTTCGAGCCAGGATCAGATCATTTTGTTTCATATCATCATCCGGGATCCTGGGTTCTTTTGAAAATTTCTTTTACGCAGGAACATTGTTTTAACTTGAGATACCTTTCTCGCCCGATTCCCAGTTGGACATGAATACCTTCAAGTTCGAGGTAAGTATATTACACTTCGTTTCGTTGAATTGTTGGTGACATCTAGTTACCACTGTGACACAGATGCGACTGTTTTTTTACTTGTTTGCTGGCTGTTGTTCATCGTTCAGACTCGTCGCCAATTCGCCCATAATGTGCTCACGTGAGCTGATTAGCGCTCGTTGGCCCAGGTCCAGGATCGTTGCAGGGGTTTAGATGATACGACGGACTTTCGGCGCTTCTATTTCTGATCCGTGACCATGAGGCCTTACGACATGGCCTATGTTTGCTATCATCCCCTTACCCTTTGCGCTCCATCATCCTTCCGAGACGGTACGCTTCCGACCCCTTTGTATCGTTATTTCCTATCATGGCACTCTGTCGAAACACAGCGAAACCTCAACAGCTGGGTGTATTTAAAAACCTTGACGTCGTGATAGTGCTAAAAAGCCTTTTAGTACTGTCACGTTGTCAAGGACCTTGTGCCTAACAAAGCAATCTTCAGTGAGATGCCGGTTACTCTTAATTTCTGATGCGAGCCTCGTCTGCTGAGTCCTGACCAGATGATTTGATACGGTGGCGCTTGTGTAAACTGTGAACAAGCACAACCCTTCTGGGAAGTGTGCACATGCACGCGGCGGCATACTGCAGCTCACACGTACGTCAATATTCACCATCACTGAGCAGGTCGAAATCCAGTCTTCCTTTGGCTGTGGTGGTTGTGTTTGTAAGTGAGACGTGAAGGTTGTCAGTAAAGCTTGTCGAGATCAGCATACCACTGAAGGTACTATTAGCCAATAGGGAGAAAGGAACAATGCGCTACGAGCTCATGTCAAGTATATTTAGATGCTCCAATGGTAGGCTCGATATTTACCCACAAGCCTTTTCCACAGAAGACTGATACAAACACTGGATAGTAAGTAATGTATCGGTAGCTGCATGCTCACCGTCATCTGGATATATATACTCGCATTCTCTTGACGCTGACGCCCCTACTTGCTATACTCGTCCGTCTCCTAAAGACATAAAGCTTGAGGCTTTCAGGTTGGTGCTGTTGGCTTTATCAAGTGGTACGAATAATATTGTGAAAATTGATCATCATAAGTATACTGGGTGTTATAACGAGAAACATTTCTTCACCAAAATTTGCCAGTAAAAACAAAACAAGAGTACACTATTAATACATCGCTGTCGTCATTCCTCATCTATTATGTTACACATCGCGGAGCCGCTGCAGCAGCAGGTGGGCAGGGTATTGCCCATCAACGCCTCTATAAGGCAGGCGCAGGCGTGACGATGGGGGCCGTGAGAGCCCTAATCTTAGCCGCGGCGGTGGCTGTGGAAGTACAAGCTCCGTCATTAGTCCAGACACCCGCGGAACCTGTTGTTGCGACTGTTAGGTTTGTTCTGAAAAAATCGAGCTCAAATCACCTCCAGGGGTGTCGTTCTCCGTCCACCACTTCGCGGTCCACAGGTCCCCACTAAGTTATGGGTTAGTAGATGGACAAGAGCAAGCCAACAAATACGCACCCGTAGGTCACCTCAGCACCTCCTGTGTACTGTATAAAGTTCAGTGTAGAGCGCGGGAAAAGATAGCAATACACTCACGGCCACACCAGTGGTCCATGCAGCAATACCTGCACAGGTTCCGGTCACGGGTGTTGAGGTGCTAGTGCTTGTCGATGTCGTCGCAGTCGACGTCGCAGTCGACGTCGCAGTCGTTGTGGTGCTGGTGCTCGTTGGTGTCGAGGATACCGGCCAGGTGTTCCCACGCACAGTCGCGATCCATGAGGAAGCAGCGTCAGGGTACTGATAATGGCATGTTCAGAAACCTGGCGGGTCACTCGGACTCTCACGTACCTCCCAAACCATGACACCGGCGTCTACAATTCCCCGTGATTATCAGAGAGAATAAACTAAGCTGATATGGGGCAGACTCACCCCATCCAGCACCATAGGCCTCAGAAACGCAGGATGCCAACAAAGTCGGGTCCATATACCCATTGCTGGCTTGCGCTGAAGTCGCAGGCTTTCCAATCACAAGCTTGTCGAGAGACACACCACTGTTGGCAATTTGGAAAAGCGCAGATTCTGGCCAAGTAGACGAAGAAGTATACAGGAGGCCATCGCAAGTTGTATACTCCGTTGTGCCCTCTGTTTATTGTTACTAAAGAAAAATTCAACGAAACAAAGAGAGACCCACGGTTGTAGTACTAAAGTGCTAGAAAATCAGAAAAGAGATAAAAAGGATAGGACATTGACGCACCTGTACGTTGTACCAATCAATCATACTGCCGACCATAGAGTCTACCCAGAGGTATCCTCCTCCACCCCACCTATTAGGAGTGAACCTTTTTGATTTCAGTCAGCAGAGATCAATTTGGCTACAATCTATTTACCAAGGTGCAACAGCTGTGCAAAAAAGTTCAGCGTGATAATTACATTTTCTGAACATCTCACTCACGAGCGTGAGTCAAGATATATTGACCCTGAGGAAGCTGTGTGCGGAGCTGTGTGGTGAAATTGCCAAGCCACTGCTCAGCGGAGCCAGTACCACCGTTGAATGCGGCGAAATCCTGAGAAAAAAATCAGCTCTCGTCATAAACGATCAGACATAATACAACATGCCTCATAGTCAACATCTACGCCCTGGAGGCCATATTGAATAACCCAAGCTGCCATGGTATTTGCAGTACCAATCGGGTCGTATCCCGATGAAGTGGGGGTCTCAGTAGACCCAAAAAGGGACACGATGAGCGAGATGCCTGCGGCGTTGTACTCGGAAAGAATCGAAGAACGTTGAGATGCTGTAAGCGCTGCCCATTCTTGAGCTTGATCTGCTGCACCATAGGCCTCGAGGAAAGACAATGCAAACACATTGAAGCCCTGGTATTTTTACCAGTCGACGATTAGGATATCGGTCACGAATGGGAGGGAAATTAGGCCCACCGAAATATCTGACGCTGTTGGTTCGGTGGAGACGTATGCATCACTGTATAAAACGAAATAAGGAGCTACTGGAGTAGCACGCTTCAGAACATTCTTTGCTTTCGGAGTCAGGCTTCTCAGCCTCTCCTCAAGCGGGACAGAGGCGACCTCTCCGAAGCACGCGAATGCTGCTGCCGCTGCCGTAAGGGCCTGGTAGAAATGCACCATGAGGTCTAGTCCTGAGTTATGGAAGGTAAATGAGGGTTTCAATCAGTGCAGAGAAGCAGCTACCTAGTTAGCATATCCGCCGCGATTTATACCTGCGGATAAGGATGCCAAAGTACCAACCATAATTGAGGTCTCGAGATACCCCGAGTGCGCGTGATTAGGTATCTTGTGAGTGTGACGGAAATAGTGGGTCATCAGCTTCTGACGAGGAGGATAACGTATGTGGTCCTTGTGAGGCAGAAAGCCTGATGGTCAGAATAGAACCTTGAGAACTGGTCGGAACCGCCCCTAAGGAACACAAGGTAACCCGAGGGGAATGCACGCGGTACCGACTAGCTAGATATCTCCTGAAAGTGACGCAGGTGAGTGTCCCCATGATTGAGGCACCTTGATCCTCCCATGTGAGACTCGTTCTAACTTTTCAGCATCCGAATATCTCAAGTTAGCGCGAATAGATTCGTGCTACTGGGCAGATTCTACCCCAATGCCCTAATCAGTGCGCCCAGACATCCAAACGGTGAATGCATCATATCATTAGATTGGAAAGTCGCCTAGAGGAGCGGGAGAAGTTAAATATGAAGACGTGTCGCATGCGACTCACCACATTTAGGAGACTTTTAGTCTCCAATCAGGTACTAAAGAGATCAGTGCGCTGCAATTAGATGGCATCCCGAGTGCATGGGAACAGCGAGCCAACGACTTGCAAGCCGATAAGTACTCCACTGAATCTACACGCGTGTGCCAAAAGATGTAAAGATATGATGCCTCCCTTTTGATTCATCCGCTGGCGGGAGACTAGATCAGCAAGTTTCCATCCAATTTTTACCTCGTCATCGCCGACGATATCGATGTTACTAGTGTTCACGCTGAAACATCTTGAAGTAACGTAAAGTCGGTTCTGACAGTCTTGAAATGCTTCTCACGCTGTGTAGGTTCGTCCGTGCCTCTCGCATAACCTTAAGAGCTTCATTCAACCTTCCAGCTGCCAATTGAACGTACGAGAGGCGTTTGGAAATGTCCCATAAACGCAAGTACCGCAAGGCTGCATCCAAGACTAGTAACCTGGCAGCTTCGGCAGCGATAATCGCACCAGATCTTTCTTTGTCTATTCAAGCATACGAGGCTACTGTCATCCGCGGCCCCCAGTCTCTTTCAACAGCACTTTCCCTTGAGGTGCCAGATCCTCCAACTTTGGGGGCTGATGCAAACGACCCTCAAATTGGTAGTGCTCTCTTACAATGGGGTACTAGCACAAGAAACTTCCTACCCTTCAACTCGGATCCTTCTTTCCCCGAAGCGTCAGACGATAAAGCTACTTGGGTGGACAGGTGGGTCTCACTAGTAGTAGGGTCATTGCTAAGTTATGGCGAGTCGTCCTAAAACACAACGAGGCAATTATATGCAATGTTTATCTGAGTTGATCCGTCGGATCTATGTTCTATCTATCCACTTTGGATTGGAAGATATGCTTTCATCGTTATCCTCTGTTCCACCCGGTCTGACACAAAACCCGCTCAGATATGACGCTCGTCTTTTGCTTGATGCCCTCCCGGGACATGCAAGTTCGAATGCCTCTCAACCAAGATCTCTGTCTCCAACCGGATGGTCAGACTTGCCGTCTGACACTGAGGATACTTTTTTCTTTGCGCCACTCGAAATTGAGGACTACCAGCGCGAGAAACGTAGGCGTCTTATTGACCGAAACAGAGAGGAACGCCTAAGAGCTCTTGCTGCGACCGACGAAAGCGAACACTCAGATCTTTGGGGATGTAGCGATGAGGAGGTAAGTGGTCATCCACTAGCACTTGTAGTCGGAATAACATATTATTTTCTGTTCCAGCCCGATGATGCCCAATCAGAGCTTATGAAAAGAACAGCACTACACCTTGTCTCGTCTCCTAATCCTGCACAACTGGAAGATGCGCATTCTTGCAAACCACGGTGCAGATAAAAGATTTGCATTCTTAAGGGGACGGTGGTCACGAGCGTGGCGCACAACCAAGGAGAAGCTCAGACAAGAAAAAGTCAACCAATCAGTTCAATCGCTGCGGGCCTCGCAGAAGGCAGGTCTGGGAGGACTCGCTGCGTATGGAGATAGTGACGATGAAGGTAGCGAGGAAGGGTCTGAGAGTGGAGATATACCTTCCCTCAAGGTCGGTGAGAGTTCTACTGCGACCTCGAATCCGCCTGAGAACCGTGATGCACGGTTGGAGGAGGCTGAGCAGGAGGCTCGGCGTGCTAGAGCTAGGGAGTGGGCTGCGCAACGCCGTACACGACAAGGACAAACTTTGAGTAGAGTTGAAGATCAGTCAAACTCCTCAGATTCGTGATAACTGTATGGTGACTATATTTTTGTTTCTCGGATACAATGTCCCTTGAATCTGAAACACGGATCGCTGGAATACACAGCATTTGAACCCTCTTTTTTAAATAGCGCAAGGCCCGGGGTCGTGGCACATGCCGTTTCGGCATGATAGGCGGGGCGTTCTCAGTGAAGCGCTCGAACAAAAAGCATATGATCTGACGTGATGTCCTACCTTCAGTACCCATCGTGTTACCCCTGCCCACTATTCCTCTGCACACAGTGGACCTCTGCTTTTTTTTCTGTTGCAACGGAGCTCCACCGCAAGATTGGACGACGGGCTAGGACCTCTCGAAGCGCTGAGACAAAATAAGCTTTGATGCGTAACGACGCGTTCAAGTATTCCCCCGCACGCGGACAAAGTTTTAGTCACCATGCAGCTATTGGATTCATGTCATTTAAACAGTCTCTATCTCCCTCACTAGGCTTCAATCCCTTCAAAAGCCTCGAGCCGAGGTACTTTATGATCCTGGCTCTCGCAAGAACAGTCCATTCGAAATTCGCCGCTCGGCTCTGACTAGCTGTACTCCTAGCGCGGCTGTTAAATCTGTATTACATTAGCACCCCCTTGATATGCAAGCCGCAGCAAGCTCTGCCCTTTTAGCACTGCCCATCCTATCTATCGCCTATCAGTGCTCAACATCCTCGTACCAAGACCGTCAGCCGCACGCGCCTCTATCATTTGCTGCCACCACAGGCTCCCAATAGGGGCTTGGGAGAACTCAGTTTATCATTTCTTCCTCGGTTATATAATCGTAGTCCTGCCTACCGAAGAGTAACAAGAACGAGAACAGGAACGCGAGCATAGTCGAATTGCTGCTTCTCAGCTCGTGAAACAATGGCACTTAGATCGTGAACGGAGACAAAATGAGGAGTAGAATGGTGATATGATGGCCCCTTTCGCTGCAGGGTGTGATATTGATAACTTCCTTGCAGGCTACGAACCTAATCACACGGGCAGTGTTGACCGGACTCCACTTGAAATGCTAGCGAACGGTGATTCTGATGTTTGAGGGTTTAAAGACGAGAAGGATCATGTAACGCGGTACGTGAAAATATCTTTTGACGATGAAGAGTCGACAAGACCTCTGAAAGGAGCCAAAACATGGTTCATCATGCCAGCACAAAGTCGCAAAGCACATAATTAGACTTGATAAATGATGGACCAGAATGGAGACGTCAACGTCACTTTCTCCAGGATTCAGTTCGAGTACCAGGCACTTTTTTCCATTTTGGTTGAACCCTCCAGACCTGTCTCTTTTCAAGGCTACTTCAGAATACCAGGACGAAACTTGGAACACAAACATACATTCTCCCGCTCCTGCAGAGTATCTAATGACTGTTAATTACATCAAGCATCTCCCATGCTACACACTGCTGCTAGTTGACACATGCACACGCTCCTGGAAATCAACTGAAGTCATGGCGGTTGCTATATCGGGACCGGCCACGAGTTTAGCATTAAATTGTCGAACGCTAAGGATCAGACGTGGTCCCAGCACAAACAACTGCACGACGGTGAAAATTTGAAGGAGACCGGCATAAATCTGACTTTCCAGGGACATGGTGTTCTGTAGAAATGATGAACTGTGATCGCATGCAGAGGTCAGCAGCAGATCAACATACCGCTGACAACGGTGAAAGCAGATAACCGATCTCGAAGCAAGAAGCAGCAAGAAAGCTAGCGGGCGCGGAACTTCAGCGAAAAGGAAAACTGCATTGACGTTATGAGCTCACCTCGCAAAATAAGCCACGTGAGTTTGGATCAATACCGTAAAACAGTCCCCGAGGATCCCTCGTGTCGATAGTTGTCGCAGTTCCCGGAAGCGTTTTACAGCAATCCAAATTGCAAAACACATTGCGATTGACTCCCATCCAATGGAAATGTACCAAGTGATGGTATCCAGACCTAGGGAACTTTCCTCGAATTCAGCAGTGCACCTATACGTGCCGGATAGAATGAGCTCCTCTGGTATTCATCAATGAGCCTGGTGCACTTAAGTCTTTCATCCATAATTAAACTTACCCCCCGAACCATGTCTCACTGAAAATGCAGCAATCGTTATGTTGGCGATGCAGACAGACAGTAAGATGGACACAAGAAATACCAGCACCTTTCTCGATCGCTGATACATCGCATTTAACCGAGCGATCAGAATGACTTTCGCATGTTTCAGTTAAGTCAAGGTATTCCAGTATAACTCACTGCCTAGTATTTGATTTACGAGGACACGCGTCCAATCCACTACGAGGTATGAAATCAGGCCTGCCAAATCCAGTTAGCGGTCAGCCTTGAAAGAGACAACACGCTCGAGCCAAACTCACAGCTGTGGCGGTCATTATGGTGAACTAATAAGCTGGTCAATAATCTCACTCACCCCTACATGGGAGTGCGGTTAATTGGACAGGAATGCAGGGATCGGAGCAGAATACTCACTTTATCTGTCAGCGGTATTGTCGTAACGCTAACTGTATACCGCTAGTCAGAAGAGACAAACGCTGTGTATAATGAGACATACACAGTATGCTCGCGCTGATTGCGAGATATGGCTAATTAGTACAACGCCAACTGCTTAGCCTTCCATACATACATAGCAAGTGGTATTCCAGCATAGCGCACCTGAGATATTTTCAGGTTAGCACCACTTACCAACGACATTTTTAACGCAAGATACACACAGTCAGATACAGAATGGTCATCAGGGACCAGCGTTGCTTCTGCCACATATTAATTTTAGGGTTACTTTGTTCTTCTGACATGGGACTCTGCTCACCCAGATCAGTTCAACCTATAAACCGTTCCTGGTGAGATGATTGCTCCGGTAATGCCATCAACCTACCTCCTGTCCGAATGAAAGTACTGGAGAAACCATGAGGATATCAGTAATTCCTTAATTCTATCTTTCTCACCGAAATCGTACACCAGCCCAGCACAACTGGCAACTGCGAAGCCGCAGCCAAGGTTAGATCAATACATCACCACCATCAACCAAGTGGCTCTACACGAACCTACAAAATAGCCGTTGACATTACTCGCATTGATGGACGGCCACCAAATGGGACGATTTGAGATCAACGTCATTGTTAGAAGATGGGTGAGGGAGCGGCGAACTCTGCGGACGTTGTACGATAATGGAGTTCATGCTAGATATACCAATCGTCCAGCGCTTTTATCGCCGAAAGGAGCATGATAAAGATTATACCCATTCCTGCCTTGATTGACCGAAGCAGTATTTTTGCATGAAGTCAGGTAGAAAGAGGAAGTCAATCCAGGGGTCCTCATAGATACTAATCGTCAAACAGCAAAGCAGTGACATGCGCAGTATCTGCTACACGGACATCAGTCAATTAAGAAGTGTTCCATCAGTGAAAAAGAAGTTCATTGACTTGGCACAGGCCCTGTAGGTGTCATGGCTAATGTGGCCGTCGGAAAACTTGTCCATGTTTCTTAATGAACATCGTATCCTCACTCAATCGCAACAAATTTCATTCTGTCTGCATGACGCCAGAAAAATCAGACATGTTCAAACATAGAGGAGGTCCAGATGAAGCAAAGAGATAACTCGCCTGTCCTACCCTGCTGCTAACTTCCCCACTAAGCACACCTCTCAATACCTAATCTCCGTCCTTGTCCTTAGCATTAAGCCCCCCGCACCTGAATAGGGCTATGTCCGACATAGGGTTTACGACCCCAAAGGTCAATAAATTTGAATTAAAAAAAAAAAAAAAAAAAAAGTAGATTCAAAACGCACTGCACTCGATTTGTAGTTAGTGCGATGGTGATGATGGCATCAACCTTCACAGCCTGGAGACTGAGATAGGTTCTGACGTGACCGAAATGGCCCTAAGTTAAATCGAGACGAAATGAGAGTCAGAAGCAATTACTATATCATGATCGTGCAGGATCGCGCAGTAGTATACGGTTTCATGGCCAAACACTTACTGGTAACTGTACTGTATAAGCTCAATGTTCTCAATGATAAATATTGATCCATCTGATCATCGCCATATCCTCGATGGGCTCAACACGGTCACAATCTTTTTGCACGTCGTCAGAATGCATTCACAGCACTATGTGTACATATCATTGTCGACTCACACGTTTCACTGTGCAGGGATGTGGATAGGACGAGCCATATGAACCACGGTGCCAGAACTACACTAACACCTGAAAGTAAACCAACTCCTCACGATCCTCTCCGGCTTTTCCACAGATAAATCGCTGTCTCGTCGAGAGCTTTTCCGCATACTCCACGTTCTAGAGGAGGGAGCCCAAGAATTGCAGAAGTTGTGCGTGGGGAAGTTTGGCGGCGAGGTAAATAGGGACACGACTGCCAGGCGGGTATACAATGATTGGGCGATGGTGCGGTGGTGAGTTATATGATCAGTGGTTGGTTGGTTCTGCCTAAATATTTTACGTCACTGCTATGTCAGACTGACACGTCTGACGTCACGTGGTCGATGAGCACGTGTCATAAAACAGCAATGTTTCGCTGACGTTTCGCTAACGCCCAGGACTGTACTGCACCATGGATCTGCTGCACATTCAGCTCGCAGCACTCCAGCAAAAGTTATCTTTTGTTGCAACCGATCCAATTGACTGGAAGTTTTACGTTCAAGCTTTCTCATGGGGCGTTACGCTGTTCGAGTCTTACCTTATGTCAGTTTACTACTCCGTTCAATTCTCCTTCCTAGCTTACTAGTTTTTTTTTGGATTGCAGACTCCGCCAGTATCCTCTGTATTCAAAAACTTCCCCTCCAGAGGTTCTAGCGGGCCACTTTGATGCCGAAGCATTCAAGAAGTCCCAGAATTATGGCAAGGACAAAGCCAAATTCTCCCTTATTACTGGATTGTTTAAGCAAGCGCTTGATTCCGCTATGCTCCATTACGGATTATACGCATTCGCATGGGATATGGGTGCACGGACGATCGCCTACTTCGGATATGGCAGCGAGTACGAGGTTCGTGGCGCCCCCCACTCAATCCGAACCTCCAAACTGACTGAACACAGATTTTGCAATCCCTTGCGTTTGTTATCGTGCTCTTCATCATTTCATCCATACCTTCGACACCTCTCTCTGTATACCAAACGTTTGTTTTGGAAGAGAAGCACGGCTTTAACAAGACTACACCCATGTTATTCATCACAGACCTCTTGAAAAGCTGGGCGATTGGCTTCGTCATCGGCATGCCATTCCTCGCCGCTTTCCTTTACGTCTTCAAGTGGGCTGGAGACCGATTTGTTCCATGGCTTATGGCATTCCTGTTCGCTTCTTTCATTTTCCTGGTAAGGGACTGCTGATATTCCTTCTCCTTTAGCCTGGCCTTCCAGATCAGCATGGTTATCATATATCCAACCGTGATACAACCACTGTTCAACAAGCTTTCGCCCCTCAAAGAGGGCGAGTTGCGCACGAGGACTGAATCACTCGCTACGAAGCTCAAGTTCCCCTTGAAGCATTTGTACGAGATCGACGGTTCGAAGCGTAGCTCTCATAGCAACGCTTACTTCTTCGGGTTGCCCTGGGTTCGTAATATTACCTACCCCTCACCTTCTAGAATATCCTGCTCATCATGAATCAGAGCAAACATATCGTCATCTTCGATACCCTGATCAAAGAAAGCAAGGCCGACGAAGTCGAGGCAGTTTTAGGTGTGTACCTATTTTCTTTTCTTTCATGGTCTGTTAATTAAATGTCGTGGATCAGCGCATGAGCTCGGCCACTGGTACCACATGCACCCAACAAAATTGCTCTGCGTATCCCAAGTCCACATCTTCACCATCCTTGCCATGTTCCCCGCGTTTCTACACGCACCTCAGTTCCTCCGCGCATTCGACTTCTCCGAGGCCGTTTCTGTCCGCCCGCCAACTATCGTCGCATTTTTGCTATTCCAGGCGCGTTCTTCTGTGTTCTTTCCACGCATATGACGCTGACTCTGAACGCAGATGATTCTCAGCCCCCTAGAAGCCATCATCGGCATCGCGCTTAATTTCCTTTCGCGCCAGTTTGAATGGGAGGCTGACCGTTTCGCGTGTGAGATGCAAGACCGGTTGTCGGCTCCGGAGATGAAGGATATGGGTGAGAGGCTTTCAAGGGCGTTGATCACGCTCCATGTCAAGAATCTGAGCACCGTATGGGTTGATTGGCTGTAAGTCGAGTTGTGATGCTTTGGAATCGGCATACTGATTGGTTCTTGATATAGATACTCGGCTTATCACCACTCGCACCCCACATTGACAGAGCGATTGAAGGCCCTCCAGGCATTCCAGGCTAAGAAGGATGGAGTAGTGAAGAAGGAGTTGTAGACTCTAGAAACTCACTTCCGTCCGATTAAGTACCTACAGTACAAGCATCTGATAAAATTATATATTTCATCCTTTAGTCGATTCTGTTGACAGAAGTGACACAATCTAACCTATGGGCGCCAGACTGCTCTGATCCTGATCAATTGAAGAGGAACAAAAACCTGGTGACTCGAACGCTGCAACTCCGAACACCTGGCACTCCCCAACTATTACTCATCAACCCCTCTTATCCCCCGCTAAGGAATGTCTTCCTTGTCACGTCTCTGTTTGCTCACTGAAGATCAAAAACAACAAGCATTTGTGAACAAGCAAACAGGTAGCGGGCTTTGCCACGAAAGCTGGTACGTCTTATTTTATGTAATTGGTGCCACAATGAATTATGTATTAGACAGTAGGAGCTTGAGCCAAACGACCCCTAAATCCGATGACAGTATATACTACCACAATGAACGGTGTACATCCTGGTATGACAACAGCTGTCACCCCCAAGGGCTTACTGCTCTCATACCAAAGTATTGCTCCAGTTGCCACCCCACCGGCTACCCCGGCTGCACATACAAACATCGCAGTTAGGAACACAAGGACGACTGTCCAAATGAAATCACATGAGGTTGAATCTCGTGAAATCTCGACAAAGTACATTTGGTGAATGAGCAGATTTCGCGTTCTACCACGAGCTGTCACGCCAGGCCCATTATCCTCACGCCTAACCACCATCCACGCTCAGTCACCTAGGTTTTAGCTGGGCATATTCCCTTGCGTCCTGCCTTCCCTCATCGACGTCCACGCTGAGGAGCACAGGCACAGCCGCCCATACCATAAACACAAGGAAAAAGAACGCGTAGCGGATGTTCCCCGTGCTATCCGCGATAAGGCCGACGATGAGCGGACCAACGAAAGAACTCGACTATATAGACATGTCAGGGTAAAGTAAACTTGGAAACCAATCTGCCAACCTTGTCTGTTATCGAGAAAAGACCGTACCTGGAGCAATTTGTCAATGTTCTGCGTGCTATGCCTGTGAGAGAGAGAAATGTACCATCGGGCTTCTTCCCCCGGAGGTAATAATTCCGCGTAGAAAGCTCTAGCATAGCTCTGAAATGCGCCGTACGCAAAACCTGTGACAGCGATACCGATCAGTCAAAGCTTGGGACCGAGCACTTCGCGAAGGGCACAGACCGAAATACACCGCAAGACCAAACATTTCTCCCTGCGTCGTCAATCCGCCAAAGCGCACAGTTCCCTGGAAGATGGGGAGGAATCCCAAGCACCCGTACGCCGGAATGAGCGAGACCATCGTCACGAGGAGGACTAGGACGTGGAGGTTCGACCACATAAATTTACGTTGGAGGGTGGGGAACACCAGAGAGCCGATGATTCCTGAAGTTGGTGTGATTGCGCCGATGAGGACGAGGGATGAAGGCTCCATGTGCAGAGTTGTTTTCCCAAACAGGATAGCGGTTGATGTTATAGTAGTGAAACCTGTTAACATTCAAATTAGGAGGAGCGGGTTATGGGTGGAATCACACGGACCATCGGAGAGAAGGAACCAAGCGGCTAGGTATCTGAAGGTATGTTGAAGACGCTTTATCTCCCGCCAGCGAAGCATAACTCCCAATCGTTTCCATGCAGCTGCAATCTCTGAACCGAAGGTCCATTCGTCATCTGGCTTGATAGAACCGCATTCTGGTTCGTCGATGTTGCTTGCGTTTGGGAGCCAGATAGCAGCAGGAATCGAGAATAATGCCCACCATATGCCGCTGAGGCCAATGGCGAGACGGAGCGAGAAAGTAGATCCATTTAGGCGGGTTACAGGTACGAGTGCGACTAAGAGAAGGATGATTCCTGCGCCATAGCCTGAAGCGATTCCCAAGGATGATATTCGCGAGGTCGCTCTCGATAATGCGGCAGTGTAAATCGGTTGAGAAGCGCTAGTGTGGATTGAATGCCCGAGAAGAGGATCTGACACTTGATCGAGAGAGGACTCTAATTCACCATCAGCGCTTGTAGACAGAGCGACATTCTCATCTCGGTGCAGGTCGGAGTAAGCTTCGACTACTTCTGGAGAATCTTTCGCCAATGAGGGCAGGTACGCGTTCATGGCTACTACGGACGCTCCAAAACCAACGTTGGCAAAGATAGCCAATAGCGCGGACACCATCCACAAAGGGGATGATGACGGTAGAAGGAGGAAAAGTATCGCGGCGAATGCGCCCATCGCAGCAAAAGAGAGGAGAAGGGGTTTTCTGTATAACGCTGCCACCAATGATGAAGATTCGTTCTAGAACGAACAGTGTGGAACGTACGACGGTCGGCTATGCTACCCATTGAAATCACCGTGAGCGCTTGCAGAGCGACAGATATCGAGTAGACATAGAGACTGAATGTATTAGGACATCCGCACCAGTGCTCAGAATACCTTAGACACACCTGAAACTGGCGGTATCTATCCACAACCAACCAATCTTCACTGCACACCTGGCATCTGCGTTTTCTGGCGCAGTGCTCGAGACTGAAGAGCAAGGTTCAATCTTTTCTGGTTGCAAGAATCCATTGTCACGGGCAAACTGTTCCAGACAAATGGGAAGAAAAAGTGTCAAGGAAACTACCACAAAGACCTCACTATCCACGGCGTGAATAAGTTATTTGGAGGAGAGTGTATATAGGTACTACACACCTAGCAAATGCATAGCTGAGCCATCCTCTGAGCCTTTGCTTGTATGTGGCCGACATTACTTATGCTGTCATGTTGACTCGGTTAAGGTGCTGTACGCAGGGTGTGAGGCATTACGTGATTTCTGCCATTTCCGTGGACCCCCTATATATCAACCTACAATGAGCTACGTCTGCTCTGACTCCTATTCATCGACTACTTGCTGAAACTTAACTCCATTCATGGGTGCATCTCCTAGTATGTGCAATACATTCTATGCCACATCATATCGCCCTCATTCCATACCTACAGGTACGCATAAAATAGAGCTCGATGAAGAAGTGGACTCGGATGAAACAGTGGAGGAACTCCGGCAGAAGCCACAAAATCCTGTACTACTTCCACGCATCTCCACGCGATGCAGGGCCGCCCGATTGATCGCGACTGCATTGGCCACCGTGTATAATGATTACATCCTAGTTGCGGAAGATTTCCAGTGGGATGAGAATGATGACGCACTCACAATGAATATCGCAGAGCACATTGACGCAGGCGAGTATAACCTCGACATCCTGAAATGGCCATGGAACGGGTATAGAAATTGGCCTGATGGGACGAACAAAACACAACAATTTGTTGTATCGGCAATGGCAGCTTAGAAGAACGCAGCATTGCTCGCCTTGAAGGATGGCGAAAATGTCGATGACGTGCATATGGCGCAGTTGGACGATGACCGTGCCTATTTGATTAGCTTCCTAAGTCTTGACAACGAAGCGAGCCCGCTGTCCCATTACTTCAATTTCTAAGTACTTGTTTCTGTCACTTTCCACTGCACTGCCAGGGAGATACTCCTGTAGACAGATCCGCTAACGACCCTGTGATGTATGCCCCCAATCGATGTTCCAAGGCCAGTAGGCTGATTTTCCTGGCCTCAGGAAATTAAACTCATAGTGAGCAACAAAATACGAAGACGATGCTAAACGCTCCTTGTAGATTTAACGTCAACTAGAAGTTCCTGTCCAGCATTCTGTAGTCCACAACTTACTACCGAGGAGGACCAGATCCTAGGGTCGAGTGTATTCCCCGTAGCGTCATTGTCCACCATGAACAACTGTACAACAGGATGCCAAAGACCGCCGCGAAATGAGGTCGTTAAGAACAGCCATTCAGTCACCACTATCTGAGCAAGTCAATGTGTCCACCAGTGATGCAAAGCTGACATACAAGGCCTCGTGGGGCACTTGGCAGGGGTTGACAGGCACCTGAGAAGGGAGGGCGAAGAATGTTACGAAACCGATTAGAAGCAGTGGGGTGTAAAGGATGATTCCGCCTGCACGTGGGAGAGAAGAATCTCCTTCACTGACTTCAAGTCGGGAGTAGTAGCCATATACTTCGTTTGGCGAAGAGGAGGGGATATAATGGGGAACGGTAGATAGTGAGAGTGGTACAGTAAAGGAATAATATCCGGTTGCATGGCCTACAGAAGCCTCGGGATATACACAGCTAAAATATGATTCTGCCACCTCCTAGCTAGAGAGCACTGCAGTATTAGGACCGGGTGAACAAGAGAAACGTACAACATACCTGCTCTAAGTGAGCATCAATGATATCCCCCTCTTCCATCTCCATCTGATGATGCGTCAGCGTACGAGCGTCAACCGTTCTCGGGGCCCAGTAGAGCACTCACATCTACAGGCGTGTCTTGGGACCGTAACCTTTTGCCATCGTAGGTAAACTTGAACGTCCCTGAAAGTTCACCGTGAGTACAGAACTCCTTTACCTGTCCGAAGTAGTCGCCACCCACCCGCTTCTTTTCCAAATCGTTTCTGGTGCACGTCACGGAGGTTGATGAAAACGCAAGATTTGACACAAAGACCGCGGATCTCACCTCTGCTGCATCAAATATCTTCTGGAATGGCATGTTGTGCTTCACCTTCACAGTGATTTCTAGTACGGTTCATCAGTACCTGCAACGCGCCGAAATAGCACGTCGAGAAGACTGACGGGTACCCTCGTAGTTGATGACCAGGCTCAACTTTGGTTTGACATCTTCGGTGTTATCTTCGGACATATCTGTACAGTCCGTTGGAGACAGTAGTAAAAGGAACGGCGTTCACGTATAAAGCGACACTAGCTGGATGGCCGCGGCAACGCGTACAAACGCGTGCATTGCTCAGAAGTCCCTCGTTTTCCCACACTCACGTGGTTTAGGTGGCTGTGGTATTGTCACACAAGCGGGGAAACTGACATTTTACCACCTTTTGCCGCCAGTGAAATTGCATTCGAAAGGTAATCTAGAGTGCTCTGGAACGCTCTAGGCTAGGTCTAGAATGCTCTAGCCAGGTCTAGACTTGCTTTTGATTGAAATCTTGCAAGAGGCAAAAATGTTGAAACCCACGATGTATCATTAGATGCCGCACGCAAGTCGGATAGGCAATGTCGTAGAACCTCATGGGTCATCTGCCTCACCAGTTGTACAAATGAGTGTGTGAAGCAAAGGGGTATTTTTCAAGATAGATTGGAGGTATACATCATTACGACAGGGCCGTCTAGGATCAACAGAACGATGTCCCGACCAATTGGACAGTGAAAGAGGTACAGTAGGAAAAAAAACTTGCCAACTATGAAGCACTCCTGGACACTACAACGATTTACGAGAATTTCCATCTGTAGGTGATAAATGAGACGCGAGTTTTCCTCGAGGACAGCTTACTTACTTGTTGCCACAGTTGACGCATCTGTAGAGGCGAAAGATCAGTATGTTTTGGACAACAGACAAAGGTCACGTACGTCACAAAAGTCTAGAAAAAATACACATTAACTTCAGTCCTATTTCCATCATACATTGACTCACCGTCATTGGCTCGTCGGCGCTTCTGGTCTGCGCCTGGCGATAGCGACACTTGCGCTACAAACGATGAGATACCAAGCCACCAAATTCGACGAAAATATCTTACTTGCTTGCATCTTCCGCACTGGAAGCCTTCAGTTTCGGCTTCTTGTTCGCCAGCCCCCAAGGACTTGAAGAAGTTCTCCTCCTTTATCTTTCGGTCTGCTGCTCGTCTTTCCTCCGAAGACATTTCCTGGGACAAATCAGCTCTAAAATGTAGATCTTATGATTCCTGGAATACCTCGCTGCTCATTTTGCTGAACTTCTCGGCCAAAAGTTCTCCACTGACAACGCTCTCTCGCAGACCTGGATTGCCCTTGTCCTTGAGGTTGACAAACAAAGAACGAATCTTGCCCTTGTATTCAGCGTTAGCACTGCCAAACTGCGCAAAAACACCCGCTTCCACAGCCTTTGCTCGAGTCATAATCAGATCGCTGGCTATTTTCAAGGTCAGTGGGAGTCGGTAGAGAAGCTGAAGTCCGGGATTAACTCACGAGCGCCAGAGTCAAAAGCAAGGCCATCATAAAGGAGTTCGGTGCATCTGTCCCGCACGTCGTTGCCAGTGCCAGCCTTTGCTTTATCTCCTTTCGCAGTACGAGATTCAGACTTCCCGCTCATCGGAGCGGGAGTGGCGTTAGATGGAGTCACCGATGCAGATCCTTTGCGAGCTATGTCAGGGAATAGAGTCGATAATCGTGGTCATCATAAGAATCTAACAGTATATGTGGATCGGACTCACTTGATCCTGCCTTGCCGTTGGCAGGCGCCCCCGCCTTTGAGCCTGGACCTCCTTTAGCACGCTCCACCTCATTTTTCCACTTCTTCACTATCTCCTTGGCTAGGTCGGAGACCTCTTTTGCCTCATGGGTTCGCAATTTACCGACAGCAAGACCTGCTTTGCTTTCCTAAGAATTCTCACCAGTGAACTGTGAGTCAAACACGATGGGAAAACACGAATACCTACCCTTAGGATTGCTTCATTTACTTGAAAGTCTTTCTTCAAGATTTGCAGAATGGTTACTTTTTCCTATAGTACAGGAAGGACTTGTCAGCAAACCAAACTGAAAGCATTGACCTAGAAGGATTTGTACACACCTCATTCGTGGAAGTATTTTGGAGCTGTTTCACGAGCTTCCTAAGCTCAGCTGCTTCAGACATGGCTGACGGAACGACGTCTAATGTCTACCACTAAGTTACTTCAAGTACTGTTCAATCCTCTTAAACCACCTGAACAAAGACCGCGAAACACAAAAAAGTCCTAAAGGAAACAAGTACGTAGGGTCTCCTCCTTTCACATAAGCGAGTCGCGCGTTCATTTGCCTTTCTCGTAAAGAACCAAACAAACGACAATCAAACCGGTATTCCCCAGCCACCTCGGTAGTCGTTAACTCATTTGCTCAACAATCCCCAAGTACTATCAATGAGTACAGCACATGCCCTTCCGCCGCTAGATCCTTTATTGAAGAGGAGCGCAAAGCGCACGAGAGACATATTTGCATCATGTCCGAATGACGGGATGAAGGAAGATGAGAAGAGGTACGTATTAAGTTCTGGGACGCCGAGTATGTTTGCTAATGAGGTTTCAAGCGCACGGATACGTCTCTCGGTGAAGATTAATGATGAATACCGTGATTTCAAAGAACTCCCACCTGCATTGCTCTCTCAGCAGGGCCCTGTTGGTCCTGCGCGGCCGAAGGAGCAGAGAAAGGCAATCACTGCTGGACGTAGGTTACAAGTTCCTCTCAAGTGTGACTGACGGTCTTATCAGTGAATTCAGCTTCTAGCGATACATCAAGAATGATTGCCACAATAGACAACACACCTAAAGTGCAACCATCCACATTTGTTACGTCCAATAAACTTTCCGAGGCTTTGACCTTGCACAAAACGACTCGTACCATCAAGCCAACGTATCATCCACCCTGGAAACTTGTCCGCGTGATATCTGGCCATCTGGGTTGGGTTCGCAGTGTGGCAGTTGAGCCAGGAAATCAATGGTTTGCTACTGGTGCCGGAGATAGAGTCATCAAAATTTGGGACTTGGCTTCAGGGGAATTGAAGCTTTCCCTGACAGGTCATATTTCCACTGTCCGAGGACTAGCTGTTTCACCGAGGCACCCATACTTGTTTTCGTGTGGTGAGGACAAGGCGGGTCATTCTATCCCCCACCGATATTGTGTTATTGATTATCTCTCCCTTTAGATGGTCAAATGCTGGGACCTCGAAGCCAATAAAGTTATCCGGCATTACCATGGTCATCTTTCAGGTGTTTACTCGTTGAGTTTGCATCCGACGTTGGATGTTTTGGTCACATCCGGTCGTGACGCCTCAGCTCGTGTCTGGGATATGCGCACAAAAGCCCAAATTCACGTTCTCGCGGGTCACTCCGCAACAGTAGCGGACGTAAAGTGCCAAGAGTCTGATCCACAAGTCATCACTGGAAGTATGGACTCAACGGTTCGGTACGTCGAAATTTCCCCGCAATTCAACAACCTGGTTGATTTACCCTGGGTTAGGTTGTGGGACCTAGCAGCTGGAAAGACGATGGTCACCCTCACCCATCACAAAAAATCTGTAAGGGCCCTGGCAATCCACCCGACAGAGTATTCCTTTGCGTCCGGTTCTGCAGGCGGTAATAATATTAAAAAATGGAAATGCCCGGAGGGTGCATTTGTATTCAACTTCCCCGGACATAATGCTATTATAAATACGCTTTCTGTCAACGCAGAAGGCGTATTTTTCTCTGGTGGTAAGTCAACCTATCCTATTAGCTTTCCTTAAATCTGAATCAATTTCCACTCAGGTGATAATGGCACGCTCACATTCTGGGATTACAACACGGGGACTCCATTCCAAAACCTGGATGATGTCCCTCAACCCGGTTCCCTCGAGGCGGAAGCCGGCGTCTTTTGTTCGACCTTCGATATTACCGGAACACGGCTTATCACCGGTGGTGCTGACAAAACCATCAAGGTTGGTTGTGGGCAACCAATAACATAAATTAACATCGCTCATCGATCTTTTGCAGGTTTATGCCGAGCAGTCGCAATGATTGCCACACGCGTATTTTTACCACACAGTCTTGTTGTAATATTGCAATGTGCTTGTCATCTCATTCCCGTCTGCATAGGCTATCCGTTGCGGCTTATTTAGCGCTAACTGGGTTGCAAGGGCACACCACTTTCTACGAAACTCATCTTCGTGTTGGATGCTCCGTGCTGTAGATTATGCTCTCATTGCAATTGATTGCATTATTCATGGGACGGTCTTTGATTGGTGAGGAGGTCTCACCACCAAATTAATCTCGGTTGAGCTCGTATGGAGGAGTTGCCTGAAGGTAAAGCACTTCTGGAGCGATTGACTCCGCTGTTTGGATCACCGGTTCAAGTGAGGCGCACTCCTGAAGTCGACGTTTCTGGAGCTGCCACCCGATTCTGAGAGAAAGTTGTCCTTTGTTGGAGCAAAGTTACACACTCCTGGGTCACACCGTGTCCCCCCCATCCTTGATTCAACACGACAATTGCCCTGCATCAGTGTTCGATGCGAATGGCCCAGTCGGGCGGCATTGCTGTCACAGTTACCGCAACAGGATGGCAGGACGGAGTATTGGAAATTCGCATGTCCTCACGGAGAAGCTAACCCATGCATGCAGTATTGCAATATTTCAATCAATACCCACGATATTATGTATTATATGTGCTGTAAGTAATAAATATCCGATGCATTCGATGCGACATTCATCGAAATGCAAGTCATACCATAATAGTGGGGTCATTGGCTGTGGAACTACGTGCTGCTTTGCGTTCTCTGCGCTTTCGACGGTATGATGGCCAGAAGCACCTGATGTCGAGAACCAGATCTAGAATTAAAGCGGTAATCTGTTTTCCATGAGACTCAACTTATTAGGAGAAGACTGAAGAAACATGAGAATCTACGAACCAAGACGATTCCGCCAACGATGCCGAGGATTATACCGACTATTGCTACAGTGACAAGATCGCCGACAACAAGGATTATAGAGATGATACAGCCCTGTGCAGGAAGATGTCGGTAAGTCGATAAGTAACAGTGTGAGCGGCACGAACCATGATGTATGTACTTTTAGGTTAAGATGGGAATTAAGTCAAGAGATTCAAGTTAAGATGAGGATCAAGGATTTTAAGTCAAGATGCGATTTAAGTTAAGACGGAAAGCTGAGGAAAGGGGTTTTTAAACTAATTCGAGCCTCGGATCGGATGAGTAAGTTCGTCATCATCTCGGAAGTTTGTCGGAGTGGTGCGGTTTAAAAGCCTCGATGACATGATGCTTCCTGGTGTCTATGTGTGGGTCCGGGGCAGGTGGGGTTCCATAGTGGCTCCACAGAGGGTCCGCGTTGCCCGACACGTCCGGTGACCTCTCCGTCGCCAGAACCATATGACACGAAAGCGCCAGGTTTCAGATCCTACCTTCTGCATGTATGTACATTCAACTTCAACCGCGATTGACATGTGGACGGTATTCTCGACATTGCCTACAAGGTGCATCTCTATGCCTACTTACCACGCTAGGTTGTGTTAAAGCTCACACGTACGCTTATGGTCCACATGTTCTGGATTGTTTATCCGCGGTCCGCGGACCCTACAGTGGTTCTGCCTATACTCTCTACCAACATCAGAGCCATTATTCGAGATCCTCCTTAACGTGTTTCATTTTACCTAGCACAAGCCATGCGTTTCTCATTCCTCCTCGCTGTTGTCGCTGCTTTGACAACATCTATATCTGTTAGTGCGTGCATACCTTGGGGTGTTATTTGCCGCAAAGAGAAGAACAGTGAAAAATGCTGCAAAGGTCTCACTTGTAAACAGCCGGTAAGTATGAGCCGTTCGCTTTGCACCCGGAATTCAACCCCATGACTGCCTTGTACCAACAGCCTAATGATGTCGGTGCCCCCGCTGACGACATATTCTGCATCCCGTAGACTGAGGATGTCGCGACAGTGAGTCGTGTTTCTGCTTTCACGTTGGCACAGTGGTTGATCACACGATAGTTTATCGTTGCGGAATTGATCAATATGCTTACTTTTGTCCAAATTTCCCAGCTCCCTCGACCAAACTCTTGAATAACAACCCCGAGTAACAGAACTTGATCACGATCTTGCGTTTTGGATGGAATGAGAAATGTAATGGTTTTTTTCGAGGTTGAGGAGGGAATTGACGTTGACTTGGTCACGTCCTTTTTGGTCGTTTCTAACTGTTTGAGAAGCGCGATGAGGTCTTCCTTTGACCAGGATCCGTAGGTTGGGGTCATCATGCGAAGATGGGCTTTGGATTATATGAAACGGGTTCCAAAGTGCATGGGTCTGCAACAAGCTCTGCTGCGAGTTTTGACGTCACGTGAGTGGTGTTTGTGTTAAAAAGTATTTTATGAGTCTACGGCCGTCGTGTTAAAGACAGAATTCGACTCGGAGTAATTTCAGAGTGCCACGCGCCTGTTCAGCCCGGATGCTTGCCCCCATTCTTTTGTTTTCTACAACTTCCCTTTATACTATCGCAGACCGCAAATATCTTATGGGTCAATCCATGCAATGCAGTGACACTGTCTCCCAGGACACCATTCCCTGCTGAAGATCGTGATTTGTGCGGCCAAAGAAAGACATTTAGTTGGTTCTTCACACAACTTGTGCTTCTAAGTACGCATAGGAAGTTCGAGGCAGATGGAGTTCCACAAACACATACCCCACAGATATGAGCTAATGATAGCAAAGTTTGTGCAGCCTTGCTTGGGCTCGCTAGTACTGACTCTCCAAAGTATAGCGCTGATGTACAACATCAGTAAACTACTAAACCTTGCACAGACTTTGGCTTTAGCCGTAGATTTATATACCACATGTATACATTTAAATAATATGTTCCCTCGAAAAACACAACGGTATGGTACACAATGCTTATTGAACAAGGTTACTGCCGACGAAGCTCGACCCTTCTCTAGTACCTATATTGTAACATGTCCGTGCAGTGTTTTTCTTTCTATTGCTAAAGCCCCTGCGTAAGTCGTTGTCGAGATACGCCGCGCCCTGTACAAACACCTCAATAAGAACCGGAGTGTAGTCAGAAGCTGGCACAGGACAGTGGGGTAGCACTAGGCACGTATCAATGCCAAGTCATGATATTTGAAGACCAAAATTTATACTTAGGTTTCAAAGTAGGTTTCAGAGCAGGGAGCTTTGCATTACACTGTGTTACAGGGTGCATGACGACCTCCGGGACTCCATGGAACATACAGTAGCTGAGAAGCATGAATTGGCGATGCACGCAGCAGGGTGAGCATTACCAGTTCAGAGACGTGTCGATACATCATGGAAGCCGACAATGCGGCAAGCACTTACACTCACCACGGAGGCAGCTGCAGCGTCCGAGTAGGTACAAACCCAACTCGAGGCCCAGCTCGCAGAAACGCAGAGCCATTCCGCGAGAGAGATCGAAACCACGCGCACATCTGAACAAACACAACGGATCGTGTCGTTTGATTCAACTCAGATGCAATCATGCAAAACAAGCGCATGTGATGGGCGACAACCATGGCAAGTAAATATGTCAGCGAAAGCAGCCACACAACAGGCCCTATTCCATGCACTCTAGCATTAATATGGGCTCCTGCGGATGGTGGTTGTGAATTGGGGTCCGGAACATAGTCTTCATCCCGTATCAGGTCATCATCATCCTGGGCAGGAGCACCCGCCATGGCGATGCGCTGCACATCAATAAATGAGACCTCCAGGATGCAGTGATGAAAATCAACTGAGCGCACCAGTTGGCCCGGCGCGAGAGGAACGTCAACAATAGGCGGCAATGCATGACCTGCACGAAAAGGCCACAACGTGAGTAGGCGGTGTACGCCAGCATCAGAGGCGATGGCAGAGGATGATAAGGTGGTGGGCCGTCCTGGTGTGGGTCGAGACTGACAATATGTGAGTGGATAAATGGTAATTAGGGGAATAAATACTCACATTCTCGCGATGATCCCTATGTGAATGGCCCCGAGTCGAGGCCTCCGCCAAGGGAAAGCGATTGTGAGGTAAGGCCAATGTCGCAGGGAACTGCAAGGAGACACGTCAAGTCAGCTGCGGAGGACACAGGTAGAATAGACATACATCCAGAAGATCACGAGGCTGATCATTCCGAACAGGAGGTACTGCGTTCGTGCGGAAAGGAAGGAGTCTGCGTAAGTAGCGAAGGAAAGTGGATTGCTGTGGGTCTACTGTAGGCAGCTGTCTTTGCGGGCGGCGGACATAGGATATGACAGGCGATGTCGCTGGGTTACGGCCCACGTTGCGTCGCGTCATGTCGAACTGCAATAATGGGATCAATAGAGTGGTGTAGATGAGTAGGGATCACGTACGTTGAGTTGATTAGCGAGGGGTGGATTTTCAGGTTCGCTGGTCTGCACGACAAGGTTAGTGCACGAGTGGATAAAACTATGCGTGTGAATGCATACATTAGCTTCCTGTGCATATATGCGGGCAAGAATGTCGGTTGGCGTGTCGCATACATAGATATTGTTGTCACTGTTACGCTCGAAGGTCGTGTAAGCCAGTTGACGCGAGTCGGGTGAGAGGATAATGCGGTAGGCATTCTGAACGTCAAATGAGGCGAGGAGCTGGCGGGACTCGAAGGCCCAGAGCTTGATGGTGCCGTCGCGTGAAGCGCTAGCGAGGAGAGCATAATCAAATGACAGCGCTAGACCATTGACGATATCGGTGTGCCCTTTGAAGGGAGCTCCGACAGTCTCCAACGTCAATGCGTCGAATTCGTGTATCGTCTTCGGGTAGTGCGAATGTGTAAAGCAAAAGATAGCTACGATAGTTTTATTTTGGTCTGTCCAGAAAATTGGCGCGTATGACGCATTCGATGAAGCATATCCCCCTTTTCTAGCATCCAATTTTTGCGTCTGGACATCCCACACCTCAAGGCACAGGCCCACATCTGACATGACTGCAAGCTTCTTCGAGTCTGAGGAGAATCGAACTGCGCCCACCATGTCATCACTTTTGAATGGACCAGCCACGAGTTTTCCAGTGGCCAAACTCCATATCCGCGCGGTGTAATCTTCTGACCCGCTCGCCAGTAGTGTGCTGTCCACGGAGATATCGATGCAGTCGATCCGCTTTGAGTGTCCTTCAAATGTTCTCACGATTCCACCTTTGACTCGGAGCTCCCCGGTATCGCCACCAGTGACAACCCATCGACCATCCCTTGATACCGCCACCGCAAATATCTTCTTCTCATAAACATCCCGGGCGGTCTCGATCTCTTTACCAGTCCGAAGGTTCCATCGCCGAGTACTCTTATCCTGAGATCCGCTGATCATTTCCTTGCCATCCGGAAAGTAGGAGATGGATGTAACACCGAAGCTGGTGTATTCCTCACCACTCGAGATATACTTGCGAGTAAATAGTTCATGACCCTCCAAGGTCATGACCGGTGCTAGAATTGATTTCTTCGTTGCTGCAACGGGTTGTGTTGAGCTGGAAGCCATCGCTGTCTTCACCCGGAAGGTTAGCAAGTATGGCAATTATGTGGATGAGTACGAACTTCGAAGGGCCGCCGGTGAGATCTCCTCGTGTGCTATTGACCTGACGTTGATAGTGATTTTGAAGCTGCTTGACTCTTTCGAGACCTGTGGCTCTTTACCTGCTAAAGCAGACCATCAGACTTCAGTTCTTCAGTGCTAGAATTTCAGATCGTTTTGATGCTACCAATGTGCTATCAATGGCGAAGGTCGAGGGTTAATGCTAAACGCTGGAAAAAATTCTACCCTTTTGTGTGGCAGCTGTACAGGAAATCCACAAGGCGTGCCCTTCGCTCCTTATTATTCATCAATTTTTTTTTGCTTTTCGGCTCCCACTTCCATTTTCATTTCCATTGCATTAATCCATTCTGGGATCCAGTGTAGTCGGTGATTGTGGCTTCTTCTCGTGCACGTTGCAGAACTCCTTCTGCATGCCCTGTGCAGGCTGTGCAGAAGTTTCGGACCTGAGGCACCAATGACTTGGGTTTGCGTCTGAGCGCTCCTTCGGGACACACGGGACGCTCGTCTTCGCGGAAGCTCGAGTTTGATCCAGAGGCTGTGCAATTTGCTCGACCTCGTGCCAGTCACCCTCCCTTTTGTCCCCAGAAATCGAACAGTCGAAGATGTCCCTGCTGGTCGTCACAGTTCGCGAATCGCCGATGAGTCCCTCACTGAAGTCTACGTAACGAGACCTCACATACCACTCCTCAGTTGTCTTTTTGCTTGCTCTGCTGAAGCTTACTGTGAACAGATGACGACCTTGGACTGCAGTCTGCGTCTGATGACGACTCACAGCAGAAGATTATATGAACCTGAGCAACCGATAATACTCAAGACCATAACTGCGTCTATAAAAGTATTGAAGGAGGGCACTCTTATTGCACAGCCAAATCACGTCTCGGACGCACTTATTACAACTGCAAACTTCAAGCAGCGCACTACAACCCGCACGAACGGGTGCTGGTGGAGGCATTGGGAACAATGGGCCGTCTTTCTCAAGTGGTGGAAACACGTTTAGATCGGCGCATGCGCCACGTGTACCGACGCTGCATAGTCACGGCACCCAGAGTTTGCGATTGAACTGATTGTAAGGCTTGGTATGCTGGATGGGGCGAGTGGGAATGTGAATGCTGCTGCGAGTTTGTTATTCTGAGTTTTAGAATTGGGAAGGGAGTCCTGTGATGCAAACTGCGGTCATTTCCCCGGTCAAGACAATGCAATACATATTGTTGAAAATATTAATGTCCGTGATGCGTTTAGCTGCAAAACAAGGGTGGGGGAACGAGAACATTATGAGAGAATGTGCAAAGGTGGATGAGACATGCGAGAATATGCAAGATGTGGGGTGTGCAAGAATATGGGAGACGAGAACAAGCGGGCATGAACGGATGAAAATGGACGGGACGACTCAAATGCGGTCTATGAGTGGTAATTGTGAGAGGGCTGATGACGGATGGTGGTTGTAGAGCTATTCCGACGAAGAAATGGCCACCAATCGACAGTAAATCACTACAGTAACATAAACATTGTTGAGTGTGCACTGTGCAGCAGAGCCTGCTACTCTAACTTTGTGCCTGAGATGTGACAAAACGTGACCAAATTTTGAACGGTACAGGTCTGTGGATTTTTTTGCTTTGAGGACCTTCGGACTCCAGAGTCGCGATTTTCCATTGTTTTATGCTACACAGTATACATCCATCGTGCGAGCATACTATCAGGCAGAGCCCCACTGGGCCACTAGGCGACAAGCCGTTGAAGTGAACACAAATTACAATGCAACAAGTTACAAAACAGGAGCACAGGACTTGGCGTCATCACCAGCATGGAAAGAGGAAGCGATGAAATACCCTCAGACGATTCGAATGTTGGAAAATGAAGCGTCGATGTCATCTGCACCATCTCCTGATGACTCCGCCGGCATCCACCACAATGCATTTAGCACCAGTTATCACATGAAAAAGGACGGCACGCTGTAATGCTACTGCTATATCGCGATCTGCGAATAACGCCTTGGAATTCGGTGACATGGTTCAGGAGTGTGTTGCTCGGTACAACAGAATGTTGAGGCTGCCTGAGTCAGTGAGCTTAAGTACGTACACGATTACAGGCTTGCACATGTACATGAAGCCGAGAATATATCATGCGGGGGCGCGTCCTCTGAAGGTCCGAGAGAATACTGTCGACTCGGGATAAGTAACAGTGATGAGAACTGACGTACGTTACTCTGGACGTAAGGTGTCTCGTGACACGCCGAAAGAAGATAACATCGGCGCTTACTGTGTGCATGCATGTTATCATTCTACTCATTCAACGAATCCTCCGCTCATGGGTCCAGACTGAGCGCTTGAAGCTTGAACTTCCTTGAAGCAGAGAGCAATAAGGCAAGTTATAAAGTATTTACATACAGCGAATCTCACCACTAATGCGATCAAGTCGTAGTAAGCCTCGGCAGGGTGACTCAGGCCCAGTGACATAAACGGTCGACTTGATAGTACTATCCCAACCAGATATCACAACGACTGGCCAGATGACTGCAGCCGCATCTGATATTAATTTCTGCTTCCCTGTACGCGAGCTGGAGAGCGAACGAGTCAAACTCACACCTTTTATCGTGGGTCACATTGACTCCCTCGTCATCACATGCTCAAATGAATTGGCAGCCTGATCTGCACGCAGATCTCTACTTCCAAGGCTCAGCCGCCTATCCCGAACTCTATGACTTCATACCCTGGGAAGCTTTCACTGACACTTCAGACTTCGTGAAAAAAGTGATCGAAGGCTGCGTACGTCCTGACACCGGGATAGCCCTCTATGCTGTCATCGATAAGACGCCCACCGGCACAAACCCCTCAAAGCCTACATCAGCCAACTTCGCCGGAATCATGGGATACACGAACACATCTCCTGCGAACCTATCAACCGAGATCAGCTACGCGCTCATTCTACCGCCGTTTCAGCGGACGCACGTCACCACGAACGCCATCGGGCTGCTCCTCCAATACGCTCTCGATTCGCCTCCACATGGCCTGGGACTCCGCCGTGTCCAGTGGAAGGCAAACAGGCTGAATACGAAGAGTATTAATGCTGTCCAGAGATTGGGGTTTAAACTGGAGGCTATCTTGCGCTATGATAGAATTTTTGTTGGATCAAAGACAAATGCGGCGAATGGGGAGAGGGAGAGGGCGGGGGATCCGCGTCCTGGTACGGTCGGAACGGATACGGCATTGTTGGCATTGTGCTGGGATGATTGGGAAAGCGAGCGTGCACGGGTCCTGCAGGCCATGGACCGAAGGTCGTGACGATATTTATTAGGCTTTTTAGATCAGCGGTTCAAAAGGATTCATTCTGACGTCAAAGTTTCAGGAGCTGCATGCTGAGGCCTGATTTTCCAGGTCCGTCGTTGGGCGTTTGCTCCAGCGTTCCAATAATTCTTTCTAGATCTGATTCTGAAGAGTGGAGTTACCGGTACCCCTGACGATCTTGCAACCTGTTGCCGGGAACGGGTTACGCCTCGTGATCCCTCCCGGCCTTCGTTAAAGGCGACCATTGAGTCAACCCAAACGTTCAATGCGAATAGCCCAGTCAGGGCGGGATTACCCAAGCTACTGTGCCCAAATCTTGTCACATTCACCACTCCAACAGAATGACAAGACTATCAAGGTTGGTTGGAGGCAACCAATAACACAGATTCACATTCAGATCCTTTGCAGGTCTATGCAGAGCAGTCGCAACAATTGCTATGCATGTGTATCTACGTCGCACAGTCTTGTTGTTATATCATATCATGCTTGTCACCTCATTCCCGTCTGCATAGACTATCCGTGTCATGATTTGGACGCTAACAAGGTTGCGATAGCACACCACTCTGTACGAAGTCCATCTTGATCTCATCGCATTATTTGAGTTTTGATGCTCATAATCTCTACGATTACCGATAGGGGTTACGAGATCAGCAAGTAGTCACCTCTCAACTAGATGTCAATGGATATGGGACGTCTTTCAAGAGGACACACCACCAAATTTAGCTCGTATTGAGGAGCTACCTGAAGGAAAAGCACGTTTGGGGCGTTTCTCGATTGATTTGACTTTTTAGATCGGTTCAAGTGAGGCGCATTCATCTCGAAGTCAAAGTTCCTAGAGCCGCATGCTGCGCCCTGAATTCCAGGTCAGTCATTATCGCTCCGGCGTTGCAATAACTAGAATTGATTCTGAGAGAACAGGTTGTCCTTGACGATGGTGGAGCACAGTTGCACACTCCCGTGGCGGCTGACGATGAACGGATCACGCCGTGTTCCTCCCATGCTTAGTTCCACGCGACGATTGTACAATTGTGCCCAAGTCTTGTCATCATATTCACCACTAACAAAACGTCGGCAGTACAGGCAAGTCGTCGACCCTCTGAGTGTTGGAAATGCCTCGCATGTCTACACATTGGAGCTAACCCACATCAAGTATTCGACACCCTAACATAAATATATCCGGTTATACGTGCTAGCAAACATCCGATGCATCGATACAAAATCCAATGAAATGCCTCTATTCAATATTCAGTAGTGGAGTCAATAGATTCCTCGTCTTCTGAATCTGGAATTATTTCCGGATCTCGAACTATTTCCGGATCTGCGCCGTCCTGAGCCACAGCAGCACCTGCAGCACAGGATGTCGAGGATGACGTCTATGATTGTAACGATGACCTGTTTTCCACAAGAACCAACTTGTCAGGATAAAGGCTAAGTAAATATAAGAATGCACGAACAGTGGTGATTGCGCCAACGATGGTCATGATCACACGGGCTATTGCTGAGATGACAGAATTGATGCCACGGCCGATTGCAGAGATGATAGAGCCCTGTGCAGGAAGATGTCAATAAGTCAATAGGTGAAATTGTGGGTTTGAGTGGTACGAACCATGATGGATTCAGCTCGAGACTAGAGGAAAGTGGTGTTGTCTTCTATGCTCATCAGTTGCTTTTAAAGCTTTTGAGACTCCACTTAGTTCGGAATCATTAAGTTTGACTCCGGGAGTGGTGCAGTTTAATGCTGTCACCTGGGCGCCTCGATGATATCAGTATTCAGGAAATGACCATCATCATTGGAGCTACGTATACTGCGCAACATTGTTACCTGGTCTCGACTCTCGAGTGATTCTTGTGGCCGTACCTTGCACTGAATCGAAACTCTAAATCAAGACTCCAGCCATCGTCGTTGAACTTCCTTGAAGTAACAGAAACTAAGAAGGCAAGTTGTCAAGTACCTACACATAGTGAATCTTACCACTAATGCAATCAAGTCCTAGTAACCCTTTGCCAGGCGATAACCGTCTCTCGACTTGATAGTACATGACCCAACTAGAAATTACGACTGCTGGCCAGTCAACTGCAGCCGCATCTGGTGTTGGAGCGGCCCAAACCTGACAGTGTGCCTGCCTATCGCCAGAAAGCCATGGAAGTGGTGAAGACCCTACGCTACGACAAACCCGTCGAAGGGTACTGAAAAGCTGACTAATCCACAGTGCTATGTGGCTGGCTGCTATCCACCCGTCCAGTGGGGGGTCCCCTACTCCAATGCTTCCCTGTACGTGAGCCGGAGAGCGAACGAGTCTTTCATCGTAAGTCACATCGAAGAACGAGTTCTCATCAGTTGTTCAAATGAATCGACAGTCTGACCTGCACGCGGATCTCTACTTCCAAGGCTCAGCAGCTCAGCCGCCTATCCCGAGCTCTACGAATCATCTGGGAAACTTTCACCGACACTTCAGACTTCGTGAACAAAGTGCTCGACGGTTCCATACGTCCTGACACCGGGACAGTCGTCTATGTCGTCATCGACAAGACACCCGCTGGCACTAACCCCTCAAAGCCTACGTCAGGCAACTTCGCCGGCATCATAGTATACACGAACACATCTCCCGCCCACTTGTCGATCAAGATTGGCTACGCGATCTTCTGCCTCCGTTTCAGCGGACGCACATCACCACGAACGCTATCGGTCTACTCCTTCAGTACGCCCTCGATTCACCCCCGCATGGCCTAAGACTCCGCCGTGTGCAATGGAGGGCGAACATGCTGAACACTAAGAGTATAGGTGCTGTACACAAATTTGGGCTTAAATTGGAGGCTATCCTGCGCAGTGATAGAGCTTTTGTTGGCTCAAAGGCAAGTGCGGCAAATGGGGTGAGGGTGGGGGTTCCGCGGCATGACACGGTCGGAACGAATACGGCATTGTTGACATTGTGCTGGGATGATCAGGAGAGCGTGCGTGCGCAGATCCTGCAGGCCATGGACTGAAGATCATAACGAAATTCGTTATTTATTGGGTAGAAGAAGCCGTTGTCCCTGATATCAGACTGTGCCCACCTGGAACCTAGATAATCATACGTACTATGTTGAACTCGGATATCAGCCCACTTTCCTCGGGAGCGATGCTGGAAGATACTTCGTCACCGAGCGTTGGGGAAAGCGAGGCGGGAGAGGTGGCGCGCTTCAACTGAAGAATATATCCCACCGTCGTACCAAAGTATTACACCGCACTTAAATTGAGAGTCAAGTTATCTCTCGTGTAAATGTCAATGTCATACATTCCTCCGGAATCCAAGTGTCAGACACGTTCTGCATATGAAGGTATCACCAGATCAACGCCCACAGTCCAAGCTCTCGGCAGGATCAAGAACAACCCAGGGTATCGGAGTTCAGCGATCCGGTATCCGGGGTAATAATAAGTCGTGCAGGTGCTTCGTCGTATGGATTGCACCTGACCATATCTAATTTGTCTTCTCATTCCACCTGGACATGGGACAATCGTTCAGAGTCCGATCATACCTGCATGCGTTACGAAGGGGAAACTCACATATCCAAAAATAACTTCCACAACACTGAAAACATAATTCCTTGGAGGCCGTTCGCCAAGATCCGGGTCTTTAGGCCTCGTCCGAACAGGCCCCTTAGGCCGTCTTCTGCGATGACGGCGCGAGCAGCATCGGTATACCCAATCCGGGTAGCGTTGACTTGTCTGTAAGTCTTCAGCACACGAAGAGAATTGGAGATGGTGTCAGAGGCGATGGATGCTGCAAAGCCGATTATGCCAGAACGAAGTAGTTTCTGCGGTAGAGTCACTGGAAGTGGGAGGACTGCGTCGAGATAGTTGTATGTCCCGAACCACTGGGCAAGAATGAGTAATGAACGTGTGGACCAAGGAAGTACTTACTGGGTAGTGACCGACGAACGTGGCAGCGGCGGTCGCAATAGCGCCGTACCACAGGCTGCCAATGCCATACTTCTTGACCTAAGGGAAGATGAGAACGAGCGATCACCACGAAAGACGTGAAAATATACCCTAGCTCTCAGCAGGGCGATGCCTTCTTTACCCTGCGTCTGCATGGTAGTCTTAATGGTGTCAACTGGGGTCAACGTCATCCTGAAACAAGCCGCAGCGACACTCGCGAAGACTGTCTTTACAGGCGTGGGCAAGGTTTTCATGTATGAATTACTTTGCAGGAGGGCAAGGATGCCAACATTAGCAGCGGTGTCGCCAAAGCGGGACACTGGCCCTTGAACCAGGGCTGCGGTGAGGCCTTGGTAATACCGCGTCCATCCACCGTCAGCGTATAAAATTTTGGTAGCCTGCGTCGTCGTTGCGCCGTATCGGTATTGGTAATTCATGATCGTGCGCAGAGGCTGCATGATTTTTAGCGAAAACTGGAGACATTCTGATATGAGGAACATCATACCATGAGCGCCAAGACCTGGAGCACCATGGCTGACAGGATATCAAAATTGTGACAGAAACGAATTCAGACAATTAGATAGACTTACCTGCAGCACCGCTTAATCCTCCTCCTAGCGCACTCTTAAACGCTTTGCCGAAGTCAAACTAGTGATAAGAACGTGAACATCACGAGGAAGAAACTCCAATCCACGACATAGCACACCTCAACATCATCAGCGTCAATAAAACCCTTGATGAATATGGCCAATATAAACAATCCTAGCAGTGTCAGAACGCTATAGACAGTTATTTGCGTTCTGGTCCACGGCTCTTTCGGGGAATCGCTGGTCTCGTCTATCAAGGTAAGCGTCTCTTCATCCTGAGTGCGACCGCGACGTAAGCTTTCTTGGGGACTATCTTGATAACTTGGCGGTTTCGAGTTGGACAGCAAAGGCTGCTCCTCAGGGACGTTAATCCCAGCAGACATGGGTGTTTGGGATATCGGGCAGAAGTCGCACTGCAGCTGGTCATATTCATGATAACGGGGTTGCTGACGAATGCAATTTCCCCGCGGGTCTTATTATAGCCTGGGCCCAGTCCCGGGCCCCAACTCCCACTTTAGTGGGAGAGGGTTCTGTCAGACACAAACGTTCGGGCACCTGCACGCTGAACCGTGGGAAATTGTTTGACAGGAACTGTTTATGGGCAAGCTCCTGTCGCTGAAATATTGCTAAATACAAAGTAAATTTGCGCTTCGTCAGATGAAAAGCGAGAGAGTCTTTATGATATGATTTACTATCAATTACAGTACCTTGAACATTGAAATTGTCACGGGGAGTGCACCGGTGATGACATTCTTATGACTGTAAATACGCTCACTGGCAGTACATACATCCGAATCGTACACACCAGCAGTAAGATGTCATATCGCAGCATCTTTAGTCTGATATGTAGGACAGTTTGATTCAAACAGGAGTCGGGGACTAGTGCGGCTAAGTGCCGTTGCAATATCTCACGGAGCCGAAGAATGCACCTGGGTCCTGCTCGACGGTCGACTGAGATTTTCCTTGTTAGGGCCGAAATTTTCACTAAGTTCTTTGTTGGTGCTTGTGATATGCTATGAGTAGCTGCATGGTCCAAGTATCTGCACAATTGTGAATAAAATCTGATTCTGGGCGATAGTCCGACTAAATATAGGATCGTAAGATTCGTGACGGCGCTCGGCCACGCCAGTTCCTGACTCCTGTTCACCCTTGCAAGACTATAAATGAATGCAGCAAAGCACTGTGTTCTAGCATCTACTTGGTGTCAGGGTTATGCGATTATGCTACAGGGTTTATAAACGTGCATGGAATTACGGGGGAGATGGGACTTCACCAATGTCGCGCGTAATCTACGAGAAATGTCGCGTTAGCTTGGAATTTCACAAGATGAGGGATGGTGCACAGTCTCTACAGTGTTGGGGCAGTGCGCACAATGGAGATAGTATGTTGCTTGAATTCTTGAGGTGATGAAGGTGCTTATTGAGGGGCATGATGGGAGCGAAGATTCATAAGGAGACTGGTGGGGCGTCGGTGATACGAGGCACTAGTTGGCTTAACGAAGGAACGGCTGATAATGTTGGGGTAGGTGTGGTGGTATTTTAATAGGAGACCAGTAGTTAGGCCAGAGCTTCCGTATAGATGAATGTGATGGAAGTTCCATAGAGGGAGGGATAGCAGTAGAAGTCAAAATTAAGGGAGAATATGATATAGGAATGGTCTTGCTTGTTTTGTAGTACTTTGTTGTGGATAGTTCCTATCTAGAACACAGTCGAGCACGAGACGATTAACATCAGAAGGCTGATGCAATGCGTCGATTGAATGCGTCGACCGAAGATACTAGCCCTTGCGGCATAGCCAAATCCAAAATTTACCCCAGCATCCATGCACTGTGACGCTCTCAGTATCCTGCGTTGTACAGGGGGGTCCAGGTCCATTTCGCTGTATACCATGAGTTAATTTTCTACTGCAGAAGCTTAAGTAGATCTCACATCAGGGGCACTACAACCAAGAAGAATCTGGTTTTCGTCAGTGGTCGGGATTGAACGCGAGGTAGAAGTTTCCTTACCTCTTCCACTGAATGGATAACTAGCTTGTCAGAGCCATCCTTGGAGTCCGAGGGCATACTCGAGGCTGCAAAAGACTTGCCATCAAGTGAAAATGCAAAAGGATGTGTACATTTGACATTTGACTTAGCGACTTCATGACCCTCCATATCATAGAAATGAGTGGGGTAGTCGCCGCCGTCGCCGTCGACCTTGATTTCCAGCGCCACAAGTCCGTTACCACTGGCAGCTATGCCAGCAAATTGGATCGCATCTTCATTGAGGCCTTCAAAGTGTCGTACTACACCGTCACGTTTCCCAGTGTATGCGTCCCACATACAGAAAGACCCGTCGCCAAATGCAAGCACTACTTGACTGATCATTGTGCGGGAAAATAGCAGTTTGAAGTGATGGTGTATCTGGAAGTTCAATCTCTGCTATTTTCATACACGTAGGGATCTCCCAAGCAACACCCTTCCTTCCATCGGTAGTGACAAGAAGAGTACCATCCATGGATAAAGCCCCTATGAAAATGGTACCATTAGAATTCGACACTGTTTCTGTCTGAGTGATCTTCCCGTTCCCGGTGTTCCATATGAGTAGCTCTCCATCCCTTGACAAGCTTATTGCTTGAGATGAGACAGAGAGAAATTCCGCAGTGATGATCAGGTCTTTATGCCCTGCAAGGGGTAGTCCGAGAGGGTGCAACGACGTAGCATTCCAACAGTGAATTTTGTGATCTATTGATGTGCCCATGATATTTTCGCTGTCAGGAGACCATGCTATTGCAGTAATGGTGCGCGCATGTGCATCGTCTAGTTGACATTTGCTCTTCAATGCGATGTCTGTGATGGTCACCCCCGAATGAGCAGTGCTGCTGGCAATTTTCTGGCCGTCGGGCGAAAATGCCAGACATGTCAGAGTGTCCACAGAGTTCATTCGGTTGGAGTATTACTAAATCCCCTTGAATGATGGTGTATGATAAGTTTAACAACAATTAAAAGAGGCGCAGATACTACACACTTGAGAGGTGTCGATTAAACTTCTCTGTGATTCGCTAATTTGTTGTTCAAAGGGAAGATAGAGAAATGCCAGGTGACTTTGTAAAGACTAACTTGCGGGGCTGGAGAGAGGATTCTAGGTGGCTGGGACAGACCTATATACTGTTTGTGTTACAGGGACCCTCAGACCCCTATTGTCTCCGCCAAACCTCGCCGTCACAACCGCGTCACAACATGTGACAGATGACATCACTGGCACATGACTAAACTGCAAAGCACAGCATGACAACTGTTGGAGCAGGACAGCTCTGGAACCGACCTAGACCGGGATCAATAGAAGCTGCACGCTTCTCCCTTATCGCCCCTACCGATACACTGGTACCTGACTATCGTTTATCCTATTGCTTATCATGACAGATAGCGTTATCTGACTTAGACACCTACCACTGTGCCGGTACCATACCCTGGACCCTTACCGTTGAACCGGTACTCTTATCTCTGAGTCCTTATGACTCACATAGATGCTTACTTAGTTAGGACGCTTTCTGGCTACCCAAGCCTACCCTGAACTCATAGGACGATACCTATATATACCACAGTAGTTAGACCATGTATTCTCTAACTTGATCTTCACTTGTGATATACGACTCTAGCTTCTTCTTTGAACCTTTAGTCAGTCATTCTGGATGGACAGCCTCCATTCAGTCTTCCATTGTCCTGGTGCTCCATGAAGCAGACATGGGATCGACCCTATCAAGTGCACTGTTGGAAAGCCGGGCTTTCCCGTAACAGTTTGTTGAACAGGACCAGGGCCTGGATAGCATAGGTCACGGTTATATTTGGCCCACAATTAAGGCCTGTCATCCGGTCAAGAAAACCAGTTCCTGTCAAATGCCAGATCACTCAGAAAGTGATCTCTTATCCGGACATATCTGCCAATAAAGAGGTACTTACCATCCATGCCTGAGAAGTTTTGACAATGACCGGTACCAGTAGCAGGTCATTCATATTGAATTCAGTGATGAACGAGACAATTGCTTGAATAAGCCCGATTGGCTTGATTTTTTCCAGACAAAGAGGAGAATTTTGAAAAATTTATCTGAATATGAACCAAATCCTAGCATACCTATAATCAGGGGTCCTCCACAGAGTCCTACAGCATGTAGTAAGTATGTTTTGGGGGGCCGTGAGTTGCTTTAACACTTGCACCGCAAACTTGGCATTTGGCTTCCCTGTCACTGCCAGTGAGTTTGGTTTTGATTTTGATTTTTTCCTGACCGCTCCACTGCCAAAGACAATCCAAAGAAGAGTCGCCCATCCTAGTTACTAGCAAGACCCTGCACTACATCATTGTCACAACACCTCACAGATATACTGAGTGCCATGAATTCCGCCTCGAAGGAGCTGAATCAAATGAGGCGGCAGAAGTCATCCAGATTGGCACACCATTTTCTAGCAACGCCGCAGTCACACTGGCAGTGCTTCCAAAAAAAATTCTTCCTATGGCCCACTGACCTCACAGCTCACCGCAACGCCTGGTGAACACTTGTCTGTCTCCACAATACACTGATAGTAATAGGTAAGTGGTATGAATCGCGCTTGCACCTTGCGAGAGAGGGCCTGGAACAGCACTGAAGAACTTAGAAGCGGCTCCGGCCCATGGTAACGATCCATCCAACAATGGCACCCAATGTTGGTCTTGGTATGGACAACTGTAGCTAGCTGTGGGGACACCTGACCGAATGTTGAACGCTGATCCCGTCTGAATTTTGAACTGGTACTTTCTTGTAGATTCGGATAGGCAACCAGTAAAAGACGACTCCCGCAACATCAGTAAATCACGAGTTGTCTTTTAAACCACTTATATCCCACTTTTTGTGCTACATATTGAAGGAAGCAGCACGAAGTCAAAAAAGTAGAACCTACTTTTTTCCGTAGATCTCATTACTCATATCCCGCTCATTCTCAGCTTTTTCGCACTTATTTTTTTGGGATGCATTGAAAAAAGAACAATAGTGGGCATTAAAAGTTGACTAAATCAAAAAAAGGTAGTCCAGGAGTGCGAAACAGTGGTCCAGAAGAATGAATAAAGTCCTCCAAAAGTGTCTATATTAGTAGATATAAACAACGGCCTGAATTGGGGCGGGGGTGTATGGCGTGTAGTGTATCAGTGTCTGGTAAGCGCAGAGAGCATAGGATAGTGCACGAAGACGAACATAGCCAATATTCTGCCAGTGTCAGATGTGTCAATAGTAGAGTACACAACGAGAAAAAAATACATACAAAGCAGGGCGCGCCCACCCTTGAGTTTCAGCTCCTCAGCGGGAGCGTTCTTGAGCTTTTGGGCTGCTTCACGGCGCTGGTGCACCAAGGCAATGACGTCCATTGTATACTTCGGCCCCCACCTCTTGATGGACTCATAGTATTCCATCGTCACCAATCCACAGTTGGCCTCCAAAAATGCTGGAAGGCCAGTGCTATCTTTGCCGCTGGATTTATTGCGCTTGATGGGGGCTTTGCGACAAAGTTGAAAGCACGTTCGAGCTATGAAAATGAATGGTTAATTTAAGTTAGAATATTTAGATGGGACCTACCGAGGCGGCACATGCAGCGATTACAGCCTGCATGCCCTTCAATTGCAGATCGTCCGTGTTGAGTGCAGGTACATCAAGGAAACCAGAAATCGGATTAATGTGACAACCGTCGATCATTTCCAACATAAATGTGGACTGGTAGATCTGGTTTGGGTCAGAGCCTCCAGATCTTTGTAAAGGAAGGCCCACTCCTCAAGGAGGCTTGCTGCCAGTGTTTTCTCAAAGTCGGCGTCGTCGTCGTCTTCATCCTCATTGTCTTTGGAAGTAGCCAGAAAATTTGCAACGAGGGCCACGGACGTGGATCCAAAATTACTGCGCCAGGAGCTAATGCGCTGATTGACCTTTTGTTGGAGATGACTTGCGGTTAGAGATATTTTCAAGGTGGACATAGAAGCAAGACTTACCAGACCGATAATGGGGCCTTTTGGTTGGACGTTATGATGAGTTCCTGGATAAGCGACATCAAAAATGGCCTGGAGCGCTGGAAGTAAGTTCTCGGTCTCCATGGACCAGAAGTTGGGCTGAGCACCTGCCCACAGCAAAACAGTGGGCATAAAAGACCTTCGCCATATGCCATCCACCAACATAATTGGGGGGAGATCAGTTTTTCGCCATTGGGTTCCCCCTTTTGGCCTCGTCATGGTATCAGCAGACATCAAATCTGGCTCAGATAACGCTGGAATGCTTGTAATCTGGGAGGTGGGTTCTAACTTGGCTTTCTTGGGTGGGTTTGGGTTCCCGTGGACTGTTACACTAGTCTAGTATCAAGCGCCTCAGTATCAATACAATTAGATATTAAACTTGACGAAAAAAGCCTACCTTTGAAGTGATGCGCGGCACTGGCTTAGGAGACGGCTCAACCTCGGGAGACATGACATCAAAAGATGCATTTGGATTATACTTGTCAGTGGCGTCCAAGTCTTCAGATGAGCCGATAAGATCGACTGAATCAATTGGCCTCTTCATGGAACTGACGGTATGAGTTGACCGAGCCTGTTCTAGAGTGAATTGTACAATGTTAGCTTGTTGAGTGAATGGCAACAAATTGAACAGTGTCGACACTGGTACTTCGGGAGTTTCATCCTCCGAAGATTCAGTGATCTCTCCAGTGATTGCTACAACACTCTAAAAGAAATAAATGTGCATCAAATCGTGTCAGACCTCAATTTATCAATGTTATTGAACACTTACCTGCATCCCCCCCTTTCCCTTGAGAGACGACAAGCGCTCTTTGAAATAGTCGTCTTCGTCGTCATCATCCTTGTCGGCAACTTCACTGGGGTCTTCATCTCCACCTTCATCCTTATCGTCATCCGATGTGAGAGCTTGTGAAGTCTCGGAGGAGTCCATCAAGGAAAGAGGAGGATCTTTCGCAAGTGAGACTGTGGTTGCAACAGTTTGGCTTGTCCTTGTCGATGAAATACCGAAAGAGTCGCCAGAAACAGTTTCAACTTGAATGCTGGGAGCAGAGGAGGGGATTGCGGCTGGTTTTGATTCAGGTTCGAGGTGAGTGTGCCAATTATTGATCTTGCCCGTCAGATTATATTTTCTGTTGCTGAGTGCCCAAGTAAGGGTCATGAAATGAAGCGTGGACTCTGTGAGCATCAATATCATGGTGGTGAGAAGACAAAATACTGACAGGTTAAGATTTCCTTTCTTGTCGCTATCAGGTGCCTTCTCTTGAGATTGATTGCGATCAAGAATTCACCTCGTTGCAGCACTGATCGCATCACGCGATATGGTAGGGTTGACCTTCTTCTTTTTCTTTATCTTCACTGCTTCATTCACAACCTCCTCATTTCCAATCACCTTATCGCTACCTGCACCCACACCCACACCACCAACTTCATTATCCTTGGTGTGATGACCTGCATCTCAAACTTTGACTGCTGGAGGTACCAGAGAATTCTCTGAGGTGAGCTCACTAGTTGCACCTTGCGCGCTTGCCTTTGTCTTCACTGGTTTAGCCCGCAACTTTACTGGTTTTGGCCTCTCGGTCGCCTGAGTTGCCTGCTCCACCTCCATGGCAGCCTCAATGCGCGCGATCCGATCAATTCCACGCTGCAGAGCAGCTTCCTTGATGGCCTGCGCTTCCAGGGTGTCCTGTTTGTCCTGTGCGATTTGAGCTTTGGTACATCGCTTCTTCTGACCTTCGAGAAGCACAAGTCCAGGGCGCTGAGTCGGATTTTTAGTGCGTGTACGACGGGGAGAGACGGGAGGTGCCATGGTGGATACAAAAGGCAGGAAGTAGCAGAAGAGCTGGCAAAGGAAGGTGAGAGTCGCAAGCTGCAAAATTTTGTAGTGCTAACGCAGACAAACAACCCTGGATCCCTACTCAATACCCATTCACACCAATTTCCAAGTCCGCCTAGTACACTCAAGCACAACGACGGCAGACTGCCAGTGGTGGTACCAGCAATTCTTCTTTCCAGAGGCTTCCGCCTCAGATGGCCAGAGGATTATGTCCCAGACCAGCCCACAAGAAAGCCACCCGCACCGCGAGCCTCTTTGCATTCCTTGCACGAAGCCAGGGTGCGACCGTTGGTTTAAGAATCGGTCAGGGCACACACAGCATATGAATGCAAAACACCCTGTGCTTCCACGAGCACCCGCATCGGCCCCTGCCACCTGGGCCTCATTTGCGGAGTCCTGGGCTGCCTGACACCATGGATTCGGGTGACTGGCGGTGCCATGGACTTTGATGATGCTGGCAACATGAACGATCCCACACAACCAATGGTTGAATATTTTGGCGCTGGTGACTGACTATATAGAAACTATCACCCTTTTTTGTCCGGTACATTTTTTGTCCTGTTAAAACCTTCTCAAGTACTATCTGATTCATGACTACAAGCTCGCCCCTGTGATCCGGAAGGCAACTTCCTTCCACCAGGAACTCCGCCTCCACCACTCACTGACAAGACAACAGATGACTGGACTCCCTACAACAGCCGGGTAGAGTTCGACTCGGAGCTCGCCGACTACTTATTCACGCGGAATCAAACTCCTGCACATTCAATCGACCATTTGCTCAATATATGGGCAGCTTCATTGATGCAAGCTGGCAGCAAAGCAACTCTCTTTTCAGATCACCGTGATGTCTACAAGACAATCGATAATACTCCTCTCGGTGATGTGAGATGGCAGTTGTTTACCGTCAAATACACCGGCGAAATTCCAGAGGAAGGTGCCGCACCGTGGATGGCAGATAGTCACGAAGTCTGGTTCCATGACCCCCACGAAGTTGTTCGCAACATGCTTGCTAACCCAGACTTTGCTGCGGAGATGGACCTCAGACCGTACCGTGAGTTTGCAACGGAAAACGACGAGCGCCAGTGGAAGGACTTTATGTCCAGCGATTGGGCTTATAACCAAGCAGTACGTGTTCTTTTTTTTTTCCATTGTTTACGGGTTTGATGTGCATCTGCAGGACATGATATCCGAGGATGCTGACACTCATGGCTCAACATTCGTGCCTGTGATTCTCAGGAGCGACAAAACAACCGTATCAGTTGCAACAGGACAAAACGACTACTACCCCCTCTACGCGTCTATTGGGAATGTTCAAAACAATGTGCGCCGTGCCCACCAAAATGCCGTTGCTGTCATAGGGTTTCTCGTGATGCCAAAAAGTAAGTATTCATTAACTCTGTCTTATTGTCCTTACATCTCGAAAAGCAACCAAACAGCATGCCGAGACAGACGGTTTCCGGAGGTTTCACCGCCAGCTGTTTCACTTGTCGCTCTCGTTTATCCTCAAGAACCTGAGGCCGGCCATGACAAAGCCGGAGGTTGTGTGTTTCGGGGATGGACACTATCGCCGTGTCGTCTATGGACTCGGGCCTTATATCGCAGACTACGAGGAGCAAGTAGTACTTGCATGCATAGTTCGAAGGTGGTGTGCTAAGTGAGTGTATCCTCTGATTGTCCATTGTGTTTGTTCTGATACTAAATTAGGTGTCTTTCACATCGCAAGAACCTCGATGAGACTAGTCTCCCTCACTCAAGACTTCACGTTGACACGCTAATCGAGGAGTGCGACTTCGATACATTGTGGGTACAGTATGGTATAGTTAGCGTCCTCGTGGTACTTCAATCATTCATTTCTAGCTGTACTTACTAATTGACTCATTTGCAGCCATTTACGAACGATTTCCCCCACGCCGACATCCACGAACTACTCACACCCGATCTCCTCCATCAAATCATCAAGGGGGCATTCAAAGATCATTTAGTTGAATGGGTCGAAAAGTATCTCATACGGGTGCACGGAAAGACACAAGCTAACATTATTCTAGACAATATTGACCGACGGTATGTTTAATTTACCATAAATTTAATTTATTCTTAGCTCGTCATAGGATTGCAGCAGTTCCTCCGTTTCCTGGCCTCTGTCGATTTCCACAAGGGCGCCACTTCAAACAATGGACCAGGGATGACTCAACGGCCCTCATGAAGGTATTGTATATTTTTCTCCTTCGAACGTTACACTACTAACTATGTCAAGGTATACTTGCCAGCAATCGAGGGTTACGTCCCCGAAGATGTTGTGCGCACGTTTAGTGCCTTCCTCGAATTTTGTTACCTTGTCCGCCGCAACGTAATCACGGAGACCTCGCTCGAGGCAATCCAAGATGCCCTTACCCGTTTTCACCGGCATCGTGAAATTTTCAAGACTACCGGAACCATTCCAACATTTTCGCTTCCCCGACAACACTCGATGTCCCACTACGTCCATCTCATTCGATCCTTTGGTGCTCCGAACGGCTTGTGCTCTTCGATCACGGAATCGAAGCACATCAAAGCAGTCAAGGAGCCTTGGAGGCGATCTAGCTGGTATAACGCACTGGGTCAGATGCTGCTGATTAATCAGCATCTAGACAAGTTGGCAGCATCACGCGTGGATTTCCGCACTCGCGGAATGCTCTCAGGCACTTGCTTGTCATCTGTTCTCGCAGCACTCAGTACGTGTTTCATTTCTACTACCTCGTTTACTATCTAATTGTGTCTTCGTTACTAGAACCATCAGCAAACGTGCCTGCGCAGGCTGTGCAACCTCTGCCCACTAGTGCCGAAGGGCACAATCCAAGCCAACAAGAGCTGCCCGCTGTGCACCAAACTGCCAGCATACTCGATGTTGATGTTGCTGCTGACTCCGAGGACATCGAAGCACCGACTTCGATCCTTGCACATGTGCAACTGGCACGAACATCCCATAAGTCTTATTCATTCACATATTTTCAATATACTAATACAAAGTACTATCAAACAGAAGGGAAAAAACGCGCCCAGACCATTCCCGCACTAGTCAACGAGCTCGTCATTCCGGACTTAGCTGATCTCGTTCAGGATTTCCTGATCGAGCAGCTATATCCGGAACTGGACCCCGCACAAGTCCCCGAAAATATTATGGACTGCCCTCATTACGAAGGATGGATACAAGTATACAATTCCGCGGTGTCGACATTCTTCGCACTGAGTGACTTAAGTGGCATTGGCGGGATGAAACGCGAGTACATTCGCGTGTCCCCCAATTGGAGACAAGGGTACACACGCAAAGACTGCGTGTTCGTTATTACTGACCCAAATGCTCACGGAATGCTGGGTATGGATGTTGCCCGGGTACTTACCTTTTTTTCTTTTCGGCTCAGAGATAGATATTATCCGTGCGCAGTCGTCCGCTGGTTCAATCGAGTCGACAACACACCAAACGACGAGACTGGCTTGTGGATGGTGGAGCCATCCTCTATTGAGAATTGCGCACACTTTGCGGTGATTCACGTTGAGTCGATTTTTCGTTCTGCGCATCTTATTCCTGTGTACGGTACTGAACCACTCCCCTCGGTCATTAAATCTCACCACACCCTCGATATATTCACCCTCTTCTATGTGAACAAATATGCCGATCATCATGCATTCGAAATCACTTCTTAATATGTCACTTTTTCTATGTCACTTAGCTTTATTTTATGGCGCATACTGTTTTCCAACTTCTCACTTTTTTCGAACTTTTCTATATTCAATCACACAAAGTTTGCGAGTCCAAAAGATAAGTGTGAAAAGGGGACAAAAAGCAAATGGTCTCTTATTAAATTGTAGAAAAAGGCTGAAAAGCGAACTCGTGATTTACTGATGAATCACAGTCACCACTTGAGACTCATCAGGGATGTCATGACATGTAGCTGAATGTGGTATCGGTTCATGTATAATCCATCACCTCGAGTGGGGCATCAACGTGAATCATGTAGAATAATGGGCTCCAACGTACATCTGCTTTGAAGGAAATTGTATGCGTATGCACCATCAAGGTACAAACTAAGAACTGCTCAGAGATTCCTGGGCTTTAAAAAAAGGCGATAGCTACAATATTTCTAGGGTCCTGATGTCCGTCACAGCAGTCACATCTCTAACTTTTGCGATGATATTGTGATCTGATGTGATCCTCTTGTATTCTCCACCAGGCTGCCGCGCTAGTAAAAATGCGACAAACCGCCGTCCAAGGCGAACCATTAGTTGCAAGGCTCGCAATTGAGATTCTGGATCATCCAGTTCTTGTTCTACAGGAGAACTGCCGGGCGAGTGCTCTGACAAAGACTCGAGCTCGGACCAATCTCCTAAGCTTTGCGCGTCATCTGCAAAGGCAGGCGGCTCTGAAAAACCAGGCAGCTCGAGGAGGCGACGGTCCCATGGACGGACAAGTAAGAATTTTTGTCGAGTGGGCTTTTCCCGTGAAAATTGAACCAGCGCCTCTTTTGTGGTGATCAACAGGTTTTTAAGCCCAACTGCCTTCATTCCATACGTGAAACGAGCGTCTTGGGTTGTGCCATTTTTCCGTCTGACTTCCATGACACGGAATGCAATGCAAGGTAGATGCAGTCTGCAGTTTGTGAAGCGAGGGGCACCCGTATTGTCAAGCTGGTCGTAAATTTTCAAGGCCAACTTCGTGACAGCCACGTTGTTTTGCAGTGAAGATACCGCTGTGTGAATTTCGTCTTCAGATAAAGATGGGAGGGTGTATGGGGGAGCTGCATATGATGAAATGTTGGCAGGAAGACAACTGTTGAACATGGATGGTTGTCCAACCCAGTCGAGGGCGGTGATGTCACCGGACTGAGCCACAATCTTCTGCAGGAGCTGCCCGAGCGCATTCTGCACATTCTCGCCATAATGGATAGGAAGTCGGACGTCGAAAATGCCAAACAATGAGTATGCAATATCTTCCGGCCTAGTGGTAACACGTGCAGACGCCCATTGGAGTTTCTCTCGGGCATCTATCATTCCCGGTTGGAAGGCAACGAGGGTGCGTGCATCTATGCCTGTTGCGCCCTCCAATTCATGCATGATCTCAACAGATTCTTTGTGGTTGGGGGAGTGGTCCTCAAGATATGGGGACCAATCCTGCTGGTAGAAGTGAATGACTTTAGGAGCCAGGAATTCCGGGACAGTCCATCCTCGGGTGTTCCAAGCACTCTTTGCCAGCGCGCCAGACTTGGACGAAGGCAGAATGTCGGACAGGTAGACGGCCGTGAGTGCTGAATGGTGATACCAGGCAAACATGGAGTCAAGTGATGTTTGGAGCTTGACATTGTTCGTCTGGTCGATGCAACACGAATCAACCCACGCCCAGTGATACTCTGTCTCACTATGAACAATGCCGCAGAATGACCGCAACTTCACGAAACGACCATCTGTTATGGTTATCCTTTTCCCCCTAAACCTTGTCACATGTCACACTATGTCACACCCTTCACATTGTCACACTTTCACATCTTCACATTTCACACTTCTATTACATGTACTTCTAGAACATTCTATTGTACGATTCCTTTTCTCTTTTTCTCATTGGCTCATTACTATTGAAGCTCCGCTTCTATTATTCATTCGCCTCTTCAATACCTTTATATATACCTCGTCTCTACCGTTTGTACTCTTTAACTTGACCTACGCAGACCAGGGCCTGCAATATCACTGCTTTACTCGCATGACTCTAACACTAGGGTGTTAGCTAGACTTTTGACCACTTTTGATTACTGCTAAGACGTCTGACGACGCAGAGCGTAACAAAAGGTCAAGTTACTTTTCAGACCGCCTGTCCCCCGACTACAGCAACCACCACGAACCCTTGACTTAGCATCCGTGGTTTATACTGCTGTTGCTACCCGATAAGTCAAAACGGCCACTCACGGAAAGCAATACCCCGGCTTTACCTGGGACGCGAAACTAGGAACCTGGACTGCTCCAGACAACGACAGCAACAACTTCACCGTTCACCAGTGGAGAACCTTTAGAAACAGCAAAGCCAAGAAAGGAACGCATTGGGACTTTGATACCCAATCCTACGTTGACAACGACTTCCCAGAAACACCACTCGTCTCTCCTGTCCCCACACACGCACCACTTCCCCCAGTCCGCGCACCACTCCCTCCTGCCCAACAACCACCTCTAGACGAGTCAGAATCAGAACCAGAACCAGAAGAAGACAACAACGAAATGACCAAACTCATTGGCAACGTACCCCCTCCCTTCAACGGCAATACCCATGCCGCTAAGGGATGGCTCTTACAGGTAGAAGCCTACCTTGACATCAACGACTCCATCTACACCATCGACAAACAGAAAATTGTATTCATCCTATCCCTCATGACCAAAGGAGAAGCCGCTAAATGGGCGGAAGGACAATTCAAAGATGCCAACACTACCAAAACATATGGAACATTCGAAAAATTCCTCGAACAGTTCAAGAAGACATTCCATCCAAAGAACATCGTGGACACAGCGATCCGTCGCATCTCCACCTTGAGACAGACGGGAAGTGTTCCCGCTTACACATCCATATTCCGCACCATCCTAGCAGACACGGGCATAACTGAGGAAAGCATGAAGATCATGTTCTTTAGAAACGGACTTAAGAAAGAAATCGTAAACACCATACTTAACTTCGAAAAACATACCCGCTACCATAGACACATGGCTTGAAAAAGCCTTAGAAGTAGAATCTCGACGTAGTCTTACAGCACCTACCAACTACAAGTCCCGAGACCCCTACGCTATGGACATAGATAGGACGGAGGTAGAAGGAGAAGAGGAAGAACGGCAGGTAAAGAAGGCATACTTAACCCCGCAGGAGAGAGAACACAGACTGCAAGAATGGCCTCTGCTTCAAATGCGGAAAGAAAGGCCTTATCAAGGACTGCCCCAACCATCCGGCATTTACACCACGCACCCAGACCGCCGCCAAGAAGGTGAGCAAAGACGACGATGAAGACTGCAAAGAGTTCTTGGAGTGGAAGGCATTCAAAGCGCACCAGGCAAAGAAGTCGGAAGAGAAGGATTTTGCCTAGAGGAGACTGAACCGGCATCAGTATCTCCTGGAATCAGACTAGTAGTACAATCGATTGGCGACTCTAATTCTATTTGTTTGCCTTTAACCTTTGACTCTAGTATCGCCGAAGCCGCAGCTCTAATCGACTGTGGAGCAGAGGGGGAATTCATCGACTGGATGTTCGTACAACGGAACTCCATCCCCACCGAAAAACTAAGAAAACCAATAAGAGTTAGAAATGTTGACGGGACACTCAACAAGCAAGGTCAGATCACGCATGCTTGTAAATTATCGTTCCGAATCAAAGGAATTCACATGGAAAGACGTTTCCTTGTAACCTCCCTAGGAGGAGAGGACATCATCCTGGGAATTTCCTGGCTAAAAGAAGAAAACCCTTGGATAGACTGGCTAGAAGAAAAAGTAACATTACGCGAACGAAGCGCATATATCGAAGAAGTTGAAGACAAAGAAGAACAAACATTCTTCGACACCCAGGAAACCCTAGAAGACGAATGGGATCCTGCTACGGAAAGTATTCCGTACTCCTCCTGAAATTCCTAAACTCCTTGACCCCGAACCTGCTGATGACACAGAGGAAGAATTGGAACCTGACGAATTCTTAATTGCATACTGCAAAGGCGATCACGTCATTGGAACTTATGAAACCTTTGAATCCCCTCTCACAGATGAACACATCCCCGCCGACCACCAATATTTCTCTACCCGCGGAACCCTTGTCAGGAAAGCCGACAATATTTCTCAAACCCTCGCCCAAGACACCGCCAAACCGAAGAAAATGTTCGAAGAACTCGTACCCGAGATCTTCCGAAAATACAAAGACGTATTCAGAGAAGTAGCTAACGGAACACTCCCACCAGAACGCAAGTTTGATCACAAAATCGATCTCAAAGACACCTTTGAACCGCGTAAATGCAAAATTTACCCACTTAACCCCACGAAAGAAAAGGCCATGAACGATTTCATTGATGAAAACCTTGCTAAAGGCACCATCATCCCCTCTGAATCTCCGCAATCATCTCCATTCTTCTTCATCGGGAAGAAAGATGGTTCCCTCCAACCCTGCCAAGACTATCGCTACTTGAACGAACATACGGTTAAAAACAACTATCTGCTTCCGCTAATCTCTGATCTTATAGATAAGCTAAAGAACGCGAAGATCTTCACCAAAATGGACATCCGATGGGGATATAACAATGTTCGACTCAAGAAAACCGACCAATGGAAAGCAGCAGTTTGCAATGGCTAGAGGGCTCTTCGAACCCATGGTAATGTTCTTTGGCATGTGTAACTCTCCCGCCACCTTCCAATCCATGATGAACGATACGTTCGGAGATATGCTCCAAGAAGGATGGCTAATCATTTACATGGACTGATATACTGATCTTCTCAGACGACTTCGAAACCCATCAGAAGCGAACGCATCGCGTACTAGAAAGACTTCGAGAACATCGCTTATACCTCAAACCAGAGAAATGCACGTTCAACGTAGAGGAAATAGAATATCTCGGCATGATCATTAAACCTGGATCGGTAGCTATGGACCCGGCTAAACTAAAGGGAAACTCCGAATGGGAAACTCCGAAGAAAGTCAAAGAAGTCTGATCTTTCCTCAGATTTGCCAATTTCTATCGTCGATTTATCGCTGACTACTCAACCATTGCTCGTCCCCTAATAGATCTTACAAAGAAAGATATGCTGTTCGAATGGACCAATGAACGCGACTCCGCATTCTGAAAGTTGAAATCCATCTTTACCTCCGCTCCCATTCTTCAAATCCCCGATCGACACTCTCCATTCAGCCATTGCCACTGACGCCTCCTTATATGCCACCAGGCGCAGTACTCCTCCAAAAAGATCCTAACGGCGAATGGCTTCCCTGTTCATATCTTTCCCAATCCTTCGCCCCCGCCGAAAGAAATTATCAGATCTACGACCGAGAACTCCTCGCTGTCATTCAAGCGCTCAAAGCTTGGCGCCATTATCTCCTAGGCTCTCCCTTCCCAGTAGAAGTTCAAACTGATCATAAGAACCTCACTTACTTCCGAGACGTGCAAGATCTCAATAGACGCCAAGCACGTTGGCAAACTTTTCTCTCTCAGTTCAATATTCGCTTCAAGTTTGTACCAGGAAAAGACTTAACTATTCCAGACGCCCTTTCCCATAGACTGGATCACCTTCCAGACGATAATAACGAAAAAGACAACTCTAGTATACAACTCCTTCCTGATTATATGTTCATCAATTCTGCTTCTCTTTCTGAACAATTATGTATCTCTTCTTCCATCGACCCAGTAGTTCAACTAGCGCTTGATGCACTACAGAACCCTGCTATTCCTCCCCCTCTTCGATCATCTCTATCTGACTGGAAACTTTCCGATAATATTCTTACTTACAAAGGACTTACTTATGTACCCCCAGGCGACCTTCGTCGCGATATTACTTCCCTTCATCATGATTCCCCTACAGCAGGCCATCCAGGATGATACAAAACCCAGGAACTCCTCTCACGAGACTACTGGTGGCCTGGCCTATCCACGTTTGTAAAGAACTTCGTCGACGGTTGTAGCATCTGCCAACAGAACAAAGTAAACACGCACCTGTCAACTCCACCTCTCTACCCCATTCCCGCTCCGTTATCTAACCGACCCTTCACTCATTGTTCTACCGACCTCATAACCGACCTACCACCTTCCAATGGCTACGATAGCATCATGGTTGTGGTAGACCATGGCCTTTTGAAGGGGGTAATTCTCACCCCATGCAATAAAACAATAGATGCTGAAGGCGTCACAAATGTTTTCTTTTCTAAAGTATTCTCTAGATATGGACTTTACGATAAAATTATCTCTGACTGAGGACCCTCAATTTGCCTCTAGATTCCAGATCAAACTCGGAAAACTCCTCGGATATAAGAACTCCCTTTCCACTGTGTTCCATCCCCAGAGTGATGGAGAAACCGAATGAGTTAATCAAGAACTCGAAGTTTACCTCCGGATCTTCTGCGCAAATGACGCGACTGGCTGGGCATCCATGCTCCCTCTCGCAGAATTCCTTCATAACTCCCATCACCACTCCGCTCGCGGGACATCACCATTCTATCTCATGATGGGTTACCACCCTAAACACCTTCCCGACCTCCATCCAAAGAGCGATATCCCAAACGTCGAACAACGTCTTATCATCCTCAATAAAGCACGTGACAAAGCTTTAGCCGCTCATGAATTAGCGTGCAATACTATGAGACAACGAATCACATCTAAATTTGTACCGTTCAACAAAGGCGATAAAGTATGGCTCGAATCCAAAAACCTCCATCTCGGATATCCAAACC